TGTGGTCTACAGTCGATTCCCTAAAAAATAGTTTTTGTATGATTCGAAGTTTGAATATTTGATGAATATATAAAAAGTAATGTTCAATATACTGTCAAAGATTTATTTATTAGAAGTTTAGAACGCAGCATAACGAGGCGAAGAAAAATCTAAAAGAATCTTATTATTTCCGTCTATTTTTAGCAGCATGGTTTTTGTGTGCGTTTCTTTTTCGAAGATTGCGTAGCGTCGAAAGAGCTTTCGGCATTATGTACATTACAGGTCTGTACGTGCTAGGACAGCCCCGAACATAGTGCGAGATATTATTTGAACGTATATTATTTGATTTACTGCCCTTCGCGGTCTGTTATACAGGCCGCAAAGTTTCGACCAGACAAAGCTTTGTCATTTTATGGGAAGTGAGCCGGTACACCGTACATGGTATCAGATTCGTGTACATGCACGAAAACTTCAACTTTCGCGCACTCCCAAACACTTTTTTGTTTCGGTTAATGACCTTTTGTACCCAGAAGATTTGTATACACTGGTGTGAAAACCGTTTGTGCGCGCAACATCCGGTTCGGGAATTATGGCTGTAAGAAAATTCTAAAAAGTTTAAATGCGTTCACATCAGGGGTAGCAAAAGTCTCATTATGGACCGATCTCCCTCAAATTTTGCACATAAATGCACAAAACCTTGAAGATCGTGTTTACACCGATCCAGATTTTCATGATTTTTTCAAATTTTAAAATGAATTTTAAAATTTTTGAAATCATTTTAAAATGTGAAAAACAAGCTGAAACAGTGGATCGGTGTAAAAACGTTCTTCATGGTTATGTGCATTAACGTGCAAAATTTGAGATAGATCGGTCCATAATAAGACTTTTGGTACACCTGAACGCATTTAAACTTTTGGAATTTTTAACAGCCATAATTCCCGAACCGGATGTTGCGCGCACAAACGGTTTTCACGCCAGTGTATACAAATCTTCTGGCTACAAAACGTCATTAACCGAAACAAAAAAGTGTTTGGGAGTGCGCGAAAGTTGAAGTTTTCGTGCATGTACATGAATTTGGTACCATGTCCCGGGCCACTTCCCTTAACAACTGTAACGTCACTGTCGAAATTCCATGGAAGCATTGCCTGCTCCAGGAAGATGACAGTAATAAAAATAACCAAATTAGAACGCTATGCGATGCCGCACTGTCTCCCGTTCATACGCAATAGCAGGTCCTGTAATTTCCGTCCATTGGTATGGACTACGGGTTGCATATATAGTTCTGAATTTCGATCGCTTCAAAATAAATATTTCATTCTGAAACGAGAAAATGCATTTGACACAATTCGTTGACCAGATCGTTGACGGTTCTGGTCTCATCTGGTCTACGTTGTATGTTTCTTGTGTAGGTTTGGTCAGTGGAAAGTGTGACCCTTTGTGTGATTCTGTGCACTTGGCAACTCAAAGCACTGAGCAGTGAGCAGGGGTATCGGTTCAGTAGTACGTTTGTTTAACTCACGCCAATTCTGCGCATGTGCATTTGCATTTGCACGGATGCGCAAGTGTGTATGAGCATTTGCACACATGCGCATATGTATAAGTGCATTTGCAATTGCACACATGCGCACAAGTATACGATACACCTGTGCATGTGCATCTGCACGGATATGTGGATAAATGGAAATAATTTTGTAAATTTGATTTGTATGCTGACCACAACACAGTATGTCGTGATTGAATGTACCATGTACCATGGTACATGGCCCAGGTACATGGTACAGGTACCGTTACCATGGTAACGCGTACCTGGTGCCAAGTACCAGTCGCATAATAACAGATATGCATTGGCCTATGAAAATCTAGTTGGTAATTACAAACATGTGTGCATTCTATCTGAAAGTTATGGAAGAAAACTGTTTTCGGCCATTGTATACTATCCAATCTTTTTTTGAACCATTGCAACTGCTACTGATTTGTTTACCGGGTGTTGATATGATATTGTTGTACTATTCCATGGATTAACCAGGATTGATAGCCAATTACTTTCAAGCTCTGACGGAATAACGGGTAAGGGGAAAGAAGTAAATGTTTGTTTGGTTTACTTTCGTTTCACCCAGAATTCCGATCTTGCGTCAGATTTCGTTCTGTTTGTGTGGATATTTAATTGCATTATTTAAAGCTTTATTGCATTTGATTTACCAGCTTTACTTAATATATGTCGTCATAAACAACTCCGTTTATCATGGCATCATTTTGTAAATAAAAAACCACAATATCAAACAATGTTTCGTCGGTACATGTGACAAAAAAAATTGCAAACGCTACAATTCCAGTTTCTGGATACAAAACGTTTTAATGTGTGAAAACCAGGCTCTGTAAAGTTTGGATTCCAAAACGCCCAGGGTGCCATTGCTATCAAAGGCCAGCAGGATACACAATTGAATAAATTTATTGCATTGCAATCATTCTACCGACAAAGTCTACAGATATTTGTATGTTATGCATTTCTTTCAATCCCAAAAAGTTGCACTTTCCCGATGGAAAGAGCACAGCAGTACACCAAGGCAATTTTATACGTAAACCACTAAACAATTCAGGAGTATATTCCAACTTGTAATGTTGACTAAATTTCTCAATATGTATACGTTTATCAAAATCATGACTGACAACAATGTTAACAATTCGAAATCCCGAAACGATACAACGGTACCCAATTGATTGAAGAATGCTGGTAAACTTGTCGACCAATTCTCTGGCAGCAGATTCCGAACGAGCGCCATTGACCGTGATTTTTCCGTTGGAATAAAGTTGGCAATGTGCTTTATAGGGAGACAGAATACGAATGAGTAAGCCGGAAAACTTGCGGGGAATATACTGCGCCATCGGTACTTTCTTTTCAATCTCCTTCAGATTGAGGATAGTGTTTAAATCCGCAACGGCAACGACATTCATGATGTTTGGCATGGCAGTAGAACCACAAACCGAACCGAATAGCTTTGCGCAGTGTTGTTTGGGGCACATCTGTTAGACGGTGATAGACGGGGCAACCTAGTTCCTCAAGATTGACCACTTGGGGCACATAACGCTCCAGTAAACGGCACTTCTCCAAACCCTTGGCATAGAAAGTTAGCTTACTAGGACGGCCAATACGGTTAAACATGTCTTCCAAGGCAACCGTCACTTGATTGTGTCGATAATCACCAAAGGTGCTCCAGAGAAGTCCATGGGAATGCTTGGCCTGTTTCTGCAACTCGCGAGCGTGTTTACCGGCTGATCGTGGTAAGCTGAAGGTGTACTGCCCACTGTCATGTTTTTCTGGGCACGAGAAGGCCAGCTGTTTGATATATGGTACCTTTTCAATTATAAACCAATCAGCATCTAAAACACATGGCAGAGCCATGGTCAAGACTAGACTGAAATACACAACTCGTTTATCACTTGGCAACAGCGTTGGTTTATGGTACCTGGTGCCAGGTACTTTACCTGGCACCATGTACCACAGTTGACCTTCAAACATTTGTTTTACAACTTGCGTGCGCTCAACATACACTTCATTTGAGTTCAGCTCTGACAAAAATGGAACCATCTCTAAAACGCCGCCGTTCAGACTCGAAGCCTAAAATGCCACTAGTCAACAAGACTAAGTGCAGTGTCGAGAAGACTCATCCTCGTTTAGCCTTCACAGAGAGCGGTCGTCCTGTGTATCGTCTGGGCAACGAGAAATTTGTGCATGTCGATTATCAGTGGGAAGAAACTCGAATTTTTATTGGTGAATGGAAGGAAGGGCCGTCCGGGAAATGGAAGCAGACGTGGGCGAAAACGATAAGCCTTACCAAAAGAGGATTCATGCGCTTGGTATCGTTACTGCTGACGGGAAAAGCCGATCTGGATCATTCCAATGGAAATTTACCTCCTTTATTCTTACTGGACCGGGGGGGTGTACTTCAGCTGGAGCCGTCCTAACGTGGCCAGCTTTCGCCGCTATCAGCGGTCTCAAGAAGGTGATTTGATGCCCACGAGAAACGGGATTTCATTGAACGAGAAGTGCTACGAAGCGTTGAAAGAACTCATACGGGATTTCACTCTCTTCAAACATATTGTCAGTGTGGACGAAATCGTTGAGGATGTGGATGCTGATAAAAAAAGGTCTTTGTCATGAGAAGTTGTGCGACGCTATTATTGATGCTATGGTGAAACTAGTTCATGAAAGATGCCCTGATTTCCGGGACGTGTTAACGGATACGGAATGGAAAGATGCTGTGCAACGTCTGTTGGATGCTCGTTTTGTGCATGGCATTTTGTTTGGTTTTGAAGAACTGAGCTTTAAGCAAGCCTTAAGTTTGGATGTGGTGAAGTATTTGGATACACATGAAAATCAAATCCGTATGCAAGTAAACTGCTCTCTGAACCAAGTTTAACTTAGGATTTCTGTAATGCATTTTATGGTTGTCACTACAGTATAACACGGCATTTGTTCTATTTATTTCTTTGAACAGATCGTTTTTGCATGGTTCATTTCATTAATCGTTGACATATCTGACGGAGAAAAGATCCGTCAACTAGTGCTGTGTTGATATCAAAAAAAGAATTTACATACTGACACACCATCTTGTCGTTGCTTGTTCGATTATCGGTAAATAAATGTACAATATTAGTGAAGATTCAGCCGCTAGCGCGTCTCAAAACAAAAAATAAGCAATATTGACCACACACGGTACTATATTCGGACTGAAACTGTTCGTCTTGACAGACAATAGTATTATTCTGAGCAAGCATAGAGAAGTGCTGAGAATACGTTTCCAACGCTTTACCATACGAATCAAACACTTCCAAGATTCCCGCTTGGGTTTGTAGCAAAGCAATCCAGTGTGCGCCATTTTGGTCAGAGGGGTCCGTGTTAACTACACATGCTCCAGGGTACGGGGCTAAACATGGCGGAACTTGGTCACTGGCAAACACACCGCGGAACAGTTGGGTGGTAACAGGATTTCCCTGCAGACAGTGGTGAATTTGCTCCGTGTTCATGTTGAAAAATCCGCAATCAACTGGCGATGTTGATTAATTTCGATGATGCTGTCATAAATCAGCATGCACACCATCATGATTGTTGTCGTCAATGGTTTAGCAAAGGAAACTGATACACTCAGATTTCCTTGTTTTATCAAGGTCAAAGGTCCGCGGCCAGTATGTCCTGGTGTAAGGTCAAAACCAAATACGGTATATCCTTGATTATATTCGGTGCGGTTGAACGGTAGTCCGCCTTGCAAACTCGGTCGGTATCCCAGAGTATCGAGCAAACCATCGTAGCACTCCAAGGATAAGTTGTGTTCAAAATGACTTATATAGGGTTTGCTAGGGAAGCTCTGACCATCCACTTCCACACTAAGTTGTGTAATGTTGAAATGTTGAAAGTTAAACGGATTCTTTTTGATGGATCCGTGAAAATCTTCGCTATCGACAAATCCAACGAACACGACTTTGGGTATTTGCCCAATCTGTAGATTGCTGACCACGGTGCTTTGCGTCTTTTGAGGAATGTCCGACACGCGCATAACTATCCGCTCAACATGATATTTGACGGTTTTCTTTAACAATTCACCAGCAACAGCTGTCAGAAAATCCGGTGAGGGAATGTAGCGTCGGATAGACAACCGAGCATTGCGAATGAAGGGCTTAAACGTTTTCGTGGCATCTTTATCCCACACACGCAGGGCAAATTCAGGGCGGCTGACTACCAGACGGATGTTCACAGGAACCCCTGTGCACAGTGGTTTGCTTTGGTCAAACAAGTCCGAAAATAGTCTTCCAGAAAGTTGAACATATTGTCCGGTTTGAAATAAAGCCTTACGGCTCTTTTCTCCTTGATTAGACGTCTCATCGTTATGTTTGGCGGGCGTGTCCAAATAGAATGCAGCCGAAGTCAACTGGCTACTTTGAGCCTCTTTGCTATGCGATAGCAATGACTCAAAGTATGCTCGGTATGGATAGAACGTGGCGGCATCCGAGATCAGTCGATTGGCTACCGTTACATGACAGGATGAGAAGAGCGAGTGCAAGAAATTATTGACCGGTGCCACCCCATCATCCGCGGTTACCAATTCCCAGTCACCGGTAGTTTTACGCACTTTGATGCCCACTTCCAACTCCAATATCATATCTGCCAAACTGAGCAGACCAGCCGTACTAGGTGGTATAAAGAAATTAATGTCACCAGCGGATCCATTGTCGGTCAAAATAGTTGTAGGGTTCAGTTTCTCGTGTTCGGTACGCCAGCGGTCGGTCAATGTAGCCGGCAAGGCAAACAGCTGATTTTCCAGCTGCATGGCCGGTTCGGAATGTTCCATCATGAGCAGTGCCATTGTTTAGAAAAAGTCCGGAATGCTGGTTGGCGGAATACGTTTAATGCGATGTACTTTACGTTTAACACGTTGTTTCTTCCGAACGCCTTCTCCTTCTTGCGAAACTAGGCGTTTACCAATCGCCGCTCCTGCTTCTTTAATAACCCCGGTTGCCGCATCTTGCAAGTGAGGGGTGGCGGCTTCCAGAGCAGCTTTAGCATGCGGCGCTGCTCTACGCAGTATCGGTTTGGCAAAGTTGGTAATTTTGGCAAATAAATTCTTCAAAATTTGTGGGAACCCGGATCCATTTTGTAGTGTGCCACGATAGCGAATGAGAGCACTTCCTCCCGTTTGGCTCACGAAAACGTTTTCGTAGCGTCGCGGGTCTGGGACATAGGCGACGAGGGGCATTTTCAGTATAAGCGTTGTGGTCGAAAATGTAATTTTACTAGTGATTTTCCCGTCTGAAATTTAGCGTCGTCACCCAGGTCGTTGGCAATAGTTAAGTGAATAGTTTCGAAATGTTGGCGTAATACGGGAACATAGTGGGGAATGTCGAAACGTGCTTCCACAATTTGGTTGACCTCCCTCTAATAGGTACAGCGCGCAAAACTGCGCGGCAGTATCACCAATCAGGCTGTAGTCTGCAACATCACTGTACAGAAACAGGCTTTGGTTCCCCAGCATGGTGTTCACCGGTCGTTCCGACAAGAAGGTGGTCAGTTTAGGTGGAGGAGCTTTACTGAGGAATGACAAGTACTTGATGCTACTGGTTTTGGTAACAAACGGAAAGGGTCCCAGTGCATTGGAGTGAGTTTCTGCGGGTACATCTGGTTTAAATTCCGCTTGTTCAAACCCGAGTATTTTTTGCAAGGTAACGGATCCAGGGGGAAACGTAACTGACACTCGATCGTTGCCAATAAGCAGTTTCACTCGGTGGTTTGTTGAGGTTAAAAATTGCAAGTTGAAAGCTTTGTTATCCGGCAAAGCACTTTTATCCTGATGTAGAGCGTCATCCACCATGTACGGTCCGATTGTAGGAGCTAAGTTGTTGACGGTTTGCAGTAAAAGCTCGGCATTCTTATAATTTCCGGGAGGAACCGTCAAAATTTCTTGGTGCACAACGTAATTGACGCTATCAATAAAGTCTTCTTCTTTTTAACCCGAAATTCGCGGACAATATCCAGTTGAATTTTTTGCTCGGTAGGTAGAGTATAGAAAGAATTTAAATACTGCAGTTCCACCAGGGCCATTTCCCATTTGCCCTTCAAGGTAATGGGATGCTTCAGTTTGGTAGTCCAGTTGGAGGGCGTGTTGGCCGCTTCTGTGGCGACATCACTGGGTAAGGTTATGTAGAAAGGCGCTCCTTCAAACATGATAGTGGTTCCCAAGAATCGTGTTCGGGTCCGTAACCTAACCAACGGACTAATGCTTTCTTTCCGCGCCGCTTAACAATAAAATCAATTGCGTGTTCCTTATGCTGTGGATTCGAGACTGGTGACAGTTCATGCTCATAAAACGTTCCTTTAATAACTTCATCTTGGTAATCCTTCAAACGATAGACCGGAATACGATGCGGGATCACCTGATGGATGTAGAAGATTTCTTCTTTGAAACGGTAAGTATACCCTTTTTCCACCTTTGTTTTATGCACCGCAATCCGCACGGCATCACCGACTTTGTACCGTGGCTTCTTGACGTCTTTGTGCTTGTACAAAGCATTGTACACTGCCAACGAATTGTCTTGCCGTACATCACTGGGTCGCATACCATGCGCACGGTGTTTGGAATGGTTGTACGAGTACACCAGGTCTTGCATTTTGTCAATATAGCGCGTCGATAAGCGGGACCGAAACAATCGAAATATCCGCGTTTTGATGGTTCGAATAACGCGCTCCGCCATGGAACACTTGATGTCTTCGTTCTCGGAAGTGAAGAACTGAATTTGTTTGTCTTTCAAGTACTTGGCCACCGTTCTATTCAACATCTCAGTCCCTTTATCATATTGCAGTTTTTCCGGCTCTCCCAAATCATTGAACGCATTGGTTAGCGCTTCCTTGGTATCAGCACCCGTTTTGGTTTTCAGAGGTTGAATACTGAGTTTCTTGGAAAAACAATCAATAACAAACAGCAAATATTTGTATCCATCGTTTTCCTTCGAATACTTGGCTAGATCGGCCAGATCCGCTTGATACTGTTGGCGGAGGTTAGTTGTTATTATGCGGTTGCGCGGGAAGCGTTTGCGTGATTCTTTGTTGACAGTGTAGGCATCGATCTCCTGCAAGATCGCCTGTGCTTTCCGTTTGTCGGCTCTGGTCTTTAAACTTTTTCGGAACCTGTCGACGCCGCCAAGACTTCCGGGATCGCGAGGGTTCAGATATTTTTTCATCAGTTTCTCCATTATTGCAACAACTGGATACGCAATTGATCTTAAATATCCGACACAGTCGCAATACAGTAGGAAGAAAGCTGGACATTATGGTAAGGTTATCCACTGAATCCTATGTTGACCACTACCACTTTGAACAGTTCGGGAACGCAGTTTCCGACCGGTATCTTCGTTGGCACTTTCCGTTTTCCTTTTCCAATGGATAATGGAAACAAGGGTACACGGCGTTGTTTACGGCTATTTGGATGATCGTCCGCGGTTTTACGCTTTCGTCCTTTTGCTGGCAGTGTTGGTGGAAACAAGGCGACACGACCATGTTTTATTGGACCATCTCGATCGTCTTCCAGATACCTTTTTTGCCCTTTGGTTGGCAACGTCGATGGAAATAATTGTGGGCGCGGTTGCTTTGGCACTTGTTCTATTTCATCTTCGTCAGTTCTTTTGCGTTTGCGAAACTTTTCCAGCTCTTGTTGTACTCCTAATGGTGCCGGTTGCAACACGGTTTCATCGGAGAATTGCACAGGGTTTTCGTCAGGTAAGACTTTTGTTTCAATGCTAAGAAACGCTCCAAAATGCTTGTTAGCAGGTCGGCTTTCTCATACTCGTTTATATCGGTTCGTCTTAAGGTTTTGGCAACAAGTTCGTCCAAAGAAACAACAGCTCTGGCTTCCGGAGGTTCTTTGTTAACTTGTATTTTCTCATGCAGGCGCTCTTCCATAATGCGTCTAGGAACAATATAGTACTCATCCATTTCCAATCAACGATGTTAGGACCCCAGCAATAACCGGTAAGATAGCCCCAATAAATCCTCCTTGTTGTAAGATTATTCGCTTTTGTTTGAGAGGATAGCGTCGCAGTGCAATGAGCTTTAATGCTTTGCGATGGCGTTTACATTTATCCATTTGGGATGGTGTCAATGCGACAGTATTTTTTACAATGTTGACGGCGATTTCTTCCAAAGCTTTCATCTGCGGTTTACTCATGTAACTCATCAGAACGCGTCGTTGTCGCGGTTTTAAATTCTGTAGGGTGATGATAAAGGGTGCTAACGATTTTACGCGTTCCGACATTTTGGCAGTTGTGACGAATTTCGATCCAAATAAATCCTCATGTGCTCGTTGGGAAAGATATGGGAGCGAATACGTAAGTATTCTGGGCACGTTGGTCGCAAGTCCAAAATTAAAGGTTGGTACGGTAGTGCAGTGACCTTACTATAAGCAGTAACCAGTTGCTTCAGTCCGGTCTGTCTGGCCAATAATGCTATTTGATTTACATCTCTCACGTTTTTGAAAAGGACTAGATACTGTAGATTGAGGGTAATGTCCCGCATGACCTTGCCTTGCTTAAATAGATTTTGTAGAAGCACGATAACTGAAACATTTTTGTGATGGATTCCGCGTGTAAAAGATTGGCACACCGCACGTCTTTGCAGAGATCAGTCGCCAAGTCGTCAATAACAACTAATGTAGGCACCTTTTCATCTAGTGACTCGGAACAGGCAAAGAATTCGTCCAATCCTTTAATAAATTCTATAAAAGGGTTTGCAGATAGTAGCTTTTCGAATCCACTTTGCCAAGCACCGTAACAATAGATAATTTTTGTTGGTGGTTTATCAATCATGCGGTTCCGTTGCTCAATTAATGAGAAAACAAACTCTGATTTACCCGACATGGTCGGTCCACAAACACACATCCCAAAGGGCGCACTGAGGCGCGGATATTCTTTAACAGTACTATACATTTTTGAAAATAATGTTTTCAGTATTGTTCTACGTGCTTAAATGGCGAATTCAGCAAATTAAGTAATCTGATGTTGAAATTAGAAGCTATCCACCGCTCCGCACATGGTTTCTCGATTGGTATTCCTTGCTTCAGCCAGCAGAAAAGGTGACACCTTTTCAGCGCTCTTCTGTTCATGTTCATGTCTGCACAAAAACAATAACGAGTCTATTTAAGCACTGCAAACACAACACAAGGTGCATAACATGGTTGGGCTATAGCATATGCTTCCGGACGCTGTTGGCGTCCAGAAGAAATGCGAAAAAGTTTTGTTAGTGATTCTGTACGTGTTATTTTTATAGTATTCGCTGCTATAATCATTACGGAAGGAATAGGAAAAGTCCTACAAAGTGATTCCTGGAATCAGACATTACGTAATATGACGCTATAACTCACATCCTGCGTTCCGTCTCTTCGACAAAGGTGAGGCAATAAAGATAAACGAGATGCCCGATAAAAAATGTAACCCTAAGTCCTTTGTTCAGACCGCAGATCCCGGAATACCATGTGGAGGGTACCCGATGTCCGCAATAACGACCATTCCGTATTTCGGGAGTTCTTCGACACGAAAAAGGGTGGATCTACGGTGCTTAAATACTTGCAAATAGTGGGAAGCACTGCTGGCCTTTGATAGCAATGGCACCCTGGGCGTTTTGGAATCCAAACTTTACAGAGCCTGGTTTTCACACATTAAAACGTTTTGTATCCAGAAACTGGAATTGTAGTGTTTGCAATTTCTTTTGTCACATGTACCGACGAAACATTGTTTGATATTGTGGTTTTTTATTTACAAAATGATGCCATGATAAACGGAGTTGTTTATGACGACATATATTAAGTAAAGCTGGTAAATCAAATGCAATAAAGCTTTAAATAATGCAATTAAATATCCACACAAACAGAACGAAATCTGACGCAAGATCGGAATTCTGGGTGAAACGAAAGTAAACCAAACAAACATTTACTTCTTTCCCCTTACCCGTTATTCCGTTAGAGCTTGAAAGTAATTGGCTATCAATCCTGGTTAATCCATGGAATAGTACAACAATATCATATCAACACCCGGTAAACAAATCAGTAGCAGTTGCAATGGTTCAAAAAAAGATTGGATAGTATACAATGGCCGAAAACAGTTTTCTTCCGTAACTTTCAGATAGAATGCACACATGTTTGTAATTACCAACTAGATTTTCATAGGCCAATGCATATCTGTTATTATGCGACTGGTAGCTTGGCACCAGGTACGCGTTACCATGGTAACGGTACCTGTACCATGTACTCTGGGCCATGTACCATGGTACATGGTACATTCAATCACGACATACTGTGTTGTGGTCAGCATACAAATCAAATTTACAAAATTATTTCCATTTATCCACATATCCGTGCAGATGCACATGCACAGGTGTATCGTATACTTGTGCGCATGTGTGCAATTGCAAATGCACTTATACATATGCGCATGTGTGCAAATCCTCATACACACTTGCGCATCCGTGCAAATGCAAATGCACATGCGCAGAATTGGCGTGAGTTAAACAAACGTACTACTCGGTTCCGTTCTCACATAGACTGATAGTCTTAATTTCTGGGAACAGTTCACACCAGTTCCCGTAATTTCCGTTCATTCAGCTGACCTGATCAGTAGTCTCGTACTGCACAAACACAATGGGCAAACATTCCAGGGGCAGTTTTGGTGGTCGTGCTTCGTTTTCATACGCTCACGTGTCCCTTCCTTGTCAGCAATTTTGCGCACATGCACCGAGAGTTTTTGATTACAGTAATTTGATCAGACAGTCGCAGTTTTCCACTCGCTTCCATCGAGCAGACGATGCGTTCTCGTCTTCTGCTCATGTACGAAAGTGTGCCGAAAATTTTAAAATGTGCCGAAAATTTTAAAATGCTTTAAAAGAATTGAGGGGTACGAAAGTCTCGTTATAGATCCAATCCAAACGATCCGATCGATCTTCTCCAAGTTTTGCAAGAAACGTATACGTAACTATGAGTAGCAGGTAGTACGTAAATGCAGGTCGTTTTCACCGAATTAGAACGATTTCCACTATTTTGCTTTCAAAATATATCTTTGCAAATTTGTACGATTTAAAATTTACGATGAAATTATGCATAAGAACGCGCGAAAGCAAAAGTTCCCATGCGGTAAGCACACTAAAACCGGCCCCGGCTATGTATCACCGGCAGACTTCTCTTTAATTTACAAAGGATTCCGGGCGTTCCGGCGTGGTACAACTTCACGAAATTTGCAACTTTCAGTCCTGAAATCTATTTTAAAAAATTCAGTTTTTATTACTTACTACACTACTCTGTATTGGAATATTAACTGCTCTACGAAACAATATTTTAGAAAGTCTTTCAAGATCACGTTGAACTCATGTCTGTACCGGTACCGGCATCCGAACGATGGTCTCAGGGAAGATATTTTTGGAAAAAAAATGCATGTGGGACCCTTTTGGAACATGCTGGGTTTAATGGTGAAATCGGTTTTTTAATTTGCATAGTGGTTTTTTCTAGCCGCGTTCCACGGGGCGGCCGATCATAATATAGATCTATTTCCTTGATATTTCCTTGATAGACCGACTACATCTGCCATATGTTATATTAGGCCTGCCGGTTTCAACCGTGCGGCGGCTACGTAAAATGATGAGCCAAACTACGGAAATGTCTATAGGCGCCTTCTTCCACCCCTGTTTACTACAGGCACCCCCTTTTGCATTTGCACCGTTTTTCGGGTTTTCGGCCCTATTTTCTAACCATAAGCTTTAGGAATATTTTAGACATTGCAATACCGGGTTTGAAATATTTTTTCGCTTAGTTAAGATGAGAACTACGGAACTAGTATTCGTCGCTAGCATTCCTGATTGGGTCATGAAAATTACAAGCTTCCCTTATGCAGCCGGGTCACTTCCCTTATGCAGTATAGTGTATACTTACTACTTAGTGACGTTATTACAGTACTTACTTACTGACAAGGCAATTCCACGACCGTATCCGGTGATTCTGAAACACATGACGAGCTTGCTTTTAGCTTAATTCTAGATTCTGCGCGCATATTCCATCTTGAATCTACTGTGTATCCGGATGTTAGTGTAACCTTCGTTAGGGAGCTAGAGGTACTGTAGTTCTTTAGCGGACGCTGTGTGGATCAGCAAGTCCATCTGCTGATCGGGATCATTGAGTGTTCGTGTGTGTTTGGTGTTGTGTGTTTGGTCGTGATCGTGTTGGCTGGTACTACTAATAACAGATTATTAACAATAATTGTAAGACAGTAATATTCCCATGTGTTTCCACAAGTCAGTAGAAATTCTACTTTGATTGACGTGAGTCAGGTTGGTCATGAATGCAGTATTGTGAGTGCAAGTACTGCAGTTCATGTCACCACATACAAGTACATACTGCACAAAGTACGTGTGGTCATCACAGCCTAATCGGGCAGGGTATGGTCACAGTCTCACAGCATCCATCGGTCCTCGTGTTTTGCAGGTACCGTACGAAAAGGATTATAGTTGAGTCGGTAGCGCATAGCTGCTGCGAGTTAAACTGAACACCATTTCGGTAAGCTGTTGACGTAACAGCTAACCGTGGATGGTTGCACAAACCAATAGGTGCGGTTGATAAGTAAACAATGCAACCCCCCACGGCTGACTGTTGTTCTGTTGTTGGAAATGCAACCATTCACGGTTGTCTGTTACGTTAATAGCTTACGGAACTGGTGTTCAGTTTAACTCGCAGCAGCTATGCGCTACCGACTCAACTATAATCCTCCTCGTACCATAACAACTATTCCCAATGATATAAGTACATTTTCAAAGAACTATGCACTTGTACTTATTTCCGCATTGCTAATTTAGTAATTACTATGGCGGCCGCCTAACGAATGATGGCCGATACGTATGGTTGCGGAATAAATGGTGGCCGAAATGACAGGGAGCAACGATGCTGGTGTATGACTACGCAGCTACGCTTGCTGGCCTTCTGGACTGGTTAAATACAAGCGCTTGAATTGAATGCCAAAGGACTGATTTGCACTAAATAGCGGTATTGGTACAGGACTAAAGGCGGCCTCATAGTTCACCGAAAGCGGCAGTTTCGACTAAATGGTGTTGAGATTTCGAGCGACTATGAGGACACCGTTCCCCGACTCTCCGTCCTATTTTTACGGATGTCTATGAGGGGACATGATCGGGTTGAAACCGAATCGTCGGAATTCGTGCTTTCGACGACTTTGGTGTAGGAGAGGATGGCTCCTCCCTAATACAGTCTCCGTTTTTTTCGCCCAATCATACATAAGTTTGCCCGTTGCCTTCAACTTTGCCCAAATGGCCACTGCCCACCTGGACGCCCAGATTGTTAATACACGATATTATGTACCTGTACATATGTCCATCTTGCTTATGATTTGTACCGACTAATTATTACATAAATGCACATCTAACACAACCCCTTTTTGTTAACAGACATTTTAACTGCTGAAGTAATTACTTATATCTGTACGTATATTTTTTTCATATCTGTAAGTTAGGACATATTAGAAATCATTTTCCATCTGTGAGCCGTTTCGAAAATGTTACGTAAGTTTTACATCTACTTATTAAATTGTAGCAAAATGCCTCGTAAAACATTAGCAGCATAAAATAATTAATACAGAATAACTCGGAATTCAAAGCAGCTATGTGAAATATTGAAGGCATTTGGAGATAACAATAAATACTTTATGGAAAGCTACTACATACTGAGGTACTTTGTGCCAAAAATTACCGTGAGTGGGTATAATGCCACATTGAAAATTAATGAAAAATTTAGTTTGTCAGATTTAACAAATTAGGCAGTAAGTGCACAATAACTTGTTGAAATATTGTTGACCTATTGCAAGGCGTGTACTCACTCATCCTACTCGTACGTACATCGACATGTACGAACTGTACAATACTTTAATACCGAATTAGACTGTACTCGGCTTGCCATAAGCCTGATGCCGGCTTGCCATAATGCAGCCTTCAACCGCCCTGGGCGGTGACTTCCAACCGTTGCAGCGGGCGGTTGCCCACTTGTCAAAAGGGTGCCGCTAATATAGCCGAAGCACGGACGACTATGACAACTTTCGGGCTACCACGACGGGAAGGTAAATCGGAGTGATCGTGTCGTGGAAAATCCGTGACCACGGAAACTCCGTCAGTACCGTCCCGTCGAGAAACTTTTTCTCCGTCTCAGAAAACGGTTGACGATGGGGCTGCCTTAACGGGATATTTGGTAGCATTCGTGTGTGCCTGTGTGAGGCGTATAGTAAGCGGTACGTACGTGCGAGCTAAGAAAAAATAAGTTAAAGCCGGCACAAAGCCGCGTGTAGGGATTTCTGTTGGTATTAGCAAGTGAAACAGGTTTTCATTTTCTTCCTTTCATCGCTACGACGTTGATGTATTTGCACAAGGGCCTAGCTGCAGCTGGTGGTAAAGCGTTGGAAGGCTATGAACGAACTTTGATCATTTTGAATATTATGCTCTTAGTACCTTCGCTCACGTCAACATTGCGCATAGTTCAACGTTTGCGACTTATACTGGATTTATTTGAAATAATTGTTGACTACCTGTACCATGATGCAATAATTGCTTCAAGATTACCCTAGGTTGACATTTCTCAAACGTTTTCTCGTTCTTTGCATTGGTTCGGATGGCGGCCTAACACCTTGACTGTGCATCGTAACTGGATAAAGCTAGAAAAATTCCGCATACATACGTAACACAAGATGTTTTAACGGTTTCACTGTTGAGCAGAGAAATGATACGACTGACTACTTTTGTTTGCCGTTAAGTGCGACGTCCCCGAACACCCGACACCGCTGGCGTATATCGCGCAGTTGAACTTTCTGCAGCTAGTGATGGGGACGGCCTTCGATCGGACTGGTCAAAATGTAAGTGTTATTTTTAACTGCGGGTTTGTTTTGCATTGTGACGAATAGCGAAAATGCCAAATGGTAACGTACTAGCTTGCCCAGACAGTAGTATCTGTATGTGGTACAGAGTACTACAGACGAAAAAAGCCAACCAAAAGGCACGTGATTTTGTTGGATGGGGCTTAAGGGAAACAAGTTTTCTTTTCCTTTCATCCGTCGACGCTGAGATGCTGGTGTGTTTGCTGAAGCACCGGTTGTACCTTATCGTTGTATTGCGCTGCCCAACGTGCCGGCTGCCAATGCCGGAAATCACCTGCCGGAAATCGGAATGCCGGAAATCAGTGACTTCCACTGCTACGGTTATCGGCATATAAGGATATCGGCATAGTATTCTACATAGTTGCCGCTGTTTTGTATCGTTGGGCTGGCTGCAAGCCTAGGGCTCCTCTTCTTGGATTATTATTGCACAATGACGCCAGTGTCAGCGGCAACTGTCGAGACTCTGCACTGTCCGCGACCCACAGTCAGCTGGCTTTTATTTACAGTTTACAATAATAACGCATCATTACAAATAACACATCTATAGTTTCTATATCCTATCAGTCTCATAAGCTGCACTAAGTTGCAGCATTTATTCACGTCCTGTTACACGGGACCCGCGCTTTACGGTTGACCCTGACTGCTAAAAGTCTGAGTGTGACTATCAAATTTCGGGTCTTGTTGCTTTTTATTGCTGTTGTTAGGGTTTTCTCAATTTTGTTAGATTTCTTATTTTCGTTTTACTCTTGTAATTTTGTATCCTATTTTCTTAGCCGCAACGCATGACTGCTGGAGAACGCTTTCGCGCTGCTTATACAAAGAATTCAGTACGTAGATTACCGGCTACTTCGTGAATGCAGTGGCGCGCATGATATATGCTGATTTTCAGAGGTTTAAACTGCATAACAATAATGGTACTGAATAATTATAAAACCCTACTCGTATACGTAGATCAAGATTGGTGCGTGTGGCTATGCGAGCGTAGTAAGCCGTACGTACGAGTTAAGCTTGAGGGTGAAAGCCAGCTCGCAAAGGCGTGTGTTTTTGTTAAAGCGAGCGAGGGAAACAGGTTATAATAGACAGTTTAAACATTATGCAAGTATAATGTCAGCTACATATAATAGCAAACCATAGCAATGACAAGCTGCAAAGCAGTTACGTTGCTCTGCAATGCGTTGTCGATGTACTGGGCATAACATTAACAATGTATAATAATTAGAATAACAGGAAGTGCACAGTTACCACGCAAAGTACTTATTACAATCCAGAATATTATTATTGTTCATTGAGGTTCTGAATTAGCGTGAGTAACTTATTGATGCATAGAAATAAGGTGTAAGATGACGATAGACGATAAGCATGTGCAGAGGTAAGAAATACAGCAGGGAACGATTGGCGGAGAAGGTTAAAGCCGCCGCCTCACGGGGCGACACCGTTAGCGCTCGCTAACCGCATCCCTCTGGAAGGTGACAGATCTTTGAACATGAAACATGTAGGGCTGCTCCTGTTGACGTTGTTGCCGCTCGGGTTGGCTCTGGTCGAATCGCTGTGGCTGGGACTCGTCCTGTCGATGGCGTAAAGGCGCTGCTGGTTGTCGTAAAGGCGCTGGCTGGTTAGAATATGATGGTTGCGGCTCGGCCGGCTGGTGATGCTGACGTCTTATTGGCTCTGGCTGGTCAGGGTGTAATCGTGATGGTTCGGGCTGGTCCTGGGCGTTTCGTAGCGGCTCGAGCTGGTCATGCTGTTGTCCTTGCCCTTGTCGTCCGCGTCTGCGCCGCCCCACAAACCGGTATGCAGCTTGCCCGATGTTAATTAACACGCTAACAACAAAGAGGGCCGTAATCACGGCGATTGCTACATTTCGGTTAGCTACTTCTTCAGCACAGGATTGCTTAGGAGCAGGAGGACAGTCTTGAGTGGTAATTTTGACATCCCCATATCGGGAATGCCACGAACCGATTCCTTCCGTACCAACTGTGTTGTCGTGTGGAAAGGGCGCCATTTAAAAAAAGCATCTAAAATATTATTTAGCAAATTTTTAGAGTACTGAAAAGTGAAAGCAATACATTCGCCCAGGGCTTTTATAGCCAACGGACTCCCAGTTTGTTGTTTTAGAGCCCGTAGTCGGCCCGGAACCCGGACCATTTCGGCGCAACAAACAAATAACAAGAAAAGAAGCTGCTTTCTTAAGTTGTACAGAACCATAACGAGTAATACTTAGTATTACTAAAAGTAAACCGCACTGTCTGCAAGAACGACAATCCTGCGCGGGTGCGTTAATGGTGGCAATCATGGCATTCAGTTCTAGCAGAAACAGCACAAAGGCTGTTTCAGCAAGTCAGTTTTGCGAACACGGTGGTGGTACTAGTGGGATTCGTTCCCTTTCTGAAAGGAAGATCAATGCCGTTTTGTTGGGCGACCTTCACGGTGTTTGTTTTTAATCGTGCACCAAACTGTTCTTTTACAAACCTGTACAATGCAACAGATTTAAAAAGATTTGTTGATCTGCGGCTAAGGGAGTTGAGTTATTAAAGGATGAATGACAAACAGTCTAATGTAAATAACCTCACCATATATTTTTCATTTTTCTTCACCATATACTTAGGGCATTAAGAAATTATGGCTCTTAAACTCGTTTAAATACAGCACTAAGTACCAAGGTCTGACAATGGAAATACTGATGTATGAAAATCGTTCGCACACCTAACCAGAACTGGACCATATGTTACAAAGAATTTTTTAATTCGTTTTGAAGTTTGAAAAATTCAAAGGGCAAAGGTCACACGGGGAACCGACGACTGGCGACTATGAGCGTCGGCGGCCAAACAGTCACCGCAAGCATGATCCACGAGATAGCACCGAGAAGCCTATACACCAATATCCGCCGAAATTTTGATAATAATAGTTAATATAATAATAATTTCTGAAAGAATAATAATTAATAAAAGAACAATAACGTAATAATATAATATACGAGTCATCTTCGGCTTCGCCTCAGGTGCTCTTGTGGTCTACAGTAAATTCCCTAAAAATTCCTAATCTTGTTCATTTACTGTATTATTTGAGTTTGGTTTTTGCGAGTTTTTTACATTATAGGATTACGCAATGAGTAAATCTAAGAGCGGTGCTACGTTTGTAATAAGTGCTCTGTATTACTGTTTTTTTTCAAAACAGTCTTACTGTTTTGGTCCCTTGTATTAGTAAAACTGGGCTGCAAACATTTTTTTATCACTTTCCCTTTTCGTTGCTTTTTGACAGTTGAATCATGTTTTGATCAATTATGTTCAGCCCTGAACAATCATCCCTAAACACTGTTGTGGATTATATAATTATAGGTTGGTTCTTTCTGGATTATTTCAGAATCAGTGTTTCCGAAAACTTGCAACTGCAATTTGCACAGATTCGAAACATCTTTATGACGGTTGCACTTGCATTTACTGCGAGCAGCAATTTTTGTAATTTCATTCTGATCATCCGTGTCTATGTTTTACCTGATCTAAGAAATACTCGTATATATGAGTTCATTAGAAAGGATGCGCAGAGTCAAAACGCGGACTTACATCGATCATCTGCGACCTACATCGAAGCGAGAAATAGGCGTACCAAGTCCCAATTGGCTGCGCTTCGTTGTTAGTCGCTTTTCGCTCGATGTCTGTCGGTGGGCGTCGACGAAAACCGTTACGAAGATGGGCGTACCTTGTAACGGGTCTAAGCGACGCCCAGTTACTTATAAACTTCGCGTTTCCGCGATTTTTTGTGGTGGGTCAGCATTCTAAGTTAGATCGAGGCTGCCCACCGCCAATAGCAAAATTCAAAACCACGTGATCGTTTCTCTATATTTTGACGGCGACGGTTAAACGATAAAATGATAGGGTTTTATGTCTGTTTTTGAGTTTCTTGTTTTTGCCTTCTTGTTTGTTTTTGAAATCAGAAGTGTAAAAACTGATAATCTTTTTGGCATTACTGGTGTATCTATAGCGCAGGGATGCTGCATTCTGCGAATCCAGATCAGACTGCGCAAGATCAGTGTTTGGCCAGGTGCGCTCGTGTTTACTAATTATTTGCTGCCTGATTATTGCTCAATTTACTTTTGATCACATTGACTAGCGTATTACAAATTGATTCGACTTGCCAAAACGTTCACAAATCCTTGTGGCTGTCTCTAACAATTTGCGGTATGCTCGTCATGTATAACTGCCGTCGTATCGCAGGGAACCCTGCGCGCTGGCTACCCAGCTGCTGGTGCTTTTGACAGTACACCCAGTTCTGTGCTTGATTTTTAATCTGATTTAATACCCCCCTACGATTAACACAGCTGGACAGCCTTCCATAGTAAGTCAGAAATTGATGTTTGATATCATGTTAGTTCAGCGAAGTATAAGTTGGAATAATCTGTTGGTCACATAAACATTTCCGATTTTTCGTCTGTATTTATTTTTAATGAAAACAAATTATATACTTGCTTAACCATGTGGCGGGTTCCCTCTTTGATCTGGCTACCCAGAAGTATATTATTAACCGCAGCCTTTTATTTGTTTTATCTAAAAACAATAATGCACAGCAATACCCAAGCGCACTTTGTTTTGATGCTTTTTAACAGCTTATATGGCACAGAAATGTTGTGATACAATTTAGAAGCATAATGTCTGCACGCATATTAAATTTTGTATGTCTGTATGTCATGGCAGTTGTGCGCATGCGGTCGAGTTTAGCCCGTACATAAGTACATACATGCAAGACGTGTAAACGGGCGCGGTTTTGCGTTCGATGTCTGTATGTCAAGGGTAAAAAACTTTGTAAGTAAGTCCGCGTTTGAACTTTGCGCATTTTATATATTGTTCGTATATAGATACGTGCGGATGTACAGATACTCGTACATGTACCGTACGTTTATTCGCCCAAGGTTAGCTCCGGTGATTTACATAAAACGGGTTTTCTTATTAAATATCTCACATCTGCTAACGACTTTGAATGTAGTGAGAGGTCGGCCTTTTTGATTAAGAACATTAAGATTTTAACTTTTTGATCCTAGTTAATATAGTAGTTTCGATTAAATCTTATTAAATTTTATTCAGTTGTTTTTATTCAGAAGTTACGGGGTTGTTGTAATATAGAGATAGGCAATTTAGCCAGTTAAGTGAGTCCTGTTTTGGCAGACACAGTAACTCGTAACAAAATAATCCATTTCATAACATGCGGACTTTATACCAAGCTGTACCGAAATTTCTGCATAAGGAGCAGCCTATACACGAAGATACATACAATCAATGCAAGGCTCATAAGCGTCAGATATGACACAGAAGCAGATGGAAAATGGGGCAAATAGCTTTATTGTGATAACAATAAAGCAACAACACAAAAACCAACAGAAAACCCGATAGGGAAAAGCTGTGGAAAAAGTGGCTGCAAGCGCGCTCGTAAGAATCGTGATAATGATTCAGCGTGCTGCAGGTATGGAACAGCTGATGCCGCAAAGCATGGAATCGCTCGTAGGCGCTGGGCTACGCCCCCAAGAGTGCTGCGATGCGCTGATTGGTCAGCGAGACAAAGTGAACGCTGAGTAAGCAGCGTAATAACGCGGCACGAATGGCGTGGTTATGTGCGGGCGGGCGACAGAGCAAGCCACAAGAGGTGTCTACCGCCTCGAGGCAGCGGTCTCTGACATAAGAAAGCACATCTATGAGCTTTAAAGCTAAAGGCAATAAGCGAAAGCACCGAGAAAATTCATCCACGAATCTCCATATCACCCCACACAATAACGCGCTGACTGCGATCACCGGTCAACAGTTGGCTGCCTTGTGGATGCCATGAGCAGCCCGTGATGGTGGTAGGATGCTCTTTGAGCATTTTCTCCAGATAATCCCCTTCTCGGTTTCGTACATTCCAAACGTACAGGACACCGTCATTGGAGCCGGCCATGACGTACTGTCCGTCCGGACTAAATACCGCTCGCGACCAGTCGCGGCCTACTCTGAAATTCTCCGCACTAAAATAACAATGAAATAACAATAAATAAAATAACTAAAATAACAAATTTTATTGTTATTTTATTAACAAGACTTTGTTTTTTAATTTTACAGTGAGGGCGAAAATGGCTTGTACACGCTATTGCTTACGATAAAGTCATGGTCACTTCCCGCATCCTCACGTCCACCACGCTCAGCGTGTCATCCCGGGAACAAGTTAAAACGTAAAATCCATCTGTAAAATTCGGTACACTTTTGTCATACTGCTATCCGAATTATAGGTGTCTCATTTTTACCTGGAGACAGATCTAGTGATGTGAGTTTTCCCTGCAGCGCCAGCTCGTTGACACTGGTGGCGCATCTCGTGTCCCAGTAGCGAATTTTGCCATCAAAGTGTCCACTGAGAATCGTCTGACTGCCGCACACCACGACGTCGTTGCAGCTGGAGCCGGCGAAGAAATTTTGTGTACACGCTCCGCTTCTGAGATCCCATAATTTGAGCGTCCGATCATAGCTGCCCGAAACCACGCGGTTGGGACCGGAAATGAATTTACTGGACAGCACTTTCTCTTTGTGCCCCGTTAATTTGTGCTATGAATAAGAAAATGCCAGACATTTAATAAAAGCATACAAACGGTATAACCGAGTGCACACTGTTTGCATCTTGTAATTAATTGTCTGTGCACACACACTGGCTGTACACACAGAGTCAGACACTGCTTGTACACTGTTTATACCTCGTCATAAGCATTAACCAGCTCAGATCCTAAAGTAAATCGAAATTAAATCGTTTTTTTAGTATGAATTTATAGATGTGCTGCATGCAAAAAATTAATTTAGGGTTTCGATCTACCGTACACCAATGCCCTATTTTTGCACTAATTATGGAACCGGTGCTTTATATATAAGACATTTATCAGCTCAGCTCTCTTAATTATCGAAAATAATTTTTCTTATCAGTTTTAATGTTTCAAATCTGTAACGCTCCGCAGAAGTGATTAACCAAATAGCTCTTCCGGTTATACCTTGAGGCGTAGGTCGAATATGGTCCAGAGATGCACGGCAAAATCACTGGAAGCAGCCATCACGAGGTTTTCTCCCGGATCAAAGTCCACTGACATTACGGCAGCATTGGGACCGGTCAGAATCCCGCGACACTCCGGTCGCGTGGGAATGCTGCTATCCCATAGCTTCACTTTTTTATCAGCACCACCGGTAGCAAAGAATCGTCCTGTTGAACTCCACTTAACAGCATTCACCTCACTTTCGTGAGCATCCTGACAACAACAATAATTACACCGAGAAAAAATTTCGCATTACAGAAATTCTGTAGAGCAGTTCACGTCATGAGAAAAATTTGCTGCTGAGCTTAACGAGTTAAGCAGTTTTTAGCATACCAGTCGAAGTTGAGGAAAAGAAGGAACACTGACGCAGTACACCGACGAGATACCCACTTCCTCCCAGCCATCACTCTCGTCAATGTTCACTTTGACCGGCTGCCTAATGTGCTTTATGATCTCCTCCAACATAGAGCTCTTACGTCGCCGGACAAAAGACTCCGCTTCGCGGTTCTTCTCTTCCGCTTCATCGGCTTTCAGTTTCAACCAGCGCCCAATCAACTCTTCATATTCCTGCTCCAGTTTCCGGTGCTTCTCTTCGATACAGCTGTAGGCTGCATTTAAAGCTTGTTGCTCATCCTTCAGAAGGCGATTGGAATGCTCCAGATCCAACAGCATCACCTCGGAATTAGAAATAGCCTGCTGGATGTTGTAGATGATATCCTCTTGATCTCTAATCCTACAAATGTGCGCGAATGACGATAAGATTCGGAGACACGGAGTCACACATGCATATAAATTAAAATGCTTCTTCCATTCGCGCCTCAAACAGGTACCTTTTAATTACGCCGGCAATGCATTTACATGCTAGGAAAACATTTTTTAAAAGCCGTTTTGTGATGGATACAGTGAGTAACTGACTATATAAGCGAGCAAGACCGCAAAACACACATAGGTAGGCAACCGTGGGGTTCACACTGAAAATTTGAAATTTCATAGTCTAGATGGCTCTGACTACGAAGAGAAAGGGACGGACAAGTACGCTCACTAATATGTGAAAACGTATGCGTTTTCCGAGTACAATTTCACATAACTAAAATCAGCATTTCAAATTATGTTTACGTTTGTGATAAGCGAATCTCTTGACAAGCAAAAGTCGACAGCTTCCTCAAATTCAGTTTCAAACCAAATTTTTAAAAAAACCAGCGATGCGTTTTTGTCTCAGCGATATTCTTATACGCACTTCCGGTCTTTATCGTGCAGGGTCATTTCTTTTTCCTCCAGCTGAGCACGCATATCAACCAATTGTTGCGCATTGTCCCCTTTCCGCTTGTGCATTTCCGTCAGCTCTTCCTGCAGCCGGTACACCTTCTGTTCCAGCATGCTGATTTTTTCCGCTGGGTCAGGATCTCTGTTATCAACAATACCATCAAAATTCATATTTGCATTTACCAGGGGTAGTTCAGGACTATTAATTTATACACTAATAACTGAAACAAAATTGCGGTCGTATTTTACCCGACATTTCCTCCGCGAAAACCGTTTCTCTGTGTATCATCTTTGGATTTTTCAACTTGATACTGTAACTGTTTGTTCTGCACCTTCAGCGATTCAGCAAGCTCAAACAATTTCCCATCTGAAAATTGAACTAGGTAATGTTGCTGGCACAATTGATACGTCTTCATTTCAGTGGTCGTAGAGGGAAGTATAATTTTTTTGACATAAGCAATGAACCTCATAATGTACGTAATGAACTATCAACCTTACTGTTAGCATGCATTAATACAACTCAACTTGTAAACAGTTGCAGTACTACGTACACAGAAGTTTAATATATCGGTAGTTGTACGGTACGTACCTACTAGAGCGGCCTACAGTTATAACGCTTAATATTTTATGCAGCGTATAAAAACAGACGTCAGTTGTCACGATGCGAGACCGGATCTGGCTGCGGCCTGCGAGAGAAAAATCGAAAGCCGTGCATCCCGAGGCGGTTTACTTGCGTTTGCAGGTAAACGCAATTCTAACTTAACGAAGATTCCGGTAAAATACAAAATTTTGACTAAATTTAATAAAATACTGGACGCGGTCGAATTCTTCGGAAAATTGCTGACAGCCCTTTGTCAGCAGCGGAAGCAGTCTCCCGCATCAGTGCAGGTTTACATTACATGCACGCCCCGATTGGTGCAACGTCCGTGTAACGGTGTAAGTGCATGTACAATACAGTCGTAGTATAAACGGGCGCTGGGCACTGGGCAATTTGAAGACTAATTTTTTAACAATACCAACATGTAGGTATTACGATCTCGAATTCTCGACCGTGTGATTTTGCATTCCTACGTAGGTAATGCTGCCTGTAAGTACACTGTGCAGTCTGTACTGTACACATAATATAGGGGGAAAAATGAGTCTAGCCGAACCAGTCCCTTGTACTTCTGATGTAAGCCAGCTGGTGGTTTACGTTGTGGCTAGACAGCGCTTTATGTACAGCGCCGCTATTAAGATTACAGGTACTGTAACAGGTAAGCAGCATTACGTAAGCAGGCTAAAACTGTATTATAGCCCGGTGCAGCTAAAACCACATGTACCGTCAATGCCGCACAGCCTTAATAGCAGCGCTTTACATAAAACACTGTCACGACACAACGTAAACCACCAGCTGGCTTGCATCAGAAGTACAAGGGACTGGTTCGGCTAGACTCATTTTTCCCCCTATATAATAATTTATGATGCACCATAACACTAAAGAAAGTCTTCCCACCCGTTACAGCTGGTCCAGTTTTTTTCAGACGGCCATATCATGGTACTAGGACGGCCGTATTGCAAGAATATCAATATACGCAGCACAGGTATACAGTTAAATTCACTTTACGAGTTAATTATTTCGAAACATACCAAATGTTGACCATAAACAATGTTTCTTACATGCATCAAACACCGGTCTGAAATCCTCTCCCGTGCGATTCCTCTTCTTTAGCTTCTGCAGTACATGGACTTTCCAACCATTTGTCGACGGTGGCGGTAGTGACGATGTGCGTGACATCAGAAGCGAAAACGAAAATTCTGAACGCCGAATATTACTGCAAAACTCGCTGCAGCTGGAGAAAAGGCTTACAAAACCAGTACCACGTACTCTATGGCGCAGACTGCGCTGTGTATGAAAATTTATATTTTGACCATGCAAGATATAAACTTTTGTGGCTGTATCAGAGAAGCAGGTATTGCACAAATGAAAACGCCATTATTGAAAGATAAACATAACGGCGAAAGATGCTACAGAATTAGAAAAATTCAAATTACTGTGATGATAAAGAGTAGAGACTGCACTATGTCATACCATAATATACAAAGTACCGTACGTAGCAGAATGTGGTGTGTACTGTGTAATATGCCCCATATTCATTTTGATGTTTGTTTGTGCTAACCATCAATACGAGCACAGTGCAGCCGCTTTCGTGGTCACACATTTATCACGCATGTGGGCAACTGGGCATGCAGCACAAGTACGACGGTATTTATCGTTAATACGTCTTGACTACTTGCGAATCTGTTTCTACAGTATGTACTTGCTACTATTAAACCAGTTAAAGTCTTTAAGTACGTCGTACCATTTATTTTTGCATCCTGCCTTTGAGTACCTGTACGAGTCTTCGTCTGTGATTAATATAATTATTACTATTGCGTCAGCCAGCTGTGAATCAGAATCTGAGCATTATTACCTGTTCTGACCGTCGCTTGAGCTTTGCCAAAATCAGCAGTTAAAACGCCAATAAATTTACGGGGTTAATGTACATACTAACTTCGATAACCAACCGGCTGCAATATATATTTTCCGCTACAAATTACGAAAAAACCACGCTAAGTTCACATTTTTTTGTAAAAGCTATAGTACCTCCTGATTACGGAATAAATAAGAAGCGTATCCCATGTTCGCCCGTTCGGTGCTCGTATGGTAAATTCCACAAGATACCGCTAAATGCTACACTCTACAGCACGGTACTTCGTACATAAAATTCTGAATGAAAATCAACGGCTGTTTTCACTGACAGCATCGATAAGATATCAGAGTAAAACCGGCTGGTGATAAGATAAAACTCTTTTCTGCTACGTCATATTTGCCATATGGTTAAATGGTGAATGATATTAATGGGGACAGATATCTTTTTCCGAAAAATCTTTTCATAATTTTCAATTACACAGGCAGTGAGGCAGATTTAAAATAATAATTGTTACCGTATTGGGGTAGGTTCTGCACCCGCATAATGTAAGCAACACGGTTATGAAGCAACCAAATCGGCTGTAGATTTTTGGTTTAACCGATTTTTTACCAAATGCGGACTGCCGATAGTACGCGCTATTTTGCCTTTAATTTCAGCTTAGCTTTTGCTAATACGTTCCTGGTGTTTTATGCGGAAAAGCATCTTCGAACTTTGATTGGAACTTGGAAGCAATTCGCAACCAGGTTTGCTCATTGCAGATTTGCATATCACGGTACTTGTTGTGATTTTTTATTTCGGTGTTTTTGTCTGTTGTTTCCGGATCGATTTTGGTGTTAGGATGCTAAAGCATGTTGCCGATGGGGAGACGAGATTTTTGTTTTTTTGATACGTCACGGATGTGATAGTCTAACGGATAGTTTGATACGTCACAGATAGTCTAACCGTTCTCCCACGTTATCACACTTTCTTGCAAATCATTACATATCATTACATAATTGCTACTGTCACGTTGCAGTGACGCTGACCAACTATCATCACCAGATAAAGGGTTCTTCTACAATATATTCTCACCGTATCTCAAAATTCAAATTATTAGTGACGTTTTTAATGCTGTTCTCAGCATGATCACATCCGTGACGTATCAAAAAAACAAAAATCTCGTCTCCCCATCGGCAACATGCTTTAGCATCCTAACACCAAAATCGATCCGGAAACAACAGACAAAAACACCGAAATAAAAAATCACAACAAAAACGAGAAAGAGCATCGTCAAACAATCCACAGCCAGCCGCCGAACTACCGTTGTCGTGTTCACATATCACTCCACAGAATAACTTTCTTATTTCGATCACAAGACAGCAGCTGATTGCCCTGCGGATGCCAGGAGCACGCCGTGATGGTGGTCGGGTGTTCTTTCAGGATCTTCTCCACGTTGTCCACCTGGCCCGTTTTCAAGTTGAACACATACAGGTTGCCGTCGTTGGAGCCGGCCATCGCGTACTGCCCATCGGGACTGAATACTGCGCGGGACCAATCGCATCCCACTTTGAAATTTTCCGCACTAAAGAAGAAAGCATTAACAAATTAATAATCAAAATTAATAGTAACACATCAGTTGCGCATCCTAAAAAATTAATATTACACATCATTTGCCAAATCGAAATCACAAAGTTGTAATGAGCTAAAACAATATCAGAAGCGATACATCCTGTGATCTTACACCGATTCATTATCTGGCTCATTAAAAGACAAATACGCTTTTCGACAAACTCAGATTCTGGAGAAGCATAACACTGAAAAAAATTCTTACGCAAGGGTGACGGTGACTTGGTTCATCCGAACGTCGATTACCCTCAGAAGATCATCCCGTGAACACGAAAGAAGGTAAAATCCATCTGCAAAATAAACAGCGTTCGTGAGTAACAGGCTAACAGCATTCTTACCGGAAACTATGACTGTTTCACCCAAAAACCATAATTATAAAAATAATTTAGTTTGCTAAAAAAGGCAGAACGTTTATGAAATAAAATACAGATCAACAAAAAAACAAATATAGAATCAGTGTACTCGTACCAATGAACTCGATTATCAAAATTAATTATGCTGTTTTTATTTTGCTCGATATGATGAAGGCCCTGTAGATGCAGCCAGCCAATGCTCTACGAACGTTCCGCGTAAACTAGATAGAGATTAGAGAACGTGGGACATGGACATGAGACTAAACTTAACATAACTTGCACAATGCAATCATAATACTGCTATTAATCGCCAATGCCGTAAATAAAAAATTAAATCTTCCTTATTTCTTACAGGAATAAGAGGCTTCGGATATTTACTAACCATTACAGATTATGGTTAATGTTTTTCTACCTGAGGACAAATCAAGCGAGGTGATTTTCCCTTGTAACAGCAGCTCATTAACGCTATTATCCGATCGTGTGTCCCAGAAGCGTATCTTCTTATCGAAATGTCCGCTGATAATATTCTGACTCCCATACACCACCAGATCATTACAACTGGACCCGGCAAAGATCGTCTTCTCACAGGCTCGACTCCGCAGATCCCACAGCTTCAACGTCCGATCATGGCTGCCCGAGACAACGCGGTTGGGCCCGGAGATAAATTTACAGGATAATACTTTTCCGGAATGTCCGGTTAGTGTGTGCTATGGAACAACCAGTCATTACCGTCTGAATTGTCAGCCCCGTTAAAAGTCAGAGGAAGAACAGAAGGAAACTGAGGAGAACGCTTACTACCCTAAGCCGTTGGTCACTGATGGTCCAGACGCGGGCGGCAAAATCGTTGGAGGCGCCGACCACCAAGCTCTCGCCCGGGTCGAACTCGACGGACATCACGGCGGCGTTGGAGCCGGTGAGGATGCCACGACATTCCGGTCCGCTGGGACCGCCGGTTTCCCATAATTTGACTTTCCGGTCGGCGCCGCCGGTGGCGAAATAACGTCCCGTCGGACTCCAGCGGACGGCATTGACTTCACCTTCATGAGCATCCTAAAAATATTTAATCATGAATATTAATATTATTATTACAACGACGAAGGTGGGTGAGATCAAAAAGGTGAGGTTAATTTCAAATTCACAAGCTTCAAGAAACTGCACTTTAGAATTCAACAGAAAACCAAGTAAAAAAATCCTTGTAACATGAGAGGTATAAATTATTTTGAGTACTTACCATATTTGACAAGATACTCTTATCGATTCCATATTTCAGAACTAATTTTAAAACACATTATTTCGTACAAAATTACCATGCTTATAAAACTATTTAACATATAAACAAGAGTAAATATTCGTTATGTATTCTTCAGTTAATGCTTATTTAAAAGTAAACAGACCGATGCGAGAAATTTTTACTTACTATTTTTCGTTGAGCAACGGACGGAATGATCACACAGCAGATGGGAGGCACGGAAAACTCATCCAATCTCAATAAATTATCAAGATTCACATTGACAGGCTCTTTGGCGGCTTCCAGGATGTCATGCTGCATGGAGCGTTGCCGCAGCCGGGCCGAGGCCTCAGCTTCCTGGTTCATCCGGTCCACTTCCTGTGCCTTCAGCTTCAGCCAGCGATCAATCAACTCCTGATTTTCCAATGCCATTTTACGGAACTTCTCCTCCATACTACAATAGGCAATGTGTAAGGCTTGCTGCTCATCCTTGAGCAACTGATTGGAACGCTCCAATTCCAGCACAGCCGCTTCCGACTGTTTGATGGCTTGTTTGGTCGTGTAGATCATCGCCTCTTGATCCTGAATCCTGCAATTGAATGAATAGAAAATTTTGATCTTCTTTATCTACTCAATCCAATCCTGCAAAAACAAGTAAAATTTTTCCAAAGACTCAAGTGTTCCTTATACAATCAGTTCGAAAGCCATGCAAAGTTGCAAACCAAAGAGCATTTTAAATACCTATACGATAACTAATGTATGTAGTACCGTGGCTCAAGATCAGACGTAAAGCCATGGCTAGAACTTAAAAAAAATAATGCAGTGTATGGTTCTACAGGACTGGTAATTCATAAAAAAGTTTTCACACTTATCTTAGAACTCTTCAATTTTTACTCTATTCGGTAAGAATATTGTACTTAAATCTGATACTTTTTACTTTACTTTATTGGAATATTACTGTTTTTTACATTACTATTATTAAGCTGTCCGAAGAAACAATGTCACTTCTAGACAAAGTCGAATCACCGAACTCGGATGAAAGTAAACAGACAAGTTGAAACAGACCACTTCCCAATTTCATTCTTTTTCCAGATTTCATTCTTGTTTCCACAATGCCTTCAGCTTCAGTGAATTAAGCTCAAATATTATAAAACAACACAACTGCACATGCTCGTAACAGGAATAAATGTTATTTATTGCCTGAATACTATCTTCCATTATGTTTAGTTTATGATTTGTCCCAAATCAGTTCAATTTAGTCCCATGTACCGCATCCTAAGGTTATACGTAATCAAGGAAAAAATAATCAAGGCAAATTTCCTAAAAACTGGACAAAATGTCATAATATTTGTACGAGGATCCTGCAAATTGCAATGACTTCCCAGTTGCCACAGGCACGCAGCACGTTTTTCGTTCTTTTGTCGGGAATGGATGTGTCTTATTGAGAAATCAAATTAGCGACTAGCCGGCACAATAACAGCCAGCGGAAAGCCATTTTCTAACTTGATGTTTTCCTCAGGTTTCCGATGGGATCTCTACGCTCTGCAGTTTACACGCAATGTCGCTCATGACCGCAGAATTGATCCGCCAAATAGATATCGCGTTTAATCGATTTTCCCTTAATTGTCCCATAAACCGCCAAAGCACCCGGTAAATCGCTGACTGCTGAGAGACTCGAGCCCACTGATAAAAAATCGGGTCGATTGTGCGCTCATTTGCTGGACCCATACGCTAAATCAAAAGCCAAATAAAATGCGAAAAATGCCTCCCAGTAACTGAATTGGTAGCGTTCAAGTACGGACGGAATGTTACCATGCCAGACACTGAACATAATACAAGTAATTATTTCTCATAAGACATTATACAAGTATGTAATATTTTCTTAATACTAATTTTTTGTAAAATTATTTTTCACTTCCTTACTTCTGTTTATTAAGTTTACCAAATTACTTATTTACTTCCCCATAAAAGGTATTATAATTTCTTTTATACCCCTAGTTCAGTTTATGCTAACGATATCGTAGCATAACGGCTGAAGCAGGAAGCCACTAAAGTCTCATCTGTTATCAGCTTCTACTTACAGATCCCGTTCACATTGTGAATGAATTTTAATTGTTTAAATACATAAAATTAATTTTTGGTTTACGAAACAGTTAATGAGGTAATGCGCTACACGCACAATAAAAAGATAAGGAAATGGAAAGCCAGGAACTTCTAAATTTAATTAATCACTAACAAAAATGTTTTCTTTGAACTACCCAGGATAATTACAAAATCCTAAATTCACACTAAATTAACAGTGATTACCAATACGAAAAAACCGCATGGTCGAGGAAATGTACCAGCTGCGGTTATCTAATCATAAACACACATCAAGCGAACTGCATCATCAACATAACCACAAAGCTGAGGGAATTGTTATCTCTAAACAAACACACTATCCTTTTATCGGGATTCAAAACGCTCAAAACGCCAGCTGATGGATTCCCACCCATGTGCAGCGTTAAAAAAAAATCAACATCTGCCCTGGCCCTGAACTACAACCGGAAATCAGAGATTCTCGCCTGAAGTAAATCAATCACCCAATATTATTGTACAGGGTTCCGAAAGCAAATACAAGGGAAGCTGACGTTTTGCTACATGAAATATCATCCGACATCCTCCGTTATGAAAAGCCGTTTTAAATTGAAAAAAATGCAAACCGCTGCGCGCACAAAATGCAAAATCAAATAAAAGTAGAGCGAAGCCGTGAATCCGTTTCCAGATAACCTCCATTATACAGTGAAAACATGAAAAATTAAAAAATAAATCAACGGCATTTAAATAAATTATGTTGAACAATTTGTACATTTTATTTACGGCTGTTCATAACAACAGTCGAGAGCAATCTTCCCATCGACGAGCCAACACACTACGCTAATCGCAGGCATCTTCAATGAGTGAGAAAATATAATGTTTTATTGGGTTCTTTGAACCTTCGTGTTAAACAACAACGTTTATACTACGGTCACAAATTCCAGAAGCCGGGTTGTAATTACTCGGCTGGCTAATCAGATGTGTATCCATTAAAAATACTGTATTTAAATAATTTCACCGTAAAAATAATACCATTTGTTGTAAAACACTGTTCAGATTTATACCAATTTCGCACAACGTACTTGCGATCCTTTTCGAGGAGGATGCGCTCTTTTTCCTGCAGCTGATTCCGCATATCCACCAGCTGCTGTGCATTATCGCCCTTCTTCCGGTGCAAATCAGTCAGCTCCTCCTGTAGGCGATAAATCTTCTGCTCCAGCATAGCCACTTTCTCCGACGCTTTCGGATCGCTGAAATATGACACGCACTGCACAAATCCATACAAATCTAATCCGCTTTACCCAGCGCTCTGTTCTATTTACCCGGCGTCCCCGCCGCGGACGGCAATCCGCAGATTTTCCTCCTTAAGCTTCTCAACTTGTAAATTGAGCTGGATGCTCTGGGATTTCAGTGAATCCGCATGCTCAAATAATCTCCCGTCTGTGCACAAAGCAAAAATACCTTTAGCAAAATTTTAAAAATACGGCTTTGCTGATCACAATCTGGCAAATTAACAATAATTAGCAGCAGCAACAGAAAATGCAGTTGTTAAGATGCACGATCACCAAAAAAATTAATTTGTAGAATTTAAAAAAATATGAATTATTTAATTACTACTGGCAGTCAAGTGCGCTTACAGGCGTCGAACACGGATTTGAAGTTTTCGCCTTCCACGCGATTTCTTCGACCCAACTTGATCAGAATATCTGATTTCCATGGCTCGGGTATTAATGAATGTGGAGAAGACGATGGTCGCGGAGTTAAAGGCATTACGCGAGTATCTAGCAGTCACGCATGCGACTGAATAAGATCCCACAACGAAAAACAATCACAATAATTCGAAAGCGGTATTCGCTGCAGTACTGATATCACAATTTGAAATCCGGGTAATTAACTGAAAACGGCAAGATAAATTCTGGCATGTACTGAGTACTCTCATTAAACCAAAGCCTTCACTACAAACTGGAAGAGACCGTTTGAATGGATATCGTATAAAGAAAACTGGATAAAATCATCATAAAAAGGAGTAGAATGGAGAGTTGAGATCGGAGATCCAGCACACTCTGCTCACTCGGATGCCAACGTTGCGCTGCCAAAATCACAACCATAACTAAAGCTGTCACAACGAGCTGCAAACAAGCCGTCCTATCTCAGACTATCTGCTCGTAAATGCCCCTGCAATCTTTGATCAGTCCGGGTTCTTTGGTAAAAATAAACAGGATAATCGATAATTTTTACTTTAAAGCATTGCAAACGATAGCGGAATTGCACTTTAAAAAAAATGTAAAACTTCGACAAAACATCATGCGATCGCAGAAGTTTCAACGCGCTACAGCAAATACAGTTGGCAGCTGCAGCGGATACAGAAAAGTTCATTTCCCGTGGTCACAATGATTTTCAATGAGAACAGACCGATCTTTAAGTGGCGATAGTCATACCTTCCCTGCATCCTGCACTGAATCAGGCAGTTTCCGTTTCCGTTCTGCTGTGTTTCTTTAATCGTTCGCCGTTTTGTATTAAAAGTAAAACGGAAAAAAAATTCATGAAATTATGAGAATACGTCTGAATTCGTTTTTCATCTGATTTCTGTGGATTCTCGATTTGAAAATGAGATCCTGTAAAACCAGCTTTCAGTTTGTTTCCTAACATTTACAAGTTGTAGTGTTTTATGGTTTCTGAACCGGAAGTGCAGTTCTTCAAAAGTTATTCCATCATTTCGATTGGCGGAGCTTCCAAGTTTGTTTCATTTAAGCATTGTGACAACGATTTTTGTGGGATCGGTGTTGGATTACGCATCTGCTTTAGTCGTGATATTTTTTGCGTGGATTATCTTCTATCAAGCGTGATAGCTTACTAGTTACTACGTACAGTTCTAAACGGGTTTATTGCTATCATGGCGGATCCGTTATCCATTCTCCGCGACTTCCACATCAACAAGAAGCGCATTGTGGAGCGCGACGATCTGATCATCTTCAACGACACCGCGTTCAAGAAGAACGCCAAAACCAACTACCTCCAATATGGGTATGATCTTACCTCTTCGATCAGCATTTTCTCAGCGCGAGCAGCGTAACGTACTTTGCAGAAGTGAGAAGGATTCCATCAACAAGGAGTACTACACTCTGGACTGCCTCGTGTTCTTTCTGGAGAACGAGAAAGTCAACCATCCCGCTTACGTCATCGCAGCCACGGTACAACACTCCTGTTGGGTCTTTGCGTGAGTATTGTGGGTACTAGTGTCGTTGCTGTACAGAACAGGAATCTGACGGTGGTGAAGCGACCAGATCGCAAGGAACTATTGGAGTATCTCAGTGGAGAAGCAGCGACTAGTGAACGCATCGATCGCTATGCGCCCATCGAACTGCATGTGCCCTTCAAGCGGACGGCCGAGGAGGCCCCGCAGCAGGCCCGTCGGCCCCGTGTGGAGACGGAGAAGAGCATCCGGGATCGGGAGAAACTCCAGGCGAGGTTGGAGGCCCCGCGGGATCAGACAGCGACTGTCAGTACGGAAAAATTAACGTAAGTTCAAAATTCAATTTTGGTACCAGGTACAGTACTTCGGTACGAGTTTTGATTATTCACAATTTATTCGATGATTTGATTGTTTTTTCATTATTTATCGAAAATGCTCTTCCTTAACGATCAGGTTTCTTTCTGTTTGTTTGTTTTGAGAGTTCTTGCAGTACTCTGCCTTTTTATTCGATAACTCTACCAGCGCAGAAAACATTCAAAACAGTAAACCTGCGTAATATGATAACCATCCTAAATCGCTACTTAGTGTTAAATGTTATTCATGAACAAGTAGAGTTTCTTACTCGTACTTCAAGCTACTGGTGGAAGTACCGGTGTTTTGTAGTGAAGTGACGATATGATAGTACTTGCCTAACTTCCTTATCCGTACATTGCAACGTTATCGAATGCTCAGTTTCTAATCTGTTTAAAAGAATTTGGTAATTTTTAAATGTTTTAAAATTTGTAAAAAATTTTTGCTCTACTTGAGGGTTGAGGCAATAAATTGTGAAGGTGGAATCTGAGATGAATTTGCAAACTTTATTCATATCAGTCTTATTAAAAACATATTTCTCTGATACTCGTAAAGAGCCGTTCCTACATTCTACATTTCCAGCAACATATCCATTTTTTAAGTATATTTTTTCACTTAACAATTTTTCAAATTTTTTAGTAATGTGCATAATCTTTAATCTGTTGAGTTTTATCGTGATATCTTACTTATGTTGTATTGGCTTTTATAATAGGATTTTACCGTTACGTTTACCGGTTTACGTATATAAAAGCATGAGACAAAAGATTTCTGAGGGAAATATGGTATGCTTAATTCTTTGAATACTGACAAGTGACAAACCGAGGATGTCAGGATGAAGTTCGAATGCTGTACATTTTTGATTTGTGTACAGGTCGTTATCGGACATGATTTCCGTGGAAAAGATCGCCGCAATCAAAGCCAAACGTCTAACCAACAAGCGCAACACCATTCGCACCACGGATGACGACATGATAGCGACTAGTGATCTGCAGCCGGTGATGGACGCCGACGTGGATGCTCTGCGGGAAGTGGTTATCCGCGAGCGTGTCGGTCGGACCCGTGCCGATATAACGCGCGGTCCGAAGAATCTTACGGAGCGTTTGGCGCCCATATTCGCCATGATTAAAAACAAGGATGAGCGCAAGAAAACGGACGCGGCTAAAGTGGTACCCACAGTCAAAGTAAGTTTCCTGACAATGTCAGGAAAGGGCGCGATTCAGTTGGTGCACGAATCGCTCGGAACATGTATTGTTGTGTACAGCCCTCCATTCCCGCGCCTAAACCCGCTGTGGCCCCGGTGTCGTACAACCGCTACGAACAGGAACAGCTCAATAAAGCCAGTGGTAAGAGCAAGTGCCTTGTGCTCATTAAGATTTCTCACCTGTTATAACGTACCGTATGCGTTGTCGGCAGGAATCAGTTTTTGGATCAGAAGCTTGAGTGCTGTAATTAATTTGACTTCTCTTGGTTGCCATTGGGTATCGATATTGGTGTAGTGTAATGGCAACAGAAAGTGTGACGTTTCTTAGTCAAGTTTGTAACTTTGTCAGTTTAATCAATTATCATAATGAGTTTATCATAACTGAAAACCAGTTAAACAATGCTTATATAGTAATTTTTTGTTAGCGGTCAGGATTACGTAGATGGATAGGCTGTCTGTCTAGCAAAAAAGAAATTATGAAGGTCATATTTTTAAATGATTTTACTTTTAAAACATTTTGGCTTTTGGTTTACCTCATCTACAGTCTTTATCGCCGGCCTGTATTGCTGTATTATTCTTTCCGATGTCGCCTGTTATATGGTACAATTGTTGCATAAAGGAAAATTTATTATGTGTCAAGTGTACTAAAAAATATTTTGGATAAATTCTTTTCATGCTTTCGGTCACGGCTATTTATTGCAGGCTTGGAGTTCAATATCAACACTATGCAGTCATACCGTGCGGCACAAGATGCCAAGGCAGCGGATGGATCTCCGGAGAAAATGTCAGGCAAAACGCAGACGGACGGCGGTACAGGACAGCGGAAAACCCCTTCCAAGACTCCAATTATTGTTGTACCCTCGGCACCCACTTCCTTAATCACCATGTACAACTGTATGGATATCCTTCAAGACAACAAGTGAGTACTAAGTATATTCGTTTAAAGTTGAATATCGGTTAGCGAAGGACGTTATTCTGTACACGAACTATAAAAACGAAGAAATGCAGTGAAGGTACGACTAATGTAGAGCAGAACTGGCTACATTATATAAAAGCCAGTAACATTCATTAGGCAAAGGATCTGCTGAACTGCCGGTACTTTGTAAGTTTGTTGGGTATTTTATTTGTCGCACATGATGCATAATTTTTGTTGGTAATCAGAAACGCAATATGTGTTAATAATGATGATTGTCGTAGATTTGTTCCGTCGGATACAAAAAAGAAGGACGGTACCAAATACGAAAGCGAGATGTTGATCCAGCGCAAGAAGCCGGACGGCACGACGGTGTCCATTCGTGTGATGGATAATCCCAGTAAACTGAGCATGGAGGATTGGGATCGCGTCGTCGCCGTTTTCGTGCAGGGACCGGCTTGGCAGTTTAAGGGATGGCCTTGGAGTGGCAACCCTGTTGATATCTTTGAGAGACGTAAGTTCTGATAGGTGTCCATCAGTTTTGAAAACTGATGTACTGTTCAGCGAAAAATGGCCTTTTGGCATAACATTATAGATTGTCTTGAATGAATATTTTGTAATAAAATAACTCTTGCACCCGGTAATGTAAAGTAAAGTAAGTCGCAGTGTAGTTAAAATTGCCGATGGACACACCGATGTTCTGGGTCAACATACTCACATTGGATGTCGATATTGGGGTAGTACGGTGGCGGGACACAGGTGGTGCTTGGGCGTTGCCCAATTCAGTTCTCGCTTCTGCTTGGTAGATAGAAACGTTGATTAATGTCACAGTCAATTATTTGTAACGTAAATTGTTTCTGAGCGCTAAACGGTACCAAGAATATGTTGTTTTTGATAATTATTGTGGATTATATACGAGTATTTTGGTAGTTATACATGCAGTACTGCAAAACTGTATGTACAATTATACGGCACAACTTTTTCGATTTCTGTATGCTGCGAAAATTATTTATCCTTCGTAAATGCATGCTTGGTTTCTTTAAATTTATATTCAATATTAATCGACCTAATCGTGTTTTTGTTGCAACTGCAGTTAAAGCTTTCCACTTGAAATTCGACGAAATGCCGACGGATAAGAACGTGGCCGGATGGAACGTGCAGGTGGTACCGATTAATCGTACCAAACGCCACCTGGATCGCGCTAGTCTGCTCAAATTCTGGGAGAGCCTGGACAAGTTTGTTGTAAAGAATCGACCCCATCTGCGCTGGTAGCTCGTACAGTTGGATGGATGCAGTTTCCCTTTAACCTTTTTAAAAAAAGTTTATTATTGTATCAACATTGTGACAGACATACTTGTGGTTTTAGTTTCGAATAAGGAATGATTTTGTTCGATATATTGTATTGTTGCTTCACCCAAATGTTTGGTTTTTTGTTCTACTTGGGTGAACAGTGGACAACTGGACATTCTGTTGATACGTTAATGGAATTTTGTTTCGGTGTCTAAAAACCGCGATGGTTACAGAAATTCGAATGACACGAATCGTTGTTTGCCTTTTAGTGACGAAATCTGATTCGAATAAAAGAAGTCTTGTAAAATTCGCCAGTGCTTTCCATACGGAAATAATCAATAAATTCAGGCAATTACAGAGTATAAGATCTTGTGTTTGAGTTCATGCGCCATGCCAGTAAAATTTTTGCATGAACGTTTTCACATCTACTCGCGTTAATCAGATCTGCTCCGGCTCCCGTTTAGTTTTGTTATGTTACAAAATCTCCATTGGAAAGAGTAATTATATATGTTTTACAGAATAATTAATATTTGAAAAATGTGAAGTTACCGTACCGGAAACCGGCGGCATATGATTTTCGCCGCGCGCCGAGCAGCAAGACCCGGCGAAAATGGTATGCCGCCACCGTGCAGTCGTACCCACCAATATAACGCTGCGGGATGCTGAAATTATGAAAATAAGAATCCACTCCTTTAGTGCTGACCTTGGTTTCCGCCTTCCGACCTGCTTAGTCTTGATCCATTAATTACGCACTTAATACCAACTACCAACCCATTTTCCAGTCTTATGGGAACATTTCAAAAGACGTGTACAGTGTATTTACAACAAACTGTTTTTACTACTTACGGCTAACTTACCGACGGCGACAACCAGTCAAACTGATTCACTACGCGCAAAAAAATGTGCCTATTGTATTGCACATCACAAGTTCAGAACTTTACCGTATCGGTGGGCGGTTGCAAAACCGTTTTATAGCCTGCGGGTTTTGCAACCTCCTACAAGTTTCCGGTTATTGTGAGCCGATGTTGATGTTACACTCGGCGTCATCCCGACCTCCCGTTGCGTCCAAAAATTCGTATTAGCCTTATGCACACTTAATTTCTTAATTTTGGTTTTTGCAGTTTTCTACTCAAACTGCAATGGCCAGATGGACATATACGTAGTATGACCGGTACAAATGTTTTCAATTTTTACGTTGCAAAAGCAAAAGTGAGTACGGCTTCCCGGAAATCTTAAGCATTGAAATTGTAGGCGGGTTCGGTGGTTGAGCGCGCATGACGTCGCCTCGATGACGCAGCCAGGTACCCAAGTGGGCGGTGCCTGGCGCGCTCTGCGCCGGTTATGTCTGGTATCCGCTGATGTCATACACCGCTGCTCTTGCTGTCTCATGATGGCAAAACTTGTCAAACTGGATCCAACCGCAGCGCTGCGGTACAACTGCAAAATGTCGCACATCCGGTCATAGCCAAGTACTACCGCTGCAGCTCTTTCACGATCTTTTAAACCAACCAGAGAGGTACGTGTATACGCCGATCGATATGCACGATAAAGTGTGAATATGAATTTTTATGACAAATGCAGGCAGACAGACGTGCTGGTATGCCGCATGCTTTTTAAATACACAGCATCGGTGGTGTTGCACACTGTACAGTAGTGAGACGGATTTTTTCCTGCAGTGAGCTCATATCGATTTTTGTTATGACGGGATCAGTGCCTGTTTCCCACTGTTGAAGTTGTCTGTTAACAAATTCTGTTCTCTTGTGGATCTTTATTCTTTAGTTGACAGACGGATTATTTTTGGTAGATTTTTGTTTTCCCGGATTACATAAACATTTTTCTTACGGAAGTGCGATTTTCCGACAGAATTCACAATGCCCTTAATGAGGAGTTGTGGCATGTTTGCCCTGAAAACGGGCTGTTATCTCGTAGCAGCCTACACATTCGTAAGTACTTTATACAGCAGTCCAACGGAATTTTAATGAACATTCCTTTTGGAATTTATTTTTCCCGTCCGGATCGATTAAATTATATGTTTTGGGTTTTTTTTAGATGGTGGCTATCCTGCTCTTTGCCTTCAACATTTACGATTACATTAACGCCGCGGATTATCTGGCCTGGTCGCGTATTGTCAGTTTTGTCGCCGCCAGCGGATTATTAATAGCTGCGTTATGCCTGGTTGTGGGACTTCGACTGGTGAGTTATTTTGAAACGCTTATGTGTGATCCTGTCGGAAGTGTTCTGTTTCGTATTTTATGTCCACTAATGTTCACAGTACAATGGTGGTATTGATAAAATTCTGACAGGCGGTTTCGATTTTTATGTCATGGTTGGTTTTATGCCGTTTTGCGTGTCGTGCATACTGCGTACTCATGTGCAAAGCATAGAAGTACCGTTAACGGTTAAACTCTTATCGGGAGAAACAATTAATTGAGCAGAATTTTTTGAATTATGGTGTACGGCTTATTTAACAGCTTAATTTACTTTTCGTGAGTTGCACTTTTCTTCTTAAAAAACATACGTTTTTGTAATTATTTTTGCTAAAAACTAAGAAAATTCTGTACATTTCGAAATAATCATTAACAGGCATAATTAAATTTGTTTTTCCCGTGTACTCGAAAGGTCAGGTATATTCGGCAGCGTCACTGCCTAATTTTGAGACGACTAACGGTGAATGAGTTCAGCAGATTTGTTAATCCATTTTTTTTGTCCGGCGTTACTCACTGTAAATTGACTCAAAATAATTCGGTTTAGTTGTTTGTGTTAGTAAAGTTAAGCGCCGATGCCGGGCGATTTTCACACTGCTGTAACGTAGTCATGCTACACTGCATATTAAAATAATTTGATAAAATACGGTTCGATCTGTTAATTTGTGCGGAAGTATTGCCTTCGCATCGGAAATTGTTACATATAAATTTGACTCGGTTTTCAATTTTGTAATCATGGGCTCATGGCTGAAATGGCCCCCTGGTTCTCTGTTTTATTTTGTTGTGATTTATCCATCCACACGCCGTTTTTACTACAGCAATGTGATTTTATTTTTTCCAGAATTCGCCAGCACTTCATTTAGTGTGGCTGATATTGTTTGGATTCTACATGGTGTTCCAAATAACGGCTTTCGCATACACGTTGTTCTTTTACGCTGACGACTCGGAACAGCCGGTAAGGCAGGATGATGTGGAAATGGTAATGTCTGATGGCGTCATGCTTCTGTGGTATTGCATGGCATGCCTTTTGTTGCTTGATTTTTGCTTTACCGTTATGCTTCATAATTTGTTCATTTATTCCTTTAAACAGAATGGAGGTGTGTATTGCATATGGAAAGCAAACTTTTTCCGGTGTAGCATGACTCTAAAGTGTGCTCCATCATGCATAATTTTACTAACAAGTACTAATTTTAAATTGCGTTTAATGCATATGACCTGCTAAAATATCCACTGCACTTTATGGTCCTAGTTTCTATTTACTACTTATCTTCCAGTTAAATAATTTAACTGGCAGTCTCGCATACACAAAACCCATATAATTATACTTCGTAAAATTGTTAAATTATTTTGCATTTTTGTTAAGTACACTTACACGTCGGTGCCATGCATAGTTTGCGATTTGCTTCTGATAATGTCGCCAGTTATTTATCCTTCTTTTTTATTCTTATTATTTTGTTCAGTTACTGTTTTTTTATTGAAACTACTTTTGGTTTGTTATGTTATTAAATTTTATTTTCAGCATATTTTACATGCTGTGTAGTTTGATTACCGCCTTAAGAAAACTTAGTTTCCACTTTTGCTTTAATCCTGTAACTTGCATATCTCCATTCTAATGCGGAAAATTTAAAATTTTCGAATTAAGCCAACTAATTAGAACTGTTGTTTTATTTTACAGGTGCCACCATCGGTAAAAACATCAACCTTGGCGTATATCATCGTGTTCGGCATATTGACACTAGTCAATGTAAGTTGATGTGTCACTGTGTAATATTATGTGAATTGTGTAATGTTGTTGTAAATGTACAATGACGATGTTTTTCCTTGAATACCTTATCGAAATTTGTATGTTCAAAATTGGTGATCATGTTTGCTTTTGCAGATCCTTTGCCTGATAGCCGTACAAAGCCACCGGGATTTATTATTCACTGGCATCTAAATCAGCCGAATATCCAGATATCCTACGCGATATTCCTTCCTTATGAGGATAATGCATTTTCTGCACAAAGTTGTCCTGATTTTTTATTGTTTAAATCTGTTGGCTGGATCCGATACTCCAGAGCTTGCGTTTTGTATGCACTTTCCTATAATTCCTGTGTAAATTATTAATTCTTTACCTTTGATGCGCTGTTTATACCGTGTACAAAATGGCGGCGTTGTTAATTCGATGCGTTGTTACTATGCGATGATGGTGTAAAGCTTTTTACGATGTGTTTGTTGTCAGTTGTTGTAAAAACTGCATGAAGTAAAGTATTATCAGCTTTAAAAGCACCGGCGCAGTAACGAAATACACTAACGTAAATTAGTGTTTAATAACTTATTCTGACTTTGTTCGATAATTATGTCGTAGGATTAAAAAAATCATGAAGTATTATCCGCTTAAAAAACCGGCGCGGGACAAGATATACTATTAAAATTAATATTATTTAACAATCTAGGCGTCTTATGCGTTTATTGATTTAGTTAGGTGGTTGAGCAGAAACAAAATTTCAGTATTCACCAACACCTCATAATCTTGAAACAATACAAATTTATGTGTTATACATTTACAGATATTCTGTATTATAATCTAATAGCATATATATGTAAAAATTCGAACTACGCGTCGCTGAAATATTCTGGGATCGGAAATACTACCTTATATGGGCAATATTCAAACCGGCACTGCAAAGTGATGAACCACATGGTTGACCAGTCACCACTGTGCTATGCGGTCAGTTTATCGTGGTAACAAATCGTGGAAATACGCAGAAAAACAATTATTCATCCTCCGTACATGCGAGTGTACCCCAATACACTACACACATACCAATACGCATGTGCAGGCATGGACGGAAGCTAAGGAAACATTAAAATTTGTTTGTATTGCGTAAGTTACTGTTTTATCGCGATGGGCCTCTCGTGTACAACTCGTACATGTGCTCAATATTGCATACCGAGATATACCGCGATTACACTACAAATACGCATACGAACTTGGGCATTCTTCTTTCGGCTAGTGCGTGATCGGAAGTGACCACAAGGCCCACACCTTCGGCTGCGCGCTTATTCACCACACATGCTGACTCTTCATCCCTATAAATTACGTAGCTGTATTTAATTTTCCATTCGTGGTTCCAGCATAAACCTTTTTAGAGCAATTTTCGCATTTTAAGATTGTTGAGCATATTGCACACATTCGCACCCGGCCCAATATAATTTTGAATAGCTGAAGAAATTGCAAGAAGGTCTTATTCTGGCCAACCTTTTATTTTACGAATACGCGCCGGGCTCAATCGCCCAATTTGTGTTTACTTCCTAAACCAGTACGCAATTTTTTATTGATGGATCGCGAATACAACCATAATAATATTCGTCTCCATGGAATAATATAATAGTCGGTGCATCTTTGTTCATCCGGATATTATACCAGTTTTTCTGCTGTGGTTTCCGCGATTGTTAGTAGTTTTCTTCTAAATCTGTGTGAAAATACATTATGGATACTGCTGCCGATGTCGAGAGACAGGCTAATGATGTGTCTTCCCCTTCCGGCAAAGGGACGTTCTTACGGCGGACATGCATTGCTGTTACTGTCTACACTTGTGTACGTAAATATGTTGACCTTTTTCGGTAGATATTTACAGTTAGCAATACCGGTAGATATTATTTTTCGGTAGATATTTAGCAATTTAGAAATTTGTGGACCACTCGGTAACTGTACGGTAAAAGGCATTACAGCTTACGATTTGTGCTCTATTTATACTGCAAGTAATAATCCCGGTATGCATCTAATCAAAATTGATACATAGTGTGCATAATTAGGAATTTAGGATACACACTACTCCGTCCACTGTTGAATGTAGACGTGCATGCGCTTAGTGCGCCCGAAAAATCAATAAAATCATAGTTAATATAATATAATATTAGTAATTTAGTATCAAGACTTCGCGTTGTGTTAACCGCGCATTTATCAGTGTCTTTGCTTTTCTCCATGTAGTTTGTAGGTGCGTGGATGTTGAGTGATAATATGCATGATTTGCTCCATCATATGCTACTGGTGACAAGTGCGACAGCTTCTCCGCTACTGTTTCCACCGGAAGTATATCTTACTGAGTCCCGAGCGTGGAGTTTTATGTACGTATCCCTACTCTTAACCGGAGCAATCGTGTTGGGATGCGGAATTAAAAAGGTACGCCTGTTACGGTAAAGCCAGCCCGCTCTGCTTCGGCTTGAGTTATTATTAATCGGTTTCATAGAATTTGTTGGTTCCCATGTTTTACGATAACGCGTAAATTATTCTATTGGTGTGTTAGTGAAAAACGAAGCATTTGTTGTAGCGCTCCACGGGATTGCATATAGTCTGGATTGTCCTGTTTGCACCATATTTAATTGGTCAGCTAAGGCTGTTCGTAATTACAGTAATGAAATTTGTGGACCACTCGGATATGTTTCCCATGCTGCACAGCTTACATTCAGTGGAAAGCGGTGACTTTCAAAACGTTAGTGTGTTGTGTCCAACTACTACATAGTTTTCTGCTCCTTATGTCGTTCAGTTTTAACCTTGTTCTATGCACAGGAAATGACGCAAACTGTCTTTTGGTCCCAAGTTAAACTGATTCTCGAACTGGGATTGCTCGTTCCTCTTAATGTAAGTCAGCTTTACGTGTACAATACATCGCGTGTATGGGTTATTTACTGTTTTTCGCAATTACAGTCGCTACTTAACTTTGCTTTAATTGCATTGCAGCTGTCATTTGTGGTAGTGGTATTCAGCCACTCGCAACGTCTCGGGACTTTGATTGCAAGTAATAATAATGGAAGTACATACATCGAAATGGTTGATGAAACGGAACCCGCGGAAGCTGGCAGTGAGAGTTGACCTTTTGGATGGTAGTCGTAGGCTGCAACGCCACTGCCACGTTTCCATATTTTCTATGGGCGTTATACTGGGATCCAAAATGGGCCTCATAGAACTGAATTCTTGCTGCGCTTTTGGAGCTAACGGGGGGATCTTGTCCGGGATACAACATTCCAATAACATTTGCTCAACAAATCACGTGATTCCAGCACTTTATTTTGAAATCTCACAAGTTTTGTTTGGAGTATAATTATATATATAATTACTTGTTTCCGTTGGAAATCGCTTCTGAATCTTGAGCGTTTTTTTAATTTATTGACTACGGCGGCAAATAATTACATTAAAGTTTTGTACATTGTAGTGTTGTAATTCGTACGTACGTGTGCAGACACATTTATCATATCTGTATTATACGATGGCGATGGCCGCCGCGCTCGTAAATTTTATTGAAATCGCTGACAGTTAAATGAAAATAGCACGAAAAAGTAATTACAGTACATCACATTATAGCAATGTAGCATCCAACAACCATAATTATAGAAAGTAAGAAGGTTATAGATAAAACCCTGCGAATTTCTTCTCCAGTTGACCGTTAGGTGATATTATTCCCAGTACAGAGGCCGTGTTCTTTTCTCTGATTTCAAAATTTCTAGACGCTGTGCGATTAAGCGGTTAGCCTTCGGTTTGAAAGGTCAAGGGTTGCAAAACTTGGGATACGTACACAGATAGTCATCCTGTTTGCCCGTGTGTTGCAGTCAGCACTGCAGCTGCACTGCTGCAGTATACGATAAGGCCATCGTGCACGGACGCGATCGCGTTAACATTCTTCCTCTTTCCCATGTCTCTGCATGACGGCCTCGGCAAGGAGTTTGCTATCGGTTTATAATGTGCTACAGTAGGTGGCAATATTGTCCGCGTAAATTCCTTAAGAATTTTCCCAAAAGCCGCATTTGGTGTTCAGCCAACTTGGCTAGACTTGAGACTAGTGTCATAATTATTGTGTCATAATTTATTATTTTACAGCTGCTCATATCGGTCCATTCATATTCTGTACTATTACTGGACCGCGGTTCTGGAGCGATATATGCATGATTTGGCATAAGTAAGTGGATTTAAAAACGGTTTGTTTTTATTGCAAGTATTGTTCAAGTATTGTGTACAACGTGTACCATGCATGCACCAGAATCCGGAACTAATCACTCACGGATCGAACCGCTAGAACGCTGTTTACCAGTGTGTGTACCTATTTTTATTGTGAATTAAGGATAGCCCAAAAAACTTAAGAAGACAATTTAAGTAATAAGTTCTAGACTTAAATGACCTTGTCGGCTTGTACAATGCAGCCCGACATATTAATCTATAATTGTTATAATTAAAAAAGACGTAATATGTACCACGGACTTACCGATACAAAGAAAGGGATTATCGTGCAAAGCACACGTCCTAAAATTATAGTATTTAAATTTTAATAAATCAGGAATTGCATAATAAATTTGTTCATAAATTTGTTCATGTTTATCTGTTCTGCAGGGGATCGCAAAATTAGCTCTGCGAAGCGTAAACCGATCATGTCATTGCACGGAACCATGGCAAATCATACACCACGTGTTGTGTTATGCCTTGACGGAACTGTATACGTACTTCATTCAGTACAGCATGTAACAGCTTTGTATACAATATTACAAGAAACAGCCTCGGCTTCGCCTCCGCTTTTCTTGTGGTCTCCAGTCTACGGCCGGTTTATTCAAATGATTTCGATCAGCTATTTAGTTAACATCTTATTCCTTCAACGAAACAAAATGAATCCGAAAATACGCTAAAACGCAGATAGAATAAAAAGTGAATTTATGGCTTTTGTGCACTCAGACGCATTCAGTTTCACTCAGAAGGGAATTTTTGTTAACTTCTCCCTCCCGACTTTGATCGAGCCTACCAGGTACTACATTTCCACTAAAGGATGCTTACAATAGATGCTGGTGGTAGTTCGGTCACTCGTTTACCTAGCGGGCTGTGTACTCTGGATAGTAGTGGTAGTTCGGTCACTCGTTTACCTAGCGGGCTGTGTACTCTGGATAGTAGTGGTAGTTCGGTCACTCGTTTACCTAGCGGTCTGTGTACTCTGGATAGTAGTGGTAGTTCGGTCACTCGTTTACCTAGCGGGCTGTGTACTCTGGATAGTAGTGGTAGTTCGGTCACTCGTTTACCTAGCGGTCTCTGTGCTCTGGATAGTAGTGGTAGTTCGGTCACTTGTTTACCTAGCGGGCTGTGTACTCTGGATAGTAGTGGTAGTTCGGTCACTCGTTTACCTAGCGGTCTGTGTGCTATGGATAGTAGTGGTAGTTCGGTCACTCGTTTACCTAGCGGTCTGTGTGCTATGGATAGTAGTGGTAGTTCGGTCACTCGTTTACCTAGCGGGCTGTGTGCTCTGGACAGCAGCGGTAGTTCGGTCACTCGTTTACCTAGCGGTCTGTGTACTCTGGATAGTAGTGGTAGTTCGGTCACTCGTTTACCTAGCGGGCTGCGTGCTCTGAATAGTAGTGGTAGTTCGGTCACTCGTTCACCTAGCGGGCTGTGTGCTCTGGACAGCAGCGGTAATTCGGTCACTCGGTGAGCTAGCGGGCTGTGTGCTCTGGATAGTAGCGGTAGTTTGGTCACAGCTTGGCTCTGTGAAACTGAAACCGTCTGGCCAGGTTTTGGAATATGGGCATTCAGATTATGGAAATGGTTTCTGCTGATTCTATACGGGAAAGCTGGGTTCGTGAATCTCTTTTTATTTTTTGTGGTAATAAAGATCTAGAATGTACAGTAGATACCGTACTATTATTCCGTATTATACGAAATAATTTACGGACTGTAGATGCTGATTATCCTTTATCAATCACTGTCCTTAGTTTTGCTCGGACTGCAATGAAAGGTTAGCCCGTTTGAACGATTACTATGGTCAGTTTCTTCTACAGCTGCCTTCAAATATAAACGAAGCCATCCATTTAAACGATTTAAACTGTAAACGAAGCCATCCACTTGCAGTATCGTTTGTGCTACTGCTAATTGGCTTTTCTAGTTTTGTAGGATTAAAAGTTCAAACCTTTTTGATTTGTTGATCTAAAAAGGGTACCAGTTTAAATTTACTGATTTTTTGCTCCATGCAACAGGACTTTGAAATTGTTTCAAGGTCACCTTGAGCTTTCTTCTCTACCGGCACCGGCGTCTGTGCACGGAAGCCGGAGCAGATATTACCAAAACAAAATGCATGTGACACAGTTTCCAGACATGCTGAATCGAATGGCGTTAGCAGTTTTTCGATTAATTTTTTGGTTTGTTATGACCAGATCGTACGGGGTTTTCCGTTGTAATATAGATCTTTACCTTGATACCTTGATAGTACCTTTATTGATGAGTCTTAAGAATTATGGCTGTGGCATTTGTATTTAGAAATTGTAAAATTAAGCATTAGGCAGCTTTCTGTGTAGTATTAACTACAGTTACACCAACTGCGCCCATTTCAGCTTCGATCTGTTTAATGTATTTATTAAAAATTTTATCCGGGTTCAGCGAGTCCGGCTCCGGGGTGGTTTCGTCGGCCATGACAGCTGTAAAATTATTTCGATGAGCACATAAAGCCATACTCTTATTATTAAGAATTTTTCCTAATTTGAGTATCAAGTACGAGTACAATCAGATGCCTGGGAAGAATTATGTATGTATTTATGTCATAGAGCTTTAACCTTGTTGCACAAACGGTTGCCCATTCCACACTGGCTCTATACTGTAGTCATAATTATTTATGCACAAGTACTGCTGTAAAAAAAGTGTCACTGAAGTTATAGTTTTTCAAGGTTTTTCGTTGCTTTGCGTTGCGTTTACTTACCAGCCAAAACCATCAGGCCGACCAATGCGACCGCCAGAAATGTAATCCACAATTTGGCCATTGCTGAAATAATTTAAAATCTAAATATAGTTATAGCAGCCTTTAAAGCTTAGCAAAAGGTCGAAACTCGAAACCTTGAAGCTTAAATTGACTTGTCCGTAGTTGCACAGTTAGGAATAGGCAAATTAAATTCTTGGTATGGTTCTTTTAAGATATCTCACCTTAAATATTAGCAAAACTTCATGTACAGACTGTACGTTGAGGCTACCTTTTACAAGTTTTCGATGATTTAGTGACACAAGGAGACGTTCTGGTCGACAGGAATGCAGCTGAAAAGTTGAGATACAAGAGTAATCTGACTTGTATAATATACATACATGTAAGTCAAGCGAACATATATTATCCTGACCGAATGCTGTTTAACTTGATAATGCCGATTCCGAACGTACGAGATTGTTTATTTCTGATAATAATATTAATTGCAAAACTGTTTCGTACTACTCTGCCTTCCTAGAAGTTCACCACAAATAACTGTCATTATTTGTATTTCCTGATTTTGGCGCCGCATGAGGTACTGCATCGGCCAAACTACACCAACCAGGGTCCATTTAAATTCTGTATGTACAGTACGAGTATGTACTAAAGTTTGTGAAATGTTAGTTCTTTGGTTGAGATACAGATCAGAGTATAGCGGTCATTCAAACTACTTTTATATCACTCGTTCAATCGAAAAAAAAAATTTGAAGTTTGTACTCTGTAGTCGATTGCCGAATATTGTAGATATCCAGTTAACATAAATTATTTATTGTTAAAATAATACATGATACACGACCTACTCGAGTTTACAGATCTAAATTGTCAAAATTATGAGCTAGCTTATCAACACAACATAACCGGAGCTTTGTCAACAGCCTTTGTGCATTTGCATTTTGCATTTTGTATATATTGAAGTATACGATGAAAACGGTAGAAGTATAGATGGAAAGCGCAAAGCTTGCTTGTTTGTTAGAAGCGCTTGTCAGAATTTAAACACTTCTGCATAGTGCATAGTGACCAACCGCAGTGCAAGACGGCCAAGGAATAAGGAGCCTGGTGGCTGGTAAATGCACATGTCCAAATATAGATAAAGTTCCCTCAGTATCACTTTAGTTTTGCCTGTCCTTTTTACTTTGCACGAGAATTTACACATGCCTAAATCTTAACGCGAAGAAATGCAGATTCATCTTGCATGCATACTATTATTTATTGTTTAAACGCAACACCAAACACAAACTGGACGGAACCGAGATGCAGCTGCAAGAAAGGATTATTACATGCATTATGTACACGAGCGTAATTTACACGCAGTGATATAATAATTCCATGCACAGGTACATTAGAAAAATCGATAATCAAAGTCAATACCATTAACAATAAAACTTGGGTTTAGCAAAACGCCAACAGTATCCGCCAACTAATTCATACCAGATTATTGCTGAACTCCAGTGAAACCGAAATTATTGAATCCCTGCTCGTTAAAATACCCACCCGGGAAATACATTCCCTCTTGGTAAGGATACGTAGAATCGCGGTTCTCCCCGGTTCCGTACAGGAAACGGCGGTAGCGGCGACGGTAGTCGTTATGCTGATGGGTGCTGCAGAAATATCCCACGGTCAAACGGCCGCCACCGACGGTACCGAAGTACAGGTCACGAGCGCCCAGGACGCAGTAGGTGTTGCGGAAAGGCTCCGGGAAGTCAGTCTCACAGCGGTCGAAATAGCGGTTAGCCGTGACGTCCTCCTGAATGTAGCCGCCTCCGTAGAAGGCCTCCACGATGTTGATGAACTGTCCGTGACAGTCGATGGTGCCCAGGTAGTCATGATCGATAGTGATGTATTGCAAATCATTCCAGCGACCTGTAAAGGTCAAGCAGTGTAAGCGAAGACCGATGGAAAAAGATTGTCTAATTAAAGTTCAAGTTGTGGGAGTGCAAAAAAATGAAGAAAGATCAATAAACTTACGAGCACGGCATTGATAACCAATCGTCAAGTGCTTGGAGCCGCCGATGGGATTGAGGAAGAGGTCGTTGTTGGCCCAGAAGTTGCAGTTGTGGTGGTTCTGGCACTTGCTCTTGACGACCACGCCCACATCGGCCTGGTATCCGCCGGCACCGTAATAGGCGAAATCGATGTCCAGGATGCGGCCTTCCAAGCAGGACAGGTTCACTTCCTGACCGCCCTCCACGTAGAGGTAGTCCAGCTGCCCTGGGGTATTTAGTTCTGAAAAATAAACCAACACCACTGAATTTTTGTTGTTCAGGCAGGAACAGATTTTGTTTAAGCTGGTTACATGATCCTGCTAACCGCGCGTGCTTAAGCATTTTCGTAAAAATTTAATAATAAAACTGAGCCTGTATTTTAATGCTTACGGTTGTACCTACCGTTTGAGCAGTAATAGTAGACCACAGCAAAATCCCAGTTTCCATCAAAATCGGAGAATTCCGGGATCCACGGCTTATAGGTGCACTTGTATCCGGGCTGTCCTGAGCAGATACCACGCACGGTCACTGTGGCATCATCAAACAGATCCCCGTATCCGTAGTATGCGCGACGGATGAAAAGGCGCTGGTTGTTGTTGCACGTTAAGGTCATCTCTTCGTTGGCGGGAGTAACCATGAAAAACTCCTGACCTTCCTTGGGAACTGCAGAATTAGAAACAGGATTGCTGTTACTTTCAAAATGAAGGGATCAGCAAAATTTGCTTAATTAATTTGACACTATATACTTACTAGCTTCGCAGGAATACTGCACATTAAGTTGCTTGTCGTTGCCGGGGCATTTGACTCCATAGTAGTAGTCGTAGGTGAAGAACGTGCTCTGTCCATAAGCGGCAGGATTAAGGTCACACGAGTGCTTGCGCCCGCAGAGACCGTCGACAGCCACGTGGACATTGTAAAAGCACGTATCGCCTTGGGTGTAGTTGGCCGAGTGGATGTAGATGACCTTATCGTTGCCGCAGTTAATCAGCTGATTGCCGCCCTGCTTCACGGTTACAAATTCCAGTGCTGTGTCTGAAAGCGTAGTATGATGGCTTATCCTATCATTTTCTTCGTCTAATGCTTGCTGGTAATAACTAATAATCATAAGACTACGGAAACTTCAATCAACGAACATCGACAGAATGATTTTTTGAATACTGCAATTTTGCGGTGTACATGTTATAACACTATAAATCAGTTCGCATGGTATCACGGTAATGCATTACTGTAATTTTCTTGTGATATTTCGATTATTCAAACACCCGGCCTGCTTTCATCTTTTGGCCCACCGTGAAATGTTGAAAGAAAGGAAGCCGTAAACGTCCTTTTTGTTTACAACCGCGAGAGTGTATATGTTCAACTTATTTTTACAATAATTAGCAGAAAATTTGACGTACTGCGGTTCTTAGCGTGCTTAAACTTTAAAATAATTTGTGAATTTCAAAATAATTTCGAACACGTACGTTGTTACAATTGTTTTTCTGTGTGCACGCATAACTACATACGTCTATTAAATTGCAGACTTTTTGAATAAGTTAAGTTGCAATGGTGATGGAGAATTCAGATTTAAGCAAAAAAGATCTACCGTTAATGCAAGTGGCTTGGTAGTACAAGGTCGGACGTCCTTCCTTGTGGCAGCCAAAATTGGTTGGCGTCAGGGAGCGCAGGTCGCACGTGTTGCGGCCTTCGCAGATCTGTCGGTACATGTCCGTCACGGTTACGGTGCAGTTGCCGGATGTCCATCGCACTTCCTCCAGGTGGATGGTGCGCGTGTTGCCACAGTCAATGCGACCTTTACCTTCCGCGAATTTCGGCGACCATTCCACTCCAGTTGGGAGTGCAGCTATAAATAAAAAGGTCAGTTCAAACTTCGAAGCAAAAACATATTCAAATTCTAGCATTAAAATCTGAGGTGACCTTTGCAAAACTGGGAGCATTTCCTATGCAAGATACTTTTGCAACGAAATTAACCCAAATACTGATTGTGAATTTTGTACATTCTTACCGGTACACGCTATAAGCAGCGTTAGCAGTATACAACTCTTCATTTTTGGCAAAACTTATCAAAGCAAAACAATAAAAATCTTTCGCTTGCCAAATGCAAATTCAAATAATATTATATAGAAAAATTTGGCTGGCCAATGTTTTGACTGATTTCGTTGGCTGTGCGTACTGTTAATAATCGCTTACTTCTCTTGGAAGAAAGCAATCAGATGTTTCCCATCTTTGTTGCTATTCTCAGCGTCCTGCCATAAATCGTTCCGATTCTCTCTTGCCTCTGACAAAACTCTTCAGAACAAAGACATCTCTTTGTTTTGGTTTCTATCAGCCAATCACCGCACATGCACCTGTTCCATCGTCCGAACAAAGACGTCTCCTCCGCACCACGGGGAACACCGTCTCTTCCCTCCTGATGATTTCCTTGCTCTCTTTCTTGAACGAGAATTATGCTGGCGCCGGTGCCCTCTGATTCTTAATGGCTTAACTACATCGTCAGGAAAGTGACAGGCACAAAGGAACAAAGGCATCGGTCTCTAGTTCTGTATAACAGGAAATTACCGTCAGAATTCTCAGCAGACAAAGAAGAGAAGGTGCAGCATGGTAAGTACATCAGCCGATTCTCATGACGCCCGAAGCTGGCTGGTTTATATAAGCTGCTTCCCGGAACGATCAACTTCGTTAGTCGCCATTTCCACTTCCATGAGCGGTTTCGAACTTTCTTCGTCACTTTTCTAAAAACAGTTTAGCCGTACATCAACAGAAGTAAAGCATTCGTTTTCTTTGTTTGAAACATTTTGCCATCATAACAACTTTTACTATGGCCAGACTGTGGATCCTCCTTGCCGTTGCCGTGCTGTTCGGTAAATTTCTTTTTACATAATTAACTTATTTTAATTGTTTTATACGGAATATTCGCACACAAACAACTAAACGTTTAGTTATTTAAAAAATTAGTGACGACAAACAAAAATCCTCGACTTAGCATTTGCTGGTTTTTGAAGAAAGGTCATGAATTGATATGGGTATATTTTTTGCGTGATGATTATGGTAATAACTGTACTGTTGTACAGATACATGTACTGCATCATAAACATGTTATATTCAGTTTTATATACTGCAGCTGTAGCGATTTGTAACTGAGTAATACATTTGTCCGAGTAGTTGCCCTAAGCGAGACGGAAGCGGTGTGTTCCGCCCATAAGAAATGCGGCTGCTATCACGGCTGGTGCTGGGCATATGCCGACTGGGAGCACATGAAGAGCGGTGACCCTTGGTGCTTCACCCAGCGCCTGGGAGTTACCAATGGAAAGCAGTCCTTTGCCTCCTGTCTTGCCGATGACGACTGCCAGATCGAAATGACGTGCGGAGAAAAGGCCACCCACACTGGAGATGACGGTGGCCGTCCCGGGTTTGCCCCGTTTTAAGTTGGCTAATGTTGCGCAAACTGTAAATAAATGCATATCGCGCCTAATTATGCCTTGGTTTTGCACTTTTGCCATTACCGTGACCTTTTACTAATGCTTGACCTTGATTTGCGTCATTTATCCGTATGTTGTGGTGAAGGGATAAAAGGTGGAAAAACTGTGAAACAAGAAAAACATTTGCAACCGGTTGAATATTCTCTATTCGTTTTAACGAACAGTACAATCCTTTGTAAGGGAACAAATAGCACATCGTAATTCGTGACCGGTTATAAGTCACAGCACAATTTAACGTTTACCAGCGGTGGTTGTTAAACCAGATCAGTGCACCAAGCGAGCGCCAGTACCACTGGAAAACGGTATTATATTAATTTTGTGGAATTGGAAAAGCGTGACGTACGCACTTCTTCGTGGCGTCAGACAAATTTTATGCTCTTAACTCGAAGACTTGATAGTAGCATCTCGCTGCGCTCGATGCAAATTAAGCTGTAAAAAACTCACAATTTCAGCTCGTCGTTCAAAGATTACTACTTTGTAATCAAACATTTCTTGTTATAACTTGCACACAAAAAACACCATCCTACAAGAGCGACCTCTGTTACCGTATGGTACCTTGAGTAAATATTTGTCAGGAAGGCATTTTAATTAATTTCAAAGCCCCCATTCTGGCGTTATCTGTGGCTCGACTCAACACGAATTGCAGAATGCTACAGCAGCCGCCACAAACAATTTTTCTTAATTACAAAATTTATGACCAGGAGAGGATTTGCTTAAATCACAATCATAGTAATTATTAATATTATTAGTACTCTGTACACGTATTACCGTGCTACGTGCGCGCGTACGTTACTTGATAGAGGAGGTTTATGGCCGTAACTTTTATGCATCAGTCGTTGTACAACCACTTTGTACAATATTTGTGTAGCATTTTTGAGGCATCATCATATATAAAATTAATGGCATGTACCGTAAAAATCGAATTATAAGCCCTGGGCTTCAAAAGTTGGAACGCCCTGCGGAGGGGCTTTAATTACGGGCATGGGCTTGTATTTTGGGGGGGCTATTATATTTCAAATGTGTTTTATTGGCAGCATTTGTGTGCATTTTATATAGCCCATGGGCATCTACATATTTCGGGGGAGCTCATAAATTTCGAACCACCTTAAGGGGGGCCCCAATTACGGGGAGAGCTTCTATTGTGGAGGGTCCTATAATTCGATTTTTACGGTATATTGTTATTTGCTCAAATACACAGGAAATTCGCATACAACAAAAAGTATGTGGGGAAAAAGCATCGAGCATTACGGTATATGGGTTAGTGCAGCTAACCAATTTAATGCAAATATGACAGTTGTTTTTCCTAAGGCAGTAATGAATATAGTTATGAATTTTATTACATTCCACGTGAGATCTAGCTAAGCTGTAGTAATTTCACAGTGCTATAAGAAATTAGACCTCACATCGATAAATATTTGTCATTGTGCAAGTAGCATCGCCGTACGTTATGGCTGTAATCTGCCTGCAATTTCTGCTCTACATTTCGGTGGCAGGTAATTGTTACAATATTCTTATCAGACCATGTATGTCCACGATAATTTACATTTTTAGGCACTGCTTCTTCTGCCATAATTACCAACCATTCTTCTACGATCCCTGTTGTTACAAATGAAATATTCAGTGTTCCACAAAGTATTAGAATTACTACCGCAACAATGCAAGAGCGCGATGCTGTACTAGAAACTCAAATTAAACCGATCTGGAGAAACATATTAGGTACAGTTAAGTACACTGCCAATACTACTGTTATAAAATAATACCTACTACAGACAGCTGTGCATATTATTTTCAGCCGCTATTCTTAAGGGCGACTTGGATTTATTTATAACAAGCGATTCCGCTCCCGCGTCCGACCCACTGGCCACACCCAACGGAGAACTCATCCGCGAGATTTCTTACAATGTCAACGGGATCGCCAATGGTACACTGAACGCGAAGGAAACGAATGATCGATTTGATCGTTTGGTAAAGGCCAACACTCCGCCGGACCTATGGGCAGTCCTTACTGCCGATGGGCACTGGGAAGTTGTGTACAATTTCACGGAATCCGCGAATCTGACGGTTCCTGACACCAAGCAAGGAGCTCTTCCTTTATCTGACGAGATTTCTTCTAGCAGACTGATAACTGATCTAGAATGGAAAAATTTAACGGATGCTGAAACGCCGAGTGGTGTAATGTACTGTTACAACCAAAGTGGCGGGAACTTTATACGTTACTGGGATCCTCATACAGTGACAGTCGGTAACGCCTCAACAAATTTTCAGACAAGACAAAAGCGAGCAGAAGCTTCGGAGGCCGATTTGATTTCGGCACTTTTGAGCATCAGTTCACAGAGCAAGATGATTGGTGCACCGCAGTGTGACGACTGCATCTGTGGACTGCGAGGGTACAGTGTTTTGTTGAAAGGTCGTGTTCCTTCTGAACAGCTGCAGAATGTCAGTACCGAGATGGGCAACGTGTGGAAGTCCGTGTACGACGAAACACTGCAAAACCAAACGGGAGATATCATCCAATGGGAAGCGCATCCAGTAGACGATACGCCGGATATAAGCTTAATTGATCCGTTATAGTAGGTCGAATTCTTTGTACCGTTGTTTGAAATGTGTTAATTGCGCAGTATTTGTTTACTGACCTATGCTGACTTACTACTGTACTTATTCATTATTGTATTGCAGCGGAAATCTAACACATCTTACCTACGCGGTTATTGTGAACGGCGTTTCACCTGAAGAATTTGGTCTCCCGGAAATTACGGAGAACGACTTGAAGCGCTACGGAACCAGTTTAACATACCCACCATGTTTTCGATGCCGGCCCTTTTTTAATGACTGGATGTTTGTGAGTGGTTTGGGCAATTCGACGAGCGACACTGCAGCAGTGAACTTGAAGAGAGCGCTGGATAATAGTTTCAATGAATGGAATAAAAAAATCGCGCGCCGAGGCCCTTTGTCCATCGAACCCGAATATCTGACCACCCGTAATTTTTCAACTGGGTAAATCTGCCTGAGCGCTTTAAGATTTATGTAAGAAGTCTCTGGCTTCTCATTAAACTGACTCCGTGCTATGTGCTTCCCAGTAAAGACACTAATCTAAAACGAGACCTTGCTGATTACTGACCAATACGTTTTATCCCGCATATAGGAACATTTCGCTGCACATGGTATTCTATGTAATGCGCGTACCGTCCGGAGTCAGCTGGAATATGCTGCAGGATCTGGACACGCCGTCCAAGGAGGTGCTAGAGCGACACTTCCGAGCGGAAGTGGGACCTAATATTACCGTGTACCCGAGTATGCAGGACGTAGCGCAGTTTTTATCCGAATCATTCGCCGTATCCCTACCTCAACTGGCTGCCATTGTGCAGGATGATCGCGATCAGTGATTGCTGTTTGCGACATTCTGTACTCCCTACGAGTAGTTACAAATATAAAGTATGTATAACGATAATTCTATACAGAGCGAGAGATTGCAAATACGAGTACAGTATATAGATAAAATATAAGCTAAGTATTGTCATTAATGTGATGATAAGTAATCATAGTATATGAACTGTATTTAATTTGTCATCGCGTGATAATGTTGTTTATTTAATCAGGCAGTGTGCACAGCCGATGTGTCTGTACAATTATTGCAGCAAATGTGTTACTCGTGAATTTGTTCTATGACTCTCGTTTTCTGTTTCAAGGTTTTACGAATTTGTACATCGGATCAGTCGAAAACGTTCAGTAGAAAAAAACAATTCAAGCAGTTGTAATGCTATGTCCTAAAACAAAACCTTCGAAACAACGCAGCAATGTCAGATCTTAAGTCCGGTACAATAACTGCAAAGAAAACAGGATCTAGTGCCGCTTGTAAAACGTATAATCCTTGGCAGACTTCAAGAACGGTGGTATACGATGACAGATCGACAAAGCACCATACCGTGTAGAACGTATCCAACGGTGTCCATGTCACCACCACGCTCAACGTCAACGCGGTAAAAACAGCAAACGCTTTGGTGCCTTTGCGGGGCGCAGCCGGACGTTTGATTTTCGTTGAACCATTCGAACTGGACTTTGATAACTTGGTATGATTCGGCCCGGTATTTCCACCGGTTTCTTCCAGTTCCACTTTTAGTCCTACCTTGCGCTGGCGTTTTATCATATATAGTAAATACGGATACGTAATAACAATCAAAACGTTGGGTAGCGCGTAAATCATCATCTGCATTGTTATGTTCCACACCGGCATTTCCGCATTGTTGAGGATGCAGCCGAAAGTTTCCACAGGAAGCCGGTATAGTAAAACATCCAAAACAACACCAGGCAGTGCGACAATGTGAACATACAACCATGTAAAAATCACCAAAACCCATGCGCAGCGCACCGAATGGTGTTGACGATAGGAATGCGGAAAGGTCACCGCCCAGATACGGTTAATTGTAATGAGGATATGAGAGTACATCACTAAACCGGCAGCGACGGTGATTCCGTACTGGTATACGGTGCATAAATCATCGCCCAGACACCAGTATGGCGAAATAAAATTGAGGATATCCAGCGGGTTATCGAGAATGGCAAAGCAGATATTCGCTACGAGAACGCTGGTTAAATAAACGTTAAAAGGAACCGTCAGCCGTTTGCTGCTGATAAACGCTGCCAGTATTAAACTGTTGAAGATAACCGCCCAGGGGAGTATTATGACTTCCAGCGCCGGAATAACACGCCACTGGAACTGCCACGCTGTGGAATTGTCAGTAAGATTAGAAAGTTCAGTTTGAGTACGATCGCCGTAAGTTGAGTTGTCACTGGAATTCACTAACTGCATTTGCAAAAACGGTTAATCACATTATTGTGAAATATGCAGATCGTCCGCGTCGTGTCTAAGGGTTTTCCTTATAGAGGACGCTTCGTGAAAGTGAAACTCCGACATATAGCTGCATTACTGTACTACGTAGATAGGAGTTATAGCCAGCCAAACTTTTTCCCCATTTCCGATCTACCCTGTATCCTGTGAAGTGTGAACCTGTCTTTGCAACTAGAGCAAACAGGTTAAGGGTATCTGATAACAAAAGTAAACAGATTTTCTTCCTGGGTTAATTAGACCCTGCCTTAAAAGAGCGTTTTTTCATATTTGTTTTACGGCAACATGATCCCGTGCAGCCACCTGCAGTAGCAAGCCCACACTTATTGCAACGTGACGCAACCTGCAAAGTGACGTTTGATGCCATGGCCAGGCTTTGCTGGTGAGACAACTTAGTCGGTAAATGACTAAATGCGATATGGCAATGTGCGATTATGGTAGTGAATTCAAATTCAACCGGAAACCTATCTACGCAAAAGTCCGCTTGACATCAGAGTTCAGAATTCATATCTACGAGTTTTTGTTAACCTTCGTTTTTTAAAATACTCTCCGCTTAATGGCCTCAGACATTAAGCGAATAAGCACAATTGTAGTTAACATCGTAAGAATGAGGAGTAAAGAAAATTACAGTAATTATCGCTTTTGCTGAATAAAATCAATCAGGGCGACATTTAACAATGCAGCTGTAGTTACTAGTGTCTGTATTACCATAAACATACAGACATGGCGACATTTGGTAAGGGTAAGAAACTAAGCAAAATTAACGATTTTATTTTTATCATAGGTTGGTATAATTACAGCATATTATTTGATTATTTGAATGACGAAAGCCGTTATATCTTTACGCTCTGTGTTACTTGCTCCGTTGTTCGTAATTTTAGACGGGAAAAACATATAATAATTATAATTATATGTATGGTATATACGAGTACATATGTTGACGATACATATAATTCATGTATGTATTCATTCGCGGGTAGTCTTTGTGTGTTATACGTCAAGGCGGTCAAGCTATATCCTAATGCGACTGTAATTAGTTTTTTCGTATTTTTGCAGTATTCAGTTGGATTATACCTCTTCGGTAAACGATGCTTTTCTAAGAATTTTTGGAAATTTTAATAGCGCATATCACATAAAGTTTTCATTAAGGTCGGCATAAACCAGTTAATTTGCGTTTTCGCTCCGGCCCGGTCTGCAACAGTATAATATATTATGGCATAAACCTTGGTGTTCTATACCCTAGCTAGTGCTTATATTGCCAACCCTGGGTACTTTTCTTCCAATACCGTTGTATTCCTTTATAGTACTTCCCTCAGGGTATTCCCTTGTACACGATTTATCGATTACTATCCCAACATCGTATAAAAGCATGACAGATCTAAGCGGCCTGACTGGCAACATTGTTGTTTCAAATTTCGTTATTTTCTTAAACCACTGGTCGGCCATGTACGGCATCCTGCTAGAAAGTATTGTGACCTTTATCAAAAAGGCATACAGCGAAGAGAAATGGGAGCTGATCCGCAAAAGTGCCCGGGTAGATCAGGAAAACTTTAGCGCGCACCAAGTGTACGCGGAAACGGTCATTCCACGTATTGTCGATGCGTGCCACAACCACCTTGGGATACCAAAAGAAGACATCCTGATTTCCTTTGGGAAGACGTACGTGGACTTTATCTCGCACTATGGCTACGATAAGATTCTGAAAGTTGTGGGACGGAACTTCCGGGATTTCCTCAACGGACTGGACAACATCCACGAATACCTGCGCTTCTCCTATCCCAAACTGAAACCACCCAGCTTTTTCTGCGAACAGGAAAGTCGCACGGGTTTGGTACTGCATTATCGCAGTCGGCGGCGGTATGATGGCTATACCCATTATGTCATGGGAATTGTCAAGTCCGTGGGGAGGACTTTCTACAAACAAGATATTTCAGTCAGCGTTTTAAAACAGGAAACTACCGGCAACATGGTGCATGTCACCTATCAGCTCAGCTTTGATAATTCGGGTAAGTTTGTTGTCATATTCCTGTACGGAATTCTGAAAATACGCCGGCATAGCGATACAAACAGACAGACGAATTTAATGGGCTTCGTGTCACTGTATTTCGCGGATCACTCGACTGCCTAGGGTAGACAGTCTGCCTCTGCAGATTCGTTACTGCAGTGCAAAGGAGGTTCAACGTTCATTTCTTAGCATTGACCAATGCCAACTACATTATTAAATTCAAAACTCTTGATCTCGTGGGTTGCACTGTAAAAAACCTGCGAACAAAAAGATGAATTTAAACCGAAATAAAGGAGTATTTCTTTCAAGTCAGATTAACAGTACATTTTGAAGGTTATCCAGAATAACGAAATTTTTTTCCTGTCTCCACTAAACGAAAGGCGTCTTCTGCGGTTTTTTCTGCCAAAAATCTCATTTTTGGGTAAAAGGAATTATCTTTTAAGGTCTGCTAAAATAGACTATAATTATTACACAGATATCGTTTAAGTGTGTAACCGTCTGATGTTTCTATCTATTTACGGGAAAATCCTGGCGCCCGTGATAATGTGCTGCCTATCCCGGGCGTTCCCAAACACACGTTCAGTGAAGCGTATACGATAGGATAAACCACTCGTTATTTATCAGCCCACGACAATGTGCGTGTTATTGGCGCTAACATTCAGCACATAATAGCCCAAATTGCTTGACAGCCAGCTTATTAAGTTTATTGATTTAGCCAGGTACGTATACACTTGTGAATATTTATTCATGTCGGCTGTAGCGGCAACGCACTCAGGATGCTGCGTTTCAAGACTAGGTCGCATAAAAAGGAACGGGAAGAGATATGATGGCAAATCAAACCATTGCGATTACGCAAACGCCTTCGTTACGCTCACGATGATCTGTTTTCGGACACGATGTACACTGCCCAATCAAACCGGCCAGATGAAACTTTACGGGGATTTCACTAACAAAGCAAAAACCCTGATTAGGAATAACCCAAACATTATGCCCGAGTGTAGAAATGGCCTTTTTGCAGTTTGCGTCGTTTAATTAATAAAAGACGTATATACTTCACGTGCACGTCATTCAGAGCTTGTTAATGCTATCCAGCCATGTATACCGTATTCGCACTCGCTCGTGCATGATGGGGAGAACCTTACCGACGCAATGCAAAACCGCGCCGGAAATTAAAAAATGGTCACTTTGGCCTTGGCATTTTATTGCATGAGTGTGCGAAAATTCCACTCGAAAATACGTGTTACGTAACGGTATTACCCTTTTTCTTGTAATATTAGCCGAGACAACTATGTAAATAGTGCCGCAATTAAATTACATTAAACTTGGTGGTGCACAATGCGGATTAACCTTATTTATCGCAAGCAAGCGGAGGGCAATTACTCCAGTCTATATAGCTACCAACGAACTAGGTTGGTCGATACAGTAAATACAAAACGTAATTTTCGAATCCAAAAATCAAGAGACCCATCCGAATTCCTTGATGAAAAGGCGTCGAACCAAAGAAATGCATAAAGTGTGGCAATGTTTCGTAACCGTATTGGCGTTTCGGTCACTGTAAAATTAGATAACTTTATGATAGTCCTTTCAAATTGTAATAGTCACATTTCATGCTCACTTAATAAATTGCGCCTAATCATTTTCCATCCTAGTTTACAAGGTTTTCTTTTGTTTCTGTAGCTTATCAAGAAGAGGAAAAGCGAGAAAACACCCAGAATCTTCCACTGCGTATGGATGTGTTTTATGACCTTTTCCCCTTTCACATCCTGTTCGACCGTGACATGATTATCCGCAGCATCGGTAAAAGCCTGCGGGCCACCATTGATGAGATCACCGGGTACGATGTTACTCAAGTGTTCTCATTAAAGAAGCCCCTGGTTGATTTTTCCTGGGATGCGGTAAGTGTGGGATCGGGCCAGATTGTTTGTTTACCTGTTACTTAAATAAAGTAGATAAAAGATTTTCAGGGTCATTAATCAGGTATCCTCGATCACTGTACGCAAAAGTGCCGCTAGGCATTTGTTGATTGTACCTGTACGGCTGTACGCAAATTCAAAGAATTTGATGAGTTAGGGATATTTTCAAACACCAGCGATGCTACTATACACCGAGTTTCTGTGGGGCTGTGAGAGTGACTTTGTTTACAAGCTCCATGTGCTGTCTTTGTGCAATAGATCATTGGGCGTACCAACACAATGTTCGAATTGGCAACGATTGATCCCATCCGGGGACGGGAAGAGACCGGGGATGAGGACGAAGCATACACGTGGACAGATACCAACGGTAAATAGTGCAGTTAGTTACTCGTACGTAATAAATCTCTTATTTAATACCCCTTAGTTTTAATCCCGTCAGGCTAATAGGAATTTTTAATTCAACGATAATTACCGTTTGCTAAGATTCAACCAGAATATGCTTAAAAGTTTGAGTGATTGTTTATTGCCGTAATTTTTTAAAATTATTTGCCGCCTTTAAGTTATGTGTAATTTTAACATAAGAGATAAGAGATTGATCGCGTTATTTATGTATATAATAAATAGGAAAAAAGCGCACATCCGTGGTATCCATCTCACAAGACGATGATTCCGGTACATTTCTCCGTCTGAAAGGTCAAATGTTGTTTGTCAGAGAATGGGAGTCCATGCTGTTTCTGGGCACGGCTGTGTAAGTTAATTTCTTCCGCTGCCGTAATGAATGGCGCAATCCTGGCCGCTCGATTAAACTTGAAAAACATGACCCGGCCATCCATTCTCACAGTTGAATGGCTGTTATTACGGCCTTTACACGCATGCAACGCTTATAACTGTCACATTATGCAGATTGCAGGATTTGGATGCACTGTGTCAGACGGGATTGTACCTGAACGATTTGAGTATGCACGATAATAGCCGGGATTTAGTGCTGGCTGGAGCACAGCAAGGCATCGAAATGAAATTGATTTTAAAACAGGTAAGTGAATGGAGTCGTCAAAAGTAAATGGTTCGTAAGAAAACGGATAGAAAAAACCTGGCACATTTGGCGGGAAATTAATCAAATCTGATGTCGGATGTCCGTGTGGTGCAGTGAACTTTGCAGTTGCTGCCCTGTGACCTTGATAAACGCTTATTACAAGTCTGATATTCATGAATCGCTGCACAAATGAATTAAGTATTTCAGCATGTGAGCGTCGTTTTTCGCCTTAAAAATGAAAGGTACAAATACAGACAGTTTTCAGACACAATTCAAGTACAGTACAGATAATGCAGTACAGTACAGTCCCTACAGATACAATAGATATACCATAGCCGTTGCTCTAGGAGTGCGAGAGTCATTCCTCTCGCGCTCCTAGAGCAACGGCAATGGACATACAGATATTATTAGCAATACACAAACAGATAAGTAAGTACAATACACTGTAGAGATACATGTCCCTGGTTATTTACTGTACATCCACAACTCAAAGTAGAAGGATCTACCCAAAGTCCATGTATATGCCCAGTATAGTTGGATACACCGTTTATCTGCAAAAGCAAAACAGAACATGGACAAGTTTACAATTTAAAAACCGAACAAACTCATAAACGATAAAACTTCGAATGGCTAAGTTCTAAAGTTTTGCAAAGCATATTATCACATGTGCCAGTTAAAAGCGCGCCGGCTACAACAAAATAGCATCCCGAAAATCTTGAAATGCCTGGCACGCTCACTCATTCATGCATTCATTCATATACCAGGAGCAGACAACCCGTTTAACAGGACTTCAATGTCAGGTCGGTAAAAATGCAGCAAAAAATTACAGAAGAGATTATTTAAACAGATCAACAGTTTTCAGAGTGAACTTAAACAGCTCACACCGCTAGCATTGAGTATCTGTGAATTAACTTTTTGAATCCGCTCAAAAACGTTCTGTAACCGCAAGGCCAGCGTGCTTTCTCCGGTTTTCTGTTTCACTCTGGCTTGGATTCGTTTCGGCTTCCGGAGATTGTACTGCGGTGATGCAAATCGTGACGGATAAAATAATTTTCGTTTTGTATAATTGTATTTAGGAGCAATCACGTACAAAGCAGCTGGACGATACGCTCCGTCAATTGGAATCGGAAAGGCACCGCAGCAAGGAGCTGCTGTATAAAATGCTGCCCAAAGCACTTGCCAATGTACTGATTTCCCGTGCGGAACAGAACGGTCTGGAGCTCGTACCGAACGATACGATGGACTTGGCCCAACAAGCCACTCTCTTTGTCTGTTCTATCCAGACACTCGATGGCCAGCCCGGTCCCCTGGAGACGGCGCAGTCCGACAATCTCCAACAACTAATACAGCTGCAACGCCAGATGGAGATGTTTTCCGAACGATTTGGTTATTACAAGGTACCCTATTTATGATTTCATGGTGCAAGAGAATGCCAGTACATGTACATTTGATTTTCCTACTGTTTCCTTTCTATTACAAGCTGGACTTTATTTTATCGTCAATAGCGTGATAACAATATCAAGATCTAATTACGTTTAAGCGAAACAGCATTCTCTATTACAAGTAATGTTACCTTCTTTAACTTGTTTTTTTGTCCATTATACGTAAACTGGTAGAATATTCGCAGTTCACAATATGGTACGTTGTACAGATACCATTTAAAACGCAAAAAGAAAGAAAAACTTTCTCTGACAATCCGTTAATTTATCTGTAGATGCAAAAGGTGGCGCATGTTGTGTTAAAAGTGGCGGCGTAATAAGCAGTGAAATATAGCCAGTTTAATTTTTTTACCATACATAATATACTAACAGTTTCTAGCGCAAAAATTGTTTTGGTAGATTGAAACTACACGACATCATTTCATGGCAGCCAGTGGCATTCCAACTGGTACCGAAGTCACCGAAGAGAACGCCTGCTTTTTGGCCAAAAAGGTCTTCCGCTTTGCCAGTGGATTGTCGCGGCTGAGAGTCTGCATGGGTAAACAAGCTAAAGAATTCTTCAATCCCAAAACAATGTGTGCTCTCTATAGTTTAAATTTGGTTGATCATATAGCGATTTGCACGGGTCCAACGGTCTTCGCAGTGATTGGTTCCCGGTTTCCGCGGATGTGCCTTTTTGGACAAACTGTGGCTACTGCCAATGCCATGGTCGAACTCATGAAAGTAAGATATACAATCTATGTAGTTCTATTTTACAAATCAAGTTGCGAAAGCTTCCTGGAACCCACAAAAGAATATATGTAATATTATTAATGTGTCTGGTCGTACATTTTTATATTTTATTCAGCCTACAGAAAACCAGCCACAAATTCTGGTATCGGAAACGACTAAATTGCGCCTGCCCAAAGATACCGGACAAAAATTTGTACATGGTCCACCGATTGCTGGAAAGGTTGCTGGAAAAGTAAGAGCTTCGATTACAGTATTAGCAATTAAGTATCTAAATAAGTGGTCTTTGCAGGAGAAAGACATCAAGACCTACGTTTTACAGCAGCAGCAGTAATCTAAACGTCACAGTAAATAGTTTCTCGAATCACTAATCTTGCCATCTAATACCGACCTTCACATCCGAATCGCACTATAAACTGCATGTCATTGAGTATTATGCATTATTCCTAAGAAGTCATTCATTACGTGTTCCGTACCTTTAATTTAAGTGTCGTATTCAGAGAAAGATGGCTTTGCTTGCTCGTTCATTTTCAGATATGTTTATTTTATTTTTAGTACAAAGACTGTTTTATTTTTGCCTGGCGAAACAGACATTTGCATGATTTAACGGGGCTTATTCGGAAGTGAGAAAGAAATAAAGAATTTCACATTAAAAGTCAAAGAAAAGCGAATTCTATAATGTTAAAGTTAGTAAAATCGGTTGCGCTTGGTTAAAACTGAAACCTGGCAGACAAACATTTGTGCAGATATTTTAAGCGCAAACTCAACAAATTCAATACAGTATACATACAACAGTGCAGAGAATGTTGTACTGGTACGAACGTTTAGATGAGTTTAGCACGCGACCAAGCACGCAAAGCATTGTATACTGATTTTACGGTGAATTTCTAAATATTGTAAAGTCATTTTATACAAAAAAAATCAGCTTCCGAAGTGGAATAGTACATTTTGATAGCGTTACATTGTTTATTGGGAAAATTGTGCGTATCAACCCCGTTACCCAGTCAATTATGGATCGCGGCCTTCGCGGGTGGGTATCGCGCTATCGGCATTGTGAAACGGCAGCGGAGTTCCGGGAATGCTGAGACATGCTGGCCGTGGCGCAGCTGATTTCATATATGCGCATCGTCGATGTCTCCTGCACCGGAATAAAATATGCATTGTTGCCCTCCTGTTCATATAGTTAATCAATACTGCAATGTTTCACACCTATCGCCCACTCACGGCCTGCTCATTGAGTAGTTTATCAACTTTGACACCGCATAATGGTTATCCATACTCCATTGTCGATGAGAACTACAAAAGCCAGACACCGCAGCGGTTGACAAGTGTTCCCACATTTTAGTCTCTTTCCGCGCGCCGAGTTGTCTGCTCCCCTTTAAACCATCTAACCACCATGTACGGTATTCTCTTAGAAAGCATTGTGACCTTTATAAAGAAAGTCTATAGTGAAGAGAAATGGGAGCTGATCCGCAAGAGCGCTCGTGTCGACCAGGAGAACTTCAGCGCTCACCAAGTGTACGCGGAAACGATCATCCCGCGCATTGTCGACGCTTGCAACAAACATCTGGGTTTGCCGAAGGAGGACATCCTGATCTCCTTTGGGAAGACGTACGTGGACTTTATCTCGCACTATGGCTACGATAAGATTCTGAAAGTGGTGGGACGCAACTTCCGGGATTTCCTCAATGGACTGGACAACATCCATGAGTACCTGCGCTTCTCCTATCCCAAACTGAAACCACCCAGCTTTTTCTGTGAGCAGGAAAGTCGGCAGGGTCTGGTACTGCATTATCGCAGTCGGCGCCGTTATGATGGTTTCACTTACTACGTCATGGGAATTGTCAAATCCGTCGGGAGGACTTTCTACAAACAGGATATATCTGTCAGCATTATAAAGCAGGAAACTACCGGCAACATGGTACATGTCACCTATCAGCTTAGCTTTGACAATTCGGGTAAGGTCGATACCATCTTCGGTAATGTTGTGCTATAAAAACATCGACAGTTTTTTTTCCCGTAGCGTATTTCGCGGAAGAGGCGAAAACGGAGAACACCCAGAACCTTCCATTGCGAATGGATGTGTTTTACGATCTTTTCCCGTTCCATATTTTGTTTGATCGGGAGATGATTATTCGCAGCATTGGCAAGAGTCTGCGAGCGACGGTTGACGAGATCTGTGGTTACGATGTTACCCAAGTGTTTTCACTCAAGAAACCATTGGTAGATTTCTCTTGGGATGCGGTAAGTCTGGAAGCAATGACACGCTAATAACGCGCTCTTCGCTAATAACGATTACTGTAACAAGTACTAAAAACGTCAGCGATGTCGGTATTTTTTCATAAAATGTATTTTTAGCAACTTTGCCATAAACTGTAGACCTACAGAGGAGCTCCCAGTTGCAGAATTTGCACATACATGTAATACAAAGCATACATATGCAGTTTATCACACATAATTATACGAGGGCAATGCATATGGTCATAAATTATTAATGTTAGTACTTAATGCATACGTACAATATAATAATCAAGGCGTACGCACAAAACAGGTTATTGGCCGAACCAACACGATGTTCGAACTGGCGACCATTGATCCCATTCGTGGTCGGGAAGAGACCGGCGAAGAGGACGAATCTTATACATGGACGGATACAAACGGTATATATTCAAGCAAGCGCCCAAAAATGGTTTTTTTAACGAACTGAGTGAAAAGTAACATGTACAGTACATGTACTAAATATAATTTACATAAATTCAACCACTCTACAGTAGTGCAGATTAAATTTTAAAGACTGAAGAAACAGTTCAGTCCAACTAGTGTCGTGCGGTAATGATACAACCGAATTATCTCTCGTACTAACAAATGCCCATCAATTTCCTAATTCCATATACATACTGTAGGCAAGAAACGTACGTCAGTCGTGTCCATCTCGCAAGACGACGATTCTGGGACGTTCTTACGCCTCAAAGGTCAAATGTTGTATGTCCGGGAATGGGAATCAATATTATTTTTGGGAACGGCAGTGTAAGTTTTTCAGTTATAGCATGCTATGCAGTATTGCCTTCATTCATACATACTTTTTAAAAGGCATCTGCAAAAAAATAGCTTATCTATGTCGCTTTTACCACGTAGGCTGCAAGATCTGGATGCGCTGAGCCAAACTGGATTGTATCTAAACGATCTAAGTATGCATGACAACAGTCGCGACTTAGTGCTTGCGGGCGCCCAACAGGGTGTGGAAATGAAACTGATTCTAAAGCAGGTAAAGTACACGGCGTCATGGCCCATGCCTAATTACTTACCTATAGATACACATAGGTACACAACCACGAATTGCTCTTACCGTTTTTTTTTTATTGTTTTATGTTATGCGATCCTGTAGAGTAACAAATGGGGAGCCTAAATGAATACTTTAAATATGTAATTTAAAGTTAAAAAAAGAAGTGGAAAACGAGAACATTTATATCAGTAGTAAAAAATGATTTGGCCATTTTGGTGGATTGAGCGAGATTTGTACGACTAAAACTGCATGTAATCCGGTCGTCGGATTTGAAAAACACACCATTTACCTCGACTATTCAGCCATTTACGTATACTGCAGTTATGAATTATTATTTTGGGAGTTAAGCATATTTCCATAAATGCCAATTAGCTATCACAATTGTCACCGCATACGAGTGGCTAAGACATACCAGGTGTTTATTGATACTTTATTGGTCGATAGCTTTGGATATATCGAGTATCGACATTGTGTTTAATCCCAAGGTAAAACCCGTTAGTGCGATCAATTCCGAAATGTCATCGATCGATCGTCCATGACCTTGACATTCAGCGAGAAAACGCGCAGTTCGAAGTAGCGTACGTTGTAGTTGCAACGTTAGCTGCACAGAGCACAGAACATGGGAAAGCAGCGGTCAATATAAAAATCAAGTGTATACCGGCAGTTATGCAATTTTAATCAAGTATTTACCGGGTGGCTGGCGTATTTAGGAACAATCGCGCACGAAACAGCTGGATGATACACTGCGTCAGCTGGAATCCGAGCGGCATCGCAGCAAAGAACTGATGTACAAAATGCTACCTAAACCCCTGGCGAACGCTCTAATGGCCCGTAGCGAAAACAAAGATGTCGAACTGACTCCGAATGATGTTGTTGACTTGGCCCAACAGGCCACCCTGTTCGTTTGCGCCGTCCAATTGGTGGACCTTGGTCAACAGGCTGCTGACTCACCACAATCGGACAATCTGCAGCAGCTGATCCAACTGCAGCGCCAGATGGAAATGTTCGCCGAACGATTCGGCTACTACAAGGTTGTCACGCGCTTTCCCGCCAAATTAAAAATTAATCGTCGACGTTAAATAAAATTAAAACTGCAGAACATAATTTATGTGTTTGTATATGATGCTGTGCTTGTAATTATTGCAACTGTTAATGCAGTATACATTTCTGTTAAAACTATTGATAGATCGAGACTTCTCGCAATCATTTCATGGCAGCCAGTGGAATCCCAACCGGCACGGAAGTGACCGAAGAGAACGCCTGCTTCTTAGCCAAGAAAGTTTACCGCTTTGCTGCCGGATTGTCCCGGCTTCGCGTCAGCATGGGTGCGATAATATTAACATATTCCGATAGATATGGCATTCGAGCGAAATATTAATTATTCAATGCATATTTCATAAAATATCAATAACCAGGTTGCCACATGAATTTGTTGTTTTTTAGCGGTATGCACCGGACCGACTGTGTACGCCGTTATTGGGTCGCGGTTTCCGCGGCTTTGCTTGTTCGGTCAAACTGTCGCCACCGCAACGCAAATGATCGAGCTATGCAAGGTAATTAAGTTAAAGACTTTATAAGAGGATAACATGACAAAACAGTATCAGAAGAAGCGCTTCGGCCATCCGACAAGAACATTTTACGTTTCGCCACAAACTGCCAAATGTACTTTATTTTAACAAATATTTTTCTGCGTAGCCAACAGAAAATCAACCTCAAATTCTGGTATCGGAATCAACACGGGCTAAATTACCCAAAGACAGCGGGCATAAGTTTACAGCAGGGCCTCCGGTGTCCGGAAAGGTACAAGTTTCCGTTTGCAACATTTGAATTATTGTTTAGCTAAATCAAATCGGATCTTAGGATAAGGACATCAAAACCTACGTCTTGCAACAATAATCAACGAGCTCTTAATTATGGATTTGGATATTTAAATATCATTGTTTAATGTTAGTGTATTGTGTGTTGTGAATTACCATTGTGCAATCCGCGAGTGGATTACTACGGCAACACCTACAGTTTGTACTGTAGTGAAATTAACGGTAGTGGGTATAACCAGCCCACTTTTATGCCCTACTTCTGCGTTTGAATGTTGATATTTATTGCGGTGCGTGATTTTAAATATAGATATTATGCGAGTACCTATGCAAATATCGACTACTGATGCGTCACTTTGTTCTTTCGTTAATTACACATACAGTGTGCAATGCCATACAGTTGTTCTTCCGGCACTACTGCGGCAAAGGGATAGAATCTGGCCTGGAATAATTTAATGCCATCCACAAATTTTGTTTTTGTATCGTATACAGGTTAAGAAAGCATACTGCCTTCTGTAACAAATCACTATATATATAATATAATATAAAATAATACTGTATGAAGTTGAAAATGCAAAGTTCAATGTTTTCTGCAGTGCCACGACGGTTTTCTATCCTCAAACAAATAGAGTGTACGAGGTACTTTATTTTGTAGCATTTGGTCTAAATGGTGTCTCGTAAGCTGGAGGATACAGTAACTAAACCAATAACAAAGACAGTTCTCAAGGGTAGTCCACAGAAATATTGTAAGTAGAAAAGTGTTCAGCACAATCCTAATTGAAATATAACTAAACAATATCGCACTTGGCATTTGCTTATTAAATAAATAGATGCAAAGTAAATTTATTCGATATGAATTTAAAATTGGGAAAATAAAGCATCAGAGATAAAATTAAAAGTGTCCCTTTTGACATGTACTGTAGATTACGGTTTCCAAAGGGTATACTAAAATATATCTCTGACATTTTAAACTCGAATATTTCCAAAGGAAAAAATTACTACTGTACTCTGTAAAACTAAAAAAATTACTAATATAAAAATTTTACTACTGTAAAAATTGATGTAATAGTTATACAAACTTACAATAGGAAATTTCTTGAAGCAAGTTTTAAAGCACTCATATAATGGATCATCGGTAAAGGTCACTACGACGCCGGTTAATACAGGATACAGAACATTGCCAAATTTGCAACGGACGAAAACGGAGAAAGAATAGTCTATTCGTATGTTTGTCATTAACGTTCAAGAGCCGAATGCAATTTGCCACAGTTGGTGAAATTGATTGAAAAATACTCAGCAGTATTAATTTCGAAGTAGCATAGCTATTAGCTGATGACTGATGTTGTATATCGATAGCAGGAATGCTAAGTGATAAGTAAGTACATTGCCCGGCTGTTGTATTATACCGTATCTGTAGGTGTGCGTCTTATGCAATGTTGCCAACTGATTTATATACACTTCGTGGCTGTGCAAAGAAATGTAATGTATGTCGCGAAATTTTGCGATACCGATACGCAAATCACAAATGTGTTTAATTTGACATGACAGTGGTGATCTTGAACTTTGAATTTGTGCGACCATGCTTCTTTTCGCGCCGATAAAGTGCCAATTTTCTTATCCAATCGGCGCCAACAAATCACCGCAAGATGTGATTTTTTACCGCACTAAACTGGCTGACAGAGCGTGTACCACGTTTTAAATTAGCGGTGGAGGTCATTTCACTTTCCCCGTGCATGGCATGTGCCGTTGTTATTGTTGCTGAGAGACCATTGACACTTGCAGTTTCCTCATCGAACAACCATTGTCCATACGCTTATTATTTAAAACTTGGTAAAAGTTTTCTGCACGATGAGGCTATCAGGCTTGTATTAAATAAGAATTCTGTAGAAATTAATCGTCTTAATCCTCTCCAAGTGCCGCTGACAAACTTAGAACACAAATGTGCCGAAAACTGAAAACTGTGAGATCTTCGACTTTTTCTATAAGGAAAGATATTGGTAAACAAGTTCAAATCAATATTATTACTGGTTGGCAGACGTTCAATACAAGTTAGATACACAATTAGTTTGAAAATAAAAGCCATTGTAGCAAGATGTATATAAATACAAATAAAAGCGGTAATAAAATGGTGCTGATTCGGCACTTAAGCTTTACTCCTGTAATAAAACCATAACGATCTTTGTTATGATTACAAAAAGTGCCCATAGGGATAGCCGCTTTACAGCTTTATAGCCCAAATAAAATTAGGTGACTTATTGTCATGACAGAACTGGTATCGCGTTCTGATAGCTCAACTGTCGGATCGACGATTGATGGAGGAACTTCCCGTCACTAAGCTAGCATATGTGTATCAGCGTAACATTTTCCGCCGAAATAACTAAAGTATTTTCTGTACTATCTAACTCTGGGTATTAATTACAATAAGCAATCGTAATATATACAGCACAATTCCAAAAAAACCAACAACTTGTTTACTGGATTTTGAAACGAGCGTTGGTAAAATTTTTGATGCAGTCTGTCGATGCACAGATATTGTCTAAATTTTGACACGATACAGAGTTTGTTTTGCAGAACTCTTTGACCATATTTTGAACCCATTTATATATCAAAATAACTAAATGAGTTGATATAATGCAATAGTAATAGTATTATGTTTGGTAAATTTAATTTACTTAGCGTTTAATAGATTGAAATTTTGTTTCTAGTGCTTTTTAAAGTAAAATTTCTTGGAAAATATCATTGAGTGCGAAATCAAAGTTAGAAACGCGGTTGACTACGAAATTTATTCGTGCCAAAGCAAAACTGATAAAAACCCCTTTCATTACAACGGAATCGTGAAACGACATTTAACCTTGCATAGCATTGTACCAAATAATATTTTCATTAATATTTAATGTGCCGTATGAATGCGGAAACGGCAAGTGTACCTGAGAAGCCACAGCCAAAAGAAAAACCGGCAGAGATAAGCGCGCACGAAGAATAACTTGACATACATTTTGTAGGTTTGATAATTTCTAACACAGATATCAAATGGACGGTGTATGTGTTCTCCGGTTAATTGTTCTTACCGATTTGCGCATACATTACTAATCTCCCGTGGTGTCCGTCAACGGATGCCGGCGTGCGGCCGCGGACGGATTCTGCACGACCGCTTGAATAATTGCACAGATCCATCTCTCGCTTATTCATGCGCCGTGTATGTCAAGAAGGGCAGGAAAAAGGGTAACGCTTTCTTTATGCGGCCCCGGGCGGAAACCGGCGCATACTCATATAATAACGCTACAGTCCGGCCACAATTCCATCATACCAACCATCATCATCACATCGAGCGGAGTTTAATTTTTGCCGAGCCGAATTACACAGTGGTCAAGCCGATCGCCTTATTGATTACACCACTTCACGGAACCATCTGCTGTTCCGGTGTTGTTCGGGTGGATACATTTATAAGATCACTCAGTCCACCATGCGGATTCTTTTAGCAACCGCCGTCCTTTTGGGCGTTGCCGTTCTAGGTAAGCCTAAACCATGAAATGCATTTTAAAATTATACTCTTCTCTATTATAATGAAATGATTTTAAGGACTTCTACAAATGTTTCAATAACTATTTGTTATTGTGTTTACCCGCCTAGCCTATATAGCGAACTTTTCAGTACCAAAATAAGAAAAAAACCGTCATTTTATAAAGTTTCTCTAGTATTTGTTAACGGAGCATTAGTTGGTCGAGAAATTGGTTGATTATCACGAAATGCAAGTAGTATTTGGATTGCTAATCACGGACATGATGTCTTATAGCATACGGCCAGAGTTCCAGTTACAGCGACAACAGCGGCACAGCGACCATGGCCAGCGCAGCCTCCAGCAGCTACGGATCCAGCAACAATAACGCTGCCAGCTCATACGGTGGATCCAGCGGCGGCGGAAGCTACGGCGGATCATCCAGCGGTGGTTATGGCGGATCATCCAGCGGTGGTTATGGCGGCAGCACCGGCGGCTCCGGCGGAGGCTATGGTGACCTTTTCAGCTTCCCCTTCGGTTATTCTAGCGGTTACGGCTACGGCTACAGAAGGTACATCCCTGTGCCATGGTGGATCTGGTACCCATCCAGCTTCGGTTACAACAAGGGATTCGGCTTTGGCATGAACGGTGGTGGATTCGGTGGTGGATTGGGAGGTGGTGGCGGCGGATACGGCGGTGGTGGATATGGAGGTGGGGGCAAGTGATTCGAAATATAGAAATTTCAACATAAGGCTTGTAAAGTTATTATGACCTGCGAAATAATACCTTTTCAGTACCTGTACATGTATTACGTGAAATTTGTACCAGAGACTGATGATATTTAAAACAAATACAGTATATAACAAAATAACACTAATTAGTTTTGTACCATCGGTGGATATTCGCCGTTTGCATCTTTAGTACTCTTCCGACTTGGAAAGTGAAACGAGAAAATCATACAAAATAACATTGCAAAATTTTGGTAGATGTTAGTATGATATGTGGCTTCACTGTTCTTAAAACAAGTTTTTTTTATAATCCAGGTGGCGGCGGCGGATATGGAAAGTAAAAGAGTAAGCAGCTCTGAAGCATCCACAAACTGCAAAATAATTTCTTACCGCTAATATTTTTCCAGGTTATCGATGATAGAGCGGAAACGGCAGTAGTGGTAAGTTTTTGTCATGACTTCGCATTGCCGCTAAAATAATTGCTGACCGTGATCTTTTTTGTCTCACAGACGACATCGGCAAATGTTAATCAGGCCATCCGGTCATTGTTTAATATTCTCACCGGCTTCCTCATCATCTACTGCACGCTTTCGTGTCCAATTAACAAAACCGCCCATTCCAACGTCTCTCAAGTTCAAACCGCGCATTGCCTGCATCTCAACACACAATCAACACACTTCCGATTCGTGATGACCTCTCTGTAAAGTCCGCCTGAGGCAAACCGTACTTCAAGCTTTTTTAACATCCGCTCAGTCTTTGTGTCATCTGTTCTTGTAGTTTTTTTTTGTTCCGTATTCCTCTCTGTATAACTGTTTTTTTTGGTGGCTGGTCCATCAATCGACGTCGAGTTATTGTTTGTATAATGCCGTATAACACTGATGAGAAAATTATATTCTGACCCTGTTTGCTCATAACCGCAATTTTGACTTGTGTCTGTACAATGCATAGTTGTTGGCTAATAAGATAACGTTAACTGTTCTCTGCAAAGTAATCATCATTTCTCACGCATTAATAATACCGCTTAACTGATTGTCAGTTAACACTGGTGTTGCTTTTAAACATTTCCTAACCGGTTTACTGTTCCTTTTATTGCAGCCTTGACATAAATCAACAAATTCGATAACCATGAAATAATCGCCTGGCTAATTTTTCGACAAACACACAAAAACTCTTGAGAAAAACTTATTTTCAGAATACTGATAAAATAAAAGATTTGCGTGATTTCATGAACACGTATCAAGAAACCCGCTTGACTGCCAATAACATCCGTAATGATCGCACAGATAAAGAAACCCGTTATCGTACAGACGTAATTCAGGTTCGACATAATCCGGTGAATAGGTCCCGGTGTACCATAAAAGATTGTCATATTCGTCGTACATCATAAGATTACCATCATCCTGTAGCGTCACACGGGCAATGGTCTGCCGTGCCATCGCTTTGAAGCCGTGGCGATGATCACAGCGTCGCCATACAATGAGGTGATGTCCATGTTGCCGGTCTATTTCCAGGGAAAACAGTTTGTTGGGGGACGCATATGATGACTCCAAATCCAGATTTTCCCCCGCTCTCAAAATAACTGCCACAAAAATCACAGCAACCCTAATTTCTGAATAATTATTGTATGTAATTAATGTAATGTTTGGACTGCATATTTAATTAATCATATTTATTTTACAGGTGTACATACAGTCTGTAGGTATTCTGTAGTTGCTATCAAAGTGGTTTTTCTAATTGCCATACCGCAGCCGACAAATGTGCAATTTTACAGAGACCGATAAATGAGGTGTACAGGCAAACTATGTAAGACTTAAAAAACGTGAAACGGCCAGTCGGTTCGCGGTTTAAAATTTTAGCAATTATATATGGGCACAATATGCGCGAGTATTTGCGTTTTAACCTTGTAGATAACTGCATTTAATATTGTAGATAACCGCAATACTTACCATGATGTTTATACATTTTTGCAGGTATGTACTCCGATGTACCATTGCAACCATGATTATGGTGACCGGACGATCTCCAATACGCTCCCACCGTATAATTGCTTAGATACAAATACCCAGAGTCCGAAACAACCAGCTGGGATTCACCATAGCCCCAGGTTTCGCTAGTCCAATAAGGAACTCGCAGACCTCCATTAACATCCCATTTTTCCAATTGAAAATGCCCATCATCGGGTAGTATGGCTCGTACTGACGGCAGTCCATTGGTGTGCGTCATGAATACCGGCCAACCATCGCATTCACGATACAACACCAGATTGTGGTCAGATTGTAACACCAGCCGAAAGGTCATAGACGGAGAAAAGTAGTTCTTGCCCACGGTCAAGGCTTCGTTCATTTGTAAGGCCACTGGAATTATACAAAAATCCAGTAATGGAGGTCCTGTACGGTTAATTATGAATTCATAATGTCATTTACTTTGACCACACATAGGATGATTGCGCATAGACTCCTCCCAGTTAATGCGCGGAATCTCAGATTCATCCATACAGCCGTAAGCCAGTTTAATTTTTACGGCATCCAAGAAACTAAGATTGATCCTCTGTCCGATGCACTGGGCCGGTTTTCTCGTGGGCACAATCACCGGTACACTGCTGTCCTTGGCGAAATCGAAGATCGAATAATGTAACACGGAAGAGTAATCGTATGGCAGGCCGAATGTTCTTCCATTCCGTGAGTCAAAATTGAAAGCTGCGCCTGCACAGTATACATATTTTTTGGGACAATGCTTTATTTAGTATATATGGAGACAAGGTAAGGCACAAGCATAATATAGGGCACAATGTATCTTTAATAAGCAATAGCTACCAGGTTAACACAAAATACAAGCGTGGACACTTCTACACAATAAAAATTTAAACATTAAAAAACAATGCAAATCTCTGGGGTATGTATCCGTGGGTCAAAAGGCAAAACTAGTTAACACAGCGGTAGCACTTCTCTTATTCACTGAAACGTCGCTTGGTCAAAGCAGCAGAACGCGCTTCTCCAGTTAATTCCCGAATTTCTCGGGCCCATAAAATGTTAAAGCTCAGTCAAAAACACCCAACGTTTCAACAATGTGAATAATTATGTCAATGCATACTTTGATACTATACTATCGATATAACAACGATGATGCCTAATCACGTTCTTGTTCGTTATGGTCTTCGCCCTACCTGTTAATATGTTTTCGTAGTTGATGGTGACATACTCATCTCGATCCCGGCGGCTCATTTCGTGGAAGAATCCCAAAGCATGCATCACTTCGTGCTGGATTGTCCCAAGCTCTTTGACACACTGGGATGAAAGCTCGATCATCTGCATGCCGGTCCTCCGACCGATGCAGGATGCGCACCTGGTAACCAACAAAATAACGGCAGGGTATTTAATAATTCTGGTACGGTTTTATTGTACTCGTACGTATGACAGTATTAGAAAATTAACTTTATGAACTCCATCGTAGGACACATGAGGGAACGTACATCCTGCTCTTCGCAAACCGGATGTAGTGTTTATGTCGAGATGTGTATTCAATAAATCTGACACAATCCGTTGTAGCATCGGAAATTTCTCGTAGAGCTTTCCTTATATTCATCCGCTCTTCGGTATCTATCAGAAACCTCCCCTTAGCATTAATGTTGTTGTTGGTTTGCAGAAAAAAATACTTTACTGAAGCCCGAGCTAATTAAATACGGGATTATTCCGTCTGGCCATCGGATATTCTTATCATTGGAAAAGTTGTTGCCACCTTCCGACACCTGCATAAACAATGCAAAAAATAAACGCTAAAATTGTAGATATCGGTATATAATGAAGTTATGAACTATGAAATATAGAAAAAATTAAAAAAATTATGACAAATTAACGATATAAACGTTAAAGTAAATAGCAACGAAAATTTAGCACACAAAAGTCCTGCGGCAAACTGTGCAAAAAAAGAAGGGCATACTCACGTTTGTTTTTCCCGAATCGCGATCAATCTCTTTGATATCGCCTTCGAATAAACTGGTTTGGTATTCCATAGCATCATTATCTTGTCCCAAGTATTTTTCTAAGATTTCCGGCGATATGTACGATTTCCAGTCTAGAGTTGGCACAAAAATAAATAAATGTGCAACAATCCTTCTAGTTTTGGACCTATACCTACCAACAATTTTAGTGTTGCAGCAATGTTGGCAGCTTGGCAGTACTTGCCTGCGGGTAACTGTGAATAGACAATTCCAGAGTGCATAAAAAAATGGATCCAGATCTGTGCAAACAACCATCTGCATTGGTTTCTCCTGATATTCATTTTTAAGGAATATGATAAAATTACTGTATATCGTTAACATATGTCTGTCTCATTAACATTTGCAGTTCCTGAATTTAGTATGTTTATAGAAGTATCTATGAATTAAGCATGTCGAAGTGTACTTGCGCTTGTGAGCCCTGCTACCTCACACGGAAGTCAGGAAATGACACATTATCAGATAAAAATTCGATCGGATAATCATTGTCATTTGTCAGTGCTGAATCTGCTGATGAGCCCTGCACCCAGCAAGAGATTTCATTTAGATAACTGCCGAGATAGTTGATAAAAATGACAGCAAAGAAAATTGTAACCAGCAAAGAAAATTGTGGCATACAGTATATATACTCGTAGAAGATATAAAATCTTGAATAATAAACGTGCAATACATATGTATTACGAGTACATTTCACTCACTTTCAGCATTTTCTGCAGTACTATAGTTAGCATTGTGTAAAATACACAATACGTGAATTAAGTCCGTGTCCATCAAAGTGATCAAACTGCAATTTGTATGTAGACAAAATACAGAGCATAACACAGCCTTGCAAACAGGATCACAATAGATCACAATAGGTATAATAGTATTTATAAAATACAGAATAGTAGTTTACACTAGCTTTGCAGTGGCGCCGACTTAAGAACCACAATTCTTAGTCCTGTACTCTTGAATAATTCTTCCTTCCGGTCTGATTATTTCGCTGAGCCCAATGTCAACATGCGGAAGGAACATCCCCAGATAAGGACTATCTGGCACGACATAATAAAAGTAATCTTCTTTAACCAGCTCCTCGTCGTCTTCATACCGGTAGGCTTGCGCTAAAATACTGACGATATCCGTCCGTTCATTGCGCAGCCGATGCGTCTGGTATAAATCCGACCTCATCCACGTAATGTTGCCCGTATGAAACGTCTGTGTTTTTATCAATACCGGGTCTTCATAGCTCATATTTACAATGGGATTGTACCATTCAAATGTGACAGATCCCTGCAGGATCTTAAAAACCCCTGAGGTGTTACCGTGATTGTGCACCGCGCTGTAGTGACCTTTCGGCCAGATTTCCATCACCATTTCCTGACCGGGCGCTCGCAGAAGGTTGCGCGGACCGGGTACGCGAATATAGGCGGCGCTCTTGCGACCGGCACGCATTTTGCCGGCTAAAATTTTGTGCAACGTACAGCCCGGTATTTCCAGCGAATAGTTTATAGCAGCGAGTTCTTCAGGAGTTAGCGTAAAGGCGTTTACGTCTTCGAGGATTCCGGCAATCAAGGTATCATACTCCGAACTTCTTGGTCTTAATCTAATTAGCGGATGTCGCATTCGGGGCGCGTCCGGCTCCACCAGAACGGGTGATAGGTCTGCAATGGTTGGCTGCGGTTTCAGCTTGACATGGTCAACGACAGCCACACCGTCAGCCAAAACGACGCTTTCAATCGCGCCAATCAATGGATCGAAATCGATATTAGGTAGTGACGAAAAATGGAACAGAACGTTGTTTTCCATTTCGTATCCATAACCGAATTTGATAAAAGGGAGCAAATCGCCGGCTCGCCGCGAGGAGAACGATATCCAGTGTGTTGACTGGGAGCAGTTTGGATGTGTTAGACTGTGCGCTGGTGACCTTCGGATTTGTTCTTCGAAGACCGTGGAATCTGTGCTTTCCAGCTGGACATTCCGATCCGTGACATATAGAATGATCTTGCCCAAGCCGATGCGATACAGCTCTTGGTCGGCTCGTAGTGGCCGCAAAGCGTATCGTACTGTTCCTAGGCCTAATATCCATTAAGCAAATACTTTTAATGTCAACATTTACTTACACTATTTTACGGAGTGCTTTATTTTACAGAATATGGACTCACCTTTGGCGTTTTGGAGATAAATACGCTCCGCAATATCGGCGTCTGTTAAAGGTTTTCGTAATTTCTTAACCGGTGCCAAGATCCTCGTGCCGCTTCTACCCACAGATGCCGACGAAATGCCGTTGTTGTTTGTAATTTCCAAATCGTCAGTATTCCTCACGATGGTCGGGTCTCCATCGGGACCTAACAGTAAACATGTGTATCACATTTCTGTAACTGATAGATCTCAAGCTTTTCCGACACGGTACTTTTTTTGCACTTCGAATGTTATGTAATTTCGTAACTGTCATTTTTCGAAGAGAAATTTATGCGGAACACCGGCTGCAAACGTACAATATATGCGTACCTGAATCGAGACAAGGCTGTACACGTTTCACACTGCTGATTCCTGTGTGCTGGGTATATTCATCCGGACAGGTGACCCGCGCACTGGCATCTTGATTGCACATAATTGCCCTTGGAATGTATCCTTCAAGAGCTTTGCAGTATATTTCGTTTAATTTCTGGTTCACTGCCAGATAAAGCAAAGTTGCGTTTGTGGTTGCGGAAATAGTAGGTGTTACTTACTGGTTAATATAGTGTAATCGAACCCAAACTGATGGTGCGGGTTATCTTTTCTTCTCGGCCCCAGGTCCATAGTAATCTTGAGAGCGGGGACCTTATGGTACCGGGACAATACATGTGCAACAGATGCCAGTGTCGTCTTGGGCAAATTTGGAGATATTCCACCGGGAATGATTTTTAACAGGGGCTGTTTCCATTCACTGCTATCGTAAACCCGGATGGTGTGGGTTTTGTCCAAATTTGAAACCCTGAAATGAAACAGTTGCCAACCAGTTAATACAGAACTGTTGCAGCTTGTTTGTAATTAATGTAGCGTACGGAATATGCAGGTAAATTGCAGACAGGGTAGTGCAATTACTTGGCGTCGTAACCTCCACCGTGCAGTTTAGTTTGGGAACATTTTGGAATCGCAGTCTACCGGCTCGAAGAGCGGGATCACCGGAATCAGGGCACGGAAGCACGTAGGCAGTTTTGCAGTAGTGCTCCAAGATCACTGTTTAATAATTTCGGTAAAGTAAGGGTTTCAAAAAAGCAATACTTTGGCGTTTATACAAAGGAAGACATAATATATATACGTTTATACAAATGAAAATAACGAGAATCTTTTTAAACCTTAACATTCATGCAGCCTTACCTTCGTGTCTTTCAGCAGAACAGAATATCGCATTCATAGTAACATTCAGTAACAAAATCACTGTGTAATACAACAAGTAAAACGCTTTTCTAGAATTTATTCTCGGGAATATTAGCATTTTGCCTCTTTCTCAAAAGATAATTAGACGAAGCTTATTTTCGCTCGAGGCAGTAAGGAAGCATAAATTTGATGGTATAAATAACCAATGATAAGTATCAAGACGTCTTTGGAAAGTCAATCAGTTGGTAATTAACATAATTATTGCACTGCAGCTGGAGGTAGATCATAATGCCTTACAAATGAGTAACAGTAAATACCAAGATTTGCTCATGAAAGGCAACTTTTTTACGATTCCGCTACGGTTGGCGTGGAAAGTCATCACTGTGCGCCAGAGTGTGCGGGCTTTATCGTCAGTGCCCGGGAAATGATGCACTGTTCGCCGAACAAAATTAATAGATTGTCTTGATATGAGACTGTTAACTTCCACCATCTGATGGTGCACAGCGATCTGATTTAAGCGATAAAATATAAGCTATCTAGATGACCACGGATCCACGCACAGATTGCGACGATTCGCATTATGGCATTAAAATTCCCAGGACTTGGGACTTAGGCTGCCTGCGTGTTAGGGTAAGTGTTATCAGTGTTATTGCCTAATAACTGCGTAACGTAGTTTCCCTGTGGAGTTACTTTTACGTCTTCTATAATTTATTTTTGATGTAATTTAATTTTATGCACGGTATAGACGGTTTGCATTCATCAACACGTTCAGTAAACTCTACTGGTAGTTTTGCAGTGCCCGCAAAAAGCGAGTGCACTTCCTAGTAATTAATGGTTGGATTGTTATTCCGTTGTAATTTAAGTTTGAAACATGCAGTTAAGAGTTTAGGATTATGCGGCAATGTTTTTATTACGAGTACAAAAGGGCTTATGAAAATTCAGTTTTGTGTTGACGGAATAAGCCAGTAAGTCATCATTTCGTATTTTCCCTTGATAAGTTGCCGTCCCCTTGGTTGGACAACGAATTCTGTAAATTGTTCCAGAAGAAGTTGACTCTCCGGGCTGAGATGAATACGGTCTGGTAAACCGTGACTGCACATTCGGGAGGCCATGTTAATCGTATCCCCAAACCTAGCAATAAGGAATAAGGAAACACTTTTAACTAACTATTGGTTGTATCAAAATTTCAGCACGGTACGCGTTAATGGCATTTTCATAATAATTCGTATGCACTTGTAAGACAATAAAAATATTAATGTACAGTAGTAGCACTCGACAATACAAGCAGCAGGAGCTGCTGAAAGGGGAAATGTATGCTACGTATTACGTACAGACAGTAGCGTGGTCGCTTTGATCCCATTAATCCAGCAGCGCACGGGCCTGTAACAACCAACAAATGTAATCATTTAGTCCTAAATGCACATGCAGATAAAAGCAGTGATTGTGCAGTACTTACCAGAATGGATTCCAATTTTAAACCGTAAATTGTGCAGAAAGGTCAGTTGTGGCCGAAGTTCCATTAGCCTTGTAGCAAACACTGCTGTACGCTCGATATGATTTATGCCAATCCTTTCTGGTAGTCCGCTGGCTACCTATTTCAGTTTAGCTTCGTTGTATTGATATAATATAAAAATACGTATATTACACGTGTATAATCAATGTACGCAGATAGGCAGCATCTTTACAAATTTCTGTTGCGAACTTGCGAGGTGAGTTACCATGTAGAGTTCTACGATACATATTATCGTAGTAAGTAGTAAGTGATAGTCACCATAAAGGAGTCGCCGATAGCCTCCACTTTATAAACACCACACTCGGTTGACAACTTATCGATGCAAGCTTCAGTGGCGGATGTAAGAGTGATCGTCATTTCAGGTGGTTGGTTCTTCACGAAATCGGCGAATCCATATAAATCGGTAAACGTAATTGTCGCGCATTCAAAAAACTCTGGTAAGACTTTTTCGCCGGCTCGGAGTTGTTTGGCAATATATCTAACGAATGCAAAAAACGCGCACACGGAAATTGCACTGAAGTTCATAGGAAACGAAGATGGGAAACTTGTACCGTGGCAAGAACTGATGGATGATCGCGTCGCATTTATTCATTTCTTCCGTTAATTCGCTGGTTCTCTTTATCACCTGACATTCTAATTCAACTGCATAGTTTTCTAATCTGGAAATGATTTTGTCGAAAAGAGTCGTCTTTCGTTTATCCGAAGCTAGCGTAGGACTAATTCTGGCCAACGAATGGAGGAGACTGCTTATATCGGGTCGTTGGAGCGGGTCTAAGTCGATGCAAGATGTCAGTGCCACTTCGAATTCGGGCACGCTCGAAAACATTGTCCCATAGTGAAGATCGTGAAAACTTTGGTCTGCCACAACATTTATAATATAGCAAATAAAGAATGTTACATATGCTTTATAACCGGTTACGCCTTTTCTACCTTTTGTTAGGGATCTCACTTTGTCTAGCAATTTTCCCATGGTCAGGATATCGAGCAAGATCAAACCGGAGGAGTAAATGTCGACCATCTGCAACGACTTGCTATCAAGCATGCTTCCTGATTCTGGTGGTGACCAATAGAAGGATTCCCAAACAGTGTTTTGACATGCTGCGGTGCTTAAATCTCCACAAGCGATATGTGTTTCTTCTCGTAGTCTGTCGGATGCCAAATGTGCTAGTTTAAGCGTGAAATGCCTGTCAATCCAGCAGGTCAGAATGCTGATGCGCCCATGAAATTGCAGAGACGAAGAGTGAATGTACCGCACTGCCTACAATTGAAAATTACAACAGATGCCGACCATAGTTCAAAACACTGACGCTATACTTGGAGATAATCCAGAACCAGTGAGCTTGTCATAGCCTCGTCTTTACTAATCCAGCTATCAAATAAATCCGGCAAGGGACCCCGTGATGGGCAGTCCAATACGGCGGATACCCAGTGGAGTTCTTTAGAAGATTTTGTTATCGTCAGTCCCACAAAGCGACAAATATTAATATGGTCGATTTTGTTAAGCTGCAAAGAAGGCAGTATTTTATTATTTCCACATAAGGCCGTTCGAATTAACTTGTAACCTTTCGGAGTAGAATCAACAGATCAATGTTAGCAGAGATGTTGGCAAAGCTGACCGGATGCTTTCTACTGGATACCTTCCAGCCCATAACTGGTCTGCTCTCGAGCGAGCCGAAAATGATAGCTCTACAAATATCCTGCAAAATTTTGACAATAAATTAATATAGATCTGAAATGAACGTATTTTTTCTGGAAAAACTTTTTCGTACGCGTGTCCCGATTATTGCATCAGGAAGACCGCTGGTACCGGTGCCGCGTGAGAATTCCGAGTGTTTTTGTTTCTGTCCCACTAATGGCGTGGGAAAACAGAATACTTCTCGATCGGACCGATTCTCATCCAGGTGGACTTGCCACCACGGGTCTGTGAGCATGTTGTTTCTAGCTCTCTGCTTGCTGCAAAGGATGAAAGTTTACGCTAAAAGAACGACAAATAAATCAGAAACGCAATACCACAAGATTGCTTTTTACTGCTATGTGTGGTACAGCACCGGAAGTAATTAGGTTACTGACTTATTGTTTTTCCGGTGGGACAAAAGATCTTAATAATATTAACAAACTCAACAACGACAAAAAATGCGTACACGCATAATATTACTAACTAACTGTTAGTTTAGAGGTTAGTACTGTTAGTTTAGTAATATTATGCTAATAATTATATTTATGGCAAACGTTACTACGCTATTCAGAAATGAATTTAACAGATTTAGCTGCTGTCGCTAGTCATTCTACTCGTATAAACAGCTTAAAAGCCTCTGCAAGATATTATCATACTTAATGTATCCTACGATTGCGATTCCAAGAAATACACACACAACCGACACAGTGGAAATCAACGCTTTTGTCAGAGAACTGACACCTGCAAAAAAAGTATTATTAAAGCGAACGGGAAACATGTACGTGCTTTAAGAGATCCGTACTCGCCGCAAAACAAAAGAAGCTCTGATGTAAATATCCACAAAGTGGTTCGTTGGGGGGAGGAAAAGGATCATTGACCCATGCTCTCAATTGAGGGGCTTCCAGTAAAACACCGGTGTTACCAAACTTTTGAAGCAGAGTCTGCAGACTGAGAAGGTAAAGGAGCTTCTAGTCTGAAACTGTTTAATGGGCCTTACCTTGCGGGTCCCATTTGTACTGAAATATGAAACAATGAAGTCGGTGCGTCGTTGTCCCTCGTTGTCGATGTACATGCTATTACCGATGTCGTCACTGAACGTTTGGTTCAAGAGACGCCGTGCTAAAGCCGTACCACTCCAATCCGCTGTTTTGCCTGAGGCAATTGTATCGTTGATAATCTGGAAAAGTAATGCTGACTCTGTAGCAGCGAACAGGTGGTAAGTAATTACAACATCCGTTGCTTGTTCCTGCACTAATGCATCTGTGTTGAAAATTAAATCTTACTTTCGCTAGCGCAAACACCGTCATGTAATTTCCAAGGATAAGATCGTATGGCTGCCAAGTTTAAAAAATGAAAATTTCGAGTCAACTGAATGTGCGAAATCGCATTACAGTAATGCGAAGAAAAAGATAAGTAAACCAAAAAAGGTTAGGCAAACCTGCTGCGATAGCTGATATGTGAAGTTAAAATCTTGCATGGTTCGTCGTTGAAATTCTGTTGCAAGTTGCATCTTTGTGGAACTATTTTTCGTGTTATCGGTTGGATGTACCATCAAGACCGACTGGAACGCTTGCAGCAGAGCCTGGTCATCAGTAAACAGTTCGTAAATTTTTGAATCACATAAGACATCTGACTATTTTCAGGTGACCCTGCTAATTACCAAATCGTTTGCATTGCCAATCTGCCAGTTTATTGGACGGTTGGGGCTGTTCTCAATCAGTACGTAAACCTGCTGAGAAATTAAGTGCTCTCATCTGATTAGATCTGAAGAAGTTAAAGGGAAGTACGTGTATGTACTGAAGCTTACATATTCTCCATTTGTCATATCCAAAGAATAAGCGGTTAGCTGCAAAAGACTCTTATGAAATTAAGCAAAATGGTTTGCGCTTTGGCAGCACAACGTTTACCAGAAAGTCCCGAAGAGCCGGTCCACTGCCGAAGTACAGCACCACTGGCAAAAGAAGAAAACAATTTAGTCGCTAAAATGTGTCCTAGTGGTACAGTGTTATACAACAGCTAACCCCTGCTTGTTGCCCGAATGCCTTCCAGAAGCGATCGAAAGCCGTTGAAACCTGGTTTTGCTTCAATTGTCCTCACAACGCTTGTTACATGTTTCTGGCTTGCGACAGTGGCAAAGAATATCGATGCTAAGGTGAAGTAAAACGGAGACGAACTGTTGTCGATGATTGCAGTTGTTGTAGTCCAGTTGTACTTAATCAGTATCTCAAGCAGTAATCCAGCGCATTCGGACATGAGATAATAATTTGTCGATATCCATGTTGGATATAAATTACGATAGCGCACTTTCGAACCGGCGGAGACTCTATCGCAATACAACACGTCCATTTCTCTGATTGAGGAAATGGTATCACTAACTCACGTTGAAATCCACAACGTATTCCACTGTGTATGGAAATACGGAATATCGGTTTCTTCCACACACGCTACAAAATTTCTTTGCACGTTGTTACTGCTCGCAATATTTCAACACAAAACAACTGCTCACCTGGTATGATGTATATCGTGAGGTCCCGATCGTCTCGCTTACGGTAGTGCCATTCCGACAGCATGGCGACAGCATTGCTACCGAGGTCAGCGCATGTTTGTTCTTCCATAAAATGCAAGCGGAAATGCATATTCTCCTTGTAATTTGTTTCGACGTGTTCAACGGCCATAGATAGCGCTGGTTCCACATACGGCAGAGCCGCGGTGCCACTCGGAGAGGAAAAACCTATGACCACGAAACTGACGTTTACTATAGCATCCTGTGGGCTCTCCCTGGGACTGGGAGGTGTGACCAACTGAGTGCCCACCATATCAGCAAGGACAAGAAATAAAACTGACGGACAAAATGACATGATCGTTATGGATGACGTCGAAACAACCAACACTGATGGTACCTTGCGATATTTAAGCTAACCCATTAAATATTAAATGCGAAACTATTACGTAAAATAAACAAAGAGGTCGCATTGATGTTACTTTAGAAAGCAGCAAAAATCCTGCATTGTTATCGTCTGAATAAAATATCAGGAAACGGCTTTATTGCATGCGATTGACTGCATCAATCGTTAACACAGCATGCAGAACGTTTGCTTATTTCTAAGCTACTGCAGCCAACTGCAACCGTAAAGCTGTGTTTTCACAGCTATTTGACCTTTTTCACACCGGTGATCTTCCTGCTACTTGCTGCAGTTACCGGGGTTCCTGTTCCCATTCATGGAAAGATGGTGGGTGGCAGGAGTGTATGTTGCAGATGGATGAGCAAGAGATTACCAAGAAATATGATAGTATCACTGCAAGGCACACTATCCCTTCGATAGTGCGCTTAAAGATTAAAGAGCCGTAAAGATCCGCTCGTGCATGCAGTGTGTAATTCGTAAAATACTATTAGAATGTCGTCCAGCTACTTTGCTCACGTAATGTCGGCGGTCGTGATTCTTCCCCTCAAGCAGCCGTGGTCAAAAAGGAGGAGAATATCTTAGAGTTTATCGAGGTAAAATGAGGAAGCAAAACGAGTGGAAAGAAAATTTTCAGTTTCTAGTCTATGGTACGAAATCGAAGAAATGTTTTAACAAGCTTTTGAATGCTTCAATTTTTGTCTTATATAAGGAAAAATTATAAACTTCTGGCTTCTGAATTTAGTATAGCGGCTCGCAGCACTTTCCTACCGAGTGTTTTACTATTCGCGAAAGAAAGTACCGCGGCCGGCATTGTTTGTAAACACATATCGCACACAAGCTGCGGTTGTTTCTCCCCGCACTGGACGCGGTGGGCGGTACTTGCACTTGTGGTATTTTTTCATCTTACACCACAGTACTCGTTTTCTACCTATTCAGTTCAGTTCAAGTAATTTAAGAATCACATCTGATTCACGTACCAACGCCGCAAGATCAAAATATCGTAACGGAGATCAAAATATTGGGCGCTTAAGCATAGGTCAACCAGATAGGCGCGCCTCTAGAGCAGCGCAGCTTAACATACTCGGTTCTGGGCCCCTGAGAACATAAAAAATCTGTGACAAGATCTCCGCATTGAAATTTGAAGCATATGAACATCCCTTTACATCCGGTACGCTGGTAGAAGCCAGTAGGTTGTTGTTTCGTATTTTCCCTTAATAGCCAGCACGCCTCTTTCTTCGACCATGAACTGGGTAAATTGTTCCAGAAGAAGTTGACTATCTGGGCTGAGATGGATACGGCCTGGCAAACCGTGACTGCACATTCTGGAGGCCATGTTAACTGTGTCCCCAAATCTAAAACAGAGTCGAAATTCTGGATAAGGTGCTTGCACAACAATAAGAGGTATGGTCACTTGTATCGTGTAAGGACAACTGATCTGAATTAAAAACCTATTGAGCAGTAAGCTGCTTTCATAACCAGAATGCAATGTAAGAGGAAGCTTACATACAAGCAATAACGGGGTCGTTTTAGCCCCATTAATCCTGCAGCACAGGGACCTGTAATTTCAACAATGCGTAACTCGCACCCAGATAAATACGTCATTGACGCATTACCCGAATGAATTCCAGTCTTGAAACATAAGCTTTGTAGAAAGGTCAGCTGGGGTTGAAGGGTCACAAGCTTTATGGCAAAGACAGCAATACGCTCGATATGGTTACAGCCGATTCTTTCTGGTACTCCGCTAGCCACCTGCAGAATTGCTTATAAGATCTTGTGCAGAATTGCAATCGATTATCGGGGATGCGGATTCCAGAAAAAAGGACATAAGCACCATTTCGCTTGCATTACCATAAACGAATCACTGATTGCCTCCACTTTATAAACGTCGCACTCGGTTGTCAGTTTGTCGATACAAATTTCAGTTGCCGAGATAACAGCAATGGCCGTTTCTGGTGGATTGTTCTTAGCAAAATCAGCGAATCCATGCAAATCAGTAAAGAGGATTGTGGTGCATTCAAAAAATTCAGGTAAGATCCTTTCACCGGCTCGAAGCTGTTGGGCGATCGATCTAATATTATGCAAGCAAAGTGATTTACAACAACTTTTCTTGAAAATTACTAGTACCCGTTGCTCTGGTCACTGGTACCGTGGTAAAATCTGATTGATTATTGCGTTGCATTTTTCCGTTTCTTCCATTAGTTCGACGGTCCGCTTCGTGACTTGGTACTCTAGTTCGTTCGAATAACTTTCCATCCTGGCACATATTTGGTCAAAAAGCGTCGTATTTTTTTCCTGTGCAGCCAACAGTGGATTAATTGTGGCCAGCGCACGGATAAGACTTTTTATATTCGGTCGCTGCAGCGGATCCTGAGCGATGCACGACCGTAATATCACTTCGAAGTCAGGCAAACACAAGAAAATTGTGCCAGGCAAAATTTCTTGAAGGCTTTGGTTAGCTACATAGATTGTTGGAAGGCTGATGAAGCATCCACTCACTGAATCCTAATTATGCGTAATGAGTACTTCGAAGTAGTGCTTACCTTGGGCATGCGCTCTGATCTGCTCTAAAAGCTTTCCCATTGTCAGTATGTCAAGCAGGATCAGACCGCAGGAGTAAATGTCAACCATTTCCCAGGACTTGTTGTCAAGCGTGTTTCCTGTTTCGGGTGGTGACCAGTAGAAGGATTCCCAAATTATGTTTTCACATACTGCTGTACTAAGGTCTCCACAAGCCGTGTGTAAACTTCGTCGCAATTTGTCAGAAGCGAGATGCGCTAGCTTAAGGGAAAAATGTTTATCCACCCAGCAAGTCAAGACGCTGATTCGTCCATGGAACAGCAACGAGGAAGTGTGGATATACCGTACTGCCTGAAACAGCCAAACTGTCTGCCGAAAGGTCGCAACAGTTTTTGCGTGTAAACACTGGAATTGTAATGATAACCGGCATTTTACTTGGAGAAAATCGTGAGCCAGGGAAGTCGGCAGTGAAGCGTCCCTGCTAGCATAGCTGTCGAATATGTCCGGCAACGCGCCTCGTGATGGGCACTCCATTACTGCCGAGATCCAGTAAATCCCTTTTGAAGATTTTGTTATGGCAAGTCCAGCAAACTGGCAAATATTGATATGCTCCATTCTGTTTAACTACATCAAAACACTGTAAATCTACAAAGGGTTAACATTAAAAATGTGAGCGAACACATCTCATTCAGCTACCTTTTGAAGCAATACCAACAGTTCGTTATTACCCGAAATGTCGGGAAAAACAATTGGCTGGTTCCGATTGCATAATTTCCATCCCATAACTGGTTTGGTTTTGTATGTATCGAAAATTACGGCGCTGCAGAAGCTCTGTAAAAACAGCTTCCTAAAATAAACACAAAGATACTTTTAACTGGCTCAGTCTGATTGTACTCGTGTCCAGCTAAAAGCCGCAGGGAGTTCTCTGGAGTGTTGGGAGATTTGGTCGGCATAGATTCTCGACAGCAGAGATCGGCAGGACGCTACTAGTCGATTAGTTGGTTCTTGCAGTTGGATTTGCCACCATGGATCGTGTAGCAGTTGGTAATTAGCTTTGAGTTTTCTGTATCTGTAGTCAATTTAATAAAGATTTAGGTTAGTATACAAAGTATTATGGCTTTAGGCTATTAGCTTTAGATGATAAAAAGCTTTAAGTTATACTCGTATGCATTTTACAGGCATAACTCGTACTCTAGTTACTTATGATAAGCGCCGTTCAAGTAAAAGTTACGATCAGTGGTTATTACAGTACTGGGTGCCCATTTGTGCAGCACCAGGCGGTTGACAGTGATGGTTTAGAAATACAAAGTCGGTTTATTTTGAAGGCGGTTAAAAGTCTAGAGTAGTTAATTTATTACAAAGTTCTTCCCCGTACTGCATTCTGTAGCTCTATAAGAGCTATGGAATACGTACACAGCTTCGTCGTATAGTTTTCCTATGTGTTTATGAAAAAATACTTTTAAACTCAGGTAAGCGGAGATGAGTCGGCGCGCCCATGCGACACTATTGGCGTCCCTTGCACGAGATGGGTTAAAAACCTGTTTTATGATCCAGAAAAAATCGAGTACTTACGCAATTCCTCCTACTATCATTATGCCGACAGCCAGACAGAGACTTGTGGAAATTGTTGTTAGCAAGTAAGAGGAACGGTTGTCACCTAAAATTAATAAGACATATCTTTCAAAATACTATTTTTTAAAGGGATTAATTTTTCCTAACATTGCTTACTTTAAATAAAACAACTGCTCGCACCAAACAATAGCGAGAAGAAGCTCTCGTGGCTCCTGTGACCCACGACTTGGGGGCTGCCGATCACGATGAAAAAGGTTCCCCCCAATTGTTAGGATACATGAGGAAATATTTAAAATGCAATTATTTGAAACTACTTTGAATTATTTATTTAAAAATGAGTGAGCGTTTATTTCAAAGGTGATAGTTATATTTGTACTTCGAATGCCACGTCAAGGTATTCCAATCATTCATAGAATAAAATAATACAAATATGGGAAAATTTATCTTTTACCTGTTACATGACAACGTGGCTTTTGATTTAAATATCCGCAATACGGCTCGTTGGGAGGAGGAAATGAACTGTTGACCCACATTAGCAATCGTGTCATCTCTGTTAAAACTCCTGTTTGGCCGAATTTGTACAACAACGGCTGTGCACATACAAAAGCAGGAGCAAGTGTTTTCCGACAAAATTGCCATTGCAGAACGGCGGTTGAACCGTACTGACCTCGCGACTCCCGTTAGCGTTGAAAAAAGATACCACGAAGTCACTGCGCCTCTGCCCTTCGCTGTCTAAATACATGCTGTGGCCAAAGTCGTCGTTAAATGTTCGATTTGATAAACGCTTTGCTAATGCGACACCGCTCCAGTCAGGTCTTTTGCCCAAAGCTATTGTATCGTTGATGACCTAGGATAATACACATTTTTAAAGGACTGCTCACAGAATTACAGATTCAAATCTGGAGAATTTCTTGGGACTATCACAACGTTGCCAGAAAGCTAGAAAGATCGTACCTCTGCTATTGCAAAGACGGTCATGTAGCTGCTGAGAATAAGGATATATGGCTGGCAAATAAAAAAGGCCGTTCAAAGGCTAATATCGTACTGAGCCGCGTGAGTTTGGAATTACTACCTGGTTTTTTATTGGGTATGTGTAATTGTAATGTTGCTCCGTTCGTCGGAGAAATTCCTTACCGAGATGCACTTGGACGCTAATATTCTCGGCATTCTCAACTGGATTCACAATTAGGACCGAGTGGAAGGCTTGGAGGAGCACCTTCCACCACCAAAGTACTAAGTAGTGCATCACAGAGCCTACTGCGTGCTGTGTGTTTTTTGTCACAGTTATACGATGCTGGTTACAGAATTGCGACTTACTAGGTCATTTACGCCAACTTTCCGCCAGGTTATTGGGGGAAACCGGTTATTTTCTTCCAGTATATACACCTGAAATGATATATTAAAACATTCGACATAGTATGCACGAAAAGATTACATTTAAAACAGTGCACATAAAGACCGACTTACATACTCTCCATTTGTCATGTTGAATGAATAAGCAGTCAACTGCGTTAAATTTCGTCTTGTTAAACAACAAAAAATGGCTGCCAGAATAAGTTTTACCAGAAAGTCCTGCAAGCCCGGTTCACCTCCAAAGTAAAGTACCACTAGTAATTACAAAAACGACTAAGTTGAAATTGCTTCCGGGTGGGAGGGGGATCAACACCTTACCTCTGCTTGTAGCACGGACGTTGTCGAGAATCGGTTGAAAGCCAGTGAAAGAACCTGCTTTTGTCTCTATATTCCTCACTATGCTAACGATGTGTTTCTCGTACTTGACAATGTTCAGAAACGTTGATGCTAACGTAAAATGAAACGGAGGAGAGCTGCTGTCAATGATAACTGTTATGGAAGTCCAGTTATACTGGTTCAAAATTTCCACGAATAGTTCAGCATACTCGGACATTAAATAAGTGTTGGTGGATATTCGGGTTTTGTATAAACTGCGGCTCCTTAAGTCCGAACCAGGCGAGCCACTACCAAAATTAATAAGAGAACTGTGGCTTCTACATATAATGAAGAAATTTGTGTCATTTACTTACGACGAAACCCACAATGTATTCCACTGTGTAAGGAAATAAGGAATCTCCAAATTTTCGGCACATGCTGCAAAACGTTTTAATTATGATCCGTAAATTCAACATGACCATCATTAATGTGACTGTAAGTTTGTAACCGAATGTATTTACCCAGTATGAAGTATATGGTGAAGCCGCGATAATTTCTTTGACAATAATGCCATTCAGATAACATTGCGATGGCATTGCTAGTGACTTCTTTACATCCCGGCTGTCCAATAAAGTGCAAACGAAATTGCATCATCCCGTTATACTTCGCATTCACGCGTTCAACGGCTAAGGTAAAGCCTGGCCCAACATACGGCAGATCCTGAAATCCTTGCGTGGATGAATCACCTATTACTACCAAGCTAACATTTAACACAGCGCTTTGAAAGATCTTGTCAGGATGGGATGAGAGCATAGCAATAGGAATAGAGAATAAAATTAAAGAAAGCGTGGCTGCTACACAGGATATCGAAGTTTTACGCATTTTTCTTGCAGTAAAATACATTTTTGCCCTTAGGATCGGGCATGGATTACTCATTAATTTTTAGAAAACCAAAATGGCATAGCGTTAGATAGAGCAAATTGAAAAATTATCCTTCCTGTGACCCTGTCACTGAACATGTATATCATCGACTGAATCAGCCAGATTACAAGAGCGATGTATTGTATGTATTATGTGCCGGTGTGCGTGGCTTTGCGTGCGTGCGGTCCTTCAAGAAAGGGCCATGAATAGATGGCGTTAGAACCCTTTCAAAATGGATGAGCAGAGGAAAAACAGAGTAGCGCAAAATGTCGGTCAGGATTTACAATTCCTTCGGTTGTAGAGTGCAAAATGGAAATGATGTTTCAACGTTAACAATCGTACGTACAGGCCCACAGGACCCAACGGGCACTGCAATGCCCAGAGGATTCCGAAAAATAGAAATCTGGTACAGTAAGTTCGTATCATAGCGTGCCGGCGGCGATATGCTTATAATGCTTTGATCAACTAAATACGCAGTCTTAGTAATTGTTACAAGGCGAACAAGCACAGGCCTTGTTATTCATAAACATTTCGCAGAAAGGCTTTCAGGTTTCTCTCTTTTGAGTGTAACAGTGGTTTTTTTACTGCTATTTGAGTCTTGATTGTTTTGAGTGGACACTGACAGTACGAGTATCCGAGAAAATATCCAAAAAGTACAGGTTACGAAAATTATTATGAAGAGCAAGGTTAATTACAGCATTAAAGTGTTACAAGATAACAAAATCCGTAAATCGACGTCATCTCGCAACTCCTGTTTGCTTTGGAAAAAAGATTGGGCTGCACCGTGAAATCTGCACCTTTAACGATAAGGCAAAAATTATAGCAATACGGAAGGACAACCATAAAAGCTAAAGGCTTGCACGGATTGCACACAGTTTACCAAAGAAGATCAACAAAACCATTCGTAATTTATAACATTTTAGAACAGTTAACATTTTTTAAACTCGTAGCATAGCTGCTGTAAAGTTATCAGCGCCGCACGTACAATTGTACCACAGCTTTAATTTCGGTTTAATTCAGGAGGTCAGATTTAATTTCGTTTTTGAAGTTGTTTATGCTTAAGCCTGAGCGAACCAAGTACTTTTTATTAACACCGCTTGCGTAGCGGACCTTAGTGCAGACTAAACGGTTTTGATAGTACTGTACATATAACCATTGCCATTAAAATATGTGGCAACTGCAAGATTTTCACACTTAAGAATGCAAACGTTCATTTATTTCTGGGGAAACGGAAGAAGCCAGTAGGTTGCTATTTCATATTTTCCTTTGATAGCCTGCAGTCCTCGTGCTTCGACGATAAACTGACTAAATTGCTCCAGAAGAAGTTGACTCTCCGGGCTGATATGGATACGCCCTGGTAAACCGTGGCTGCACATTCTGGAAGCCATGTTGACGGTATCACCAAATCTAGCGTAAAGTGGACAAGTTGTGGTCTAGTGAGAAACTGCTCTTTTTAGGCATAGGTAAATAGTACAGTGTGTTCAGTCGTGTAAAGATTTTAAATCTGAATTACGAGTACTGCAAATACTTACACATTACTAGCGGAAGTATAAAATATAAACTACCGTACTTTAAGACATGTAAATTACGGGAAAATACGTACAGGCAGTAACGAGGTCGTTTTAGTCCCATTAATCCCGCAGCACAGGGACCTACAACATCATTATTCTCCTACTCAAACTACAATAGCTTAAATGTGTCGATGGCGAGATACCCGAATGAATTCCAGTCTTAAACCGAAGATTTTCCAGAAATGTAAATTGCGTCTGCAGTTCCACCAGCCTTGTAGCAAAACTCGCAATTCGCTCGATGTGTTTTATTCCTATTCTTTCTGGTATTCCGCTAGCCACCTGCAGAAAGATTCTATTAGCGCAATCAATTTTGCAGATTCCTGAAAGAGGGTATAAATATTAGTCTGATTGTAATACCATGAACGAATCATTGACTGCTTCCACTTTATACACGTCGCACTCCGTTGTGAGCTTATCTATACAGACTTCCGTCGCTGACGTAACAGCAATCGTCATCTCGGGTGCGTGGATCTTTACAAAGTCAGCAAATCCATGGAGATCAGTAAACAGAATCGTGGCGCATTCAAAGAACTCAGGTAGAACCTTTTCACCGGCTCGTAACTGCTTCGCCACAGACCTAAGCAAGAAAACTAGATTTCCGTCATAATAAATAAGGGTGCAGTTCAGCTGTACCGTGGTAAGAATTGGTTAATAATAGCGTCGCATTTATCCATTTCCTCCATTAGTTCGCTGGTCCTCTTCGTAACTTGACATTCCAGTTCAGCAGAATAACCTTCCAGTCTGGCATAGATTTGATCGAAGAATGTACTCGTAGTTTTGTGCGAATGTGGAGACAGCATAGGAGCCAGCGCTCGGAGAAGACTTTTTATGTCTGGTCGCTGGGGTGAATTAAGAGCAATACAAGACCGCAGTATCACTTCGAATTCGGGCAAGGACGATAAAAGTGTTCCAAACGAAAGTTCACGAAGACTTCGGCCAGCTACATATAAAAGTGAAAGTCTAATGTAGCTAAACGCTCACTTTGGATGAAACCGGTAGAGCTTCTTACTTTTGGTGAGCGATCTCACGCTTTCTAGAACCCTTCCTTTTGTCAATATGTCAAGCAAAACCAGACCGCTGGAGTAAATATCAACCATTTGCAATAACCTGCTATCATGACTGCTTCCGGTATCGGGTGGTGACCAGTAGAAGGATTCCCAGACAATATTTTGACACACTCCTGTACTTAGAAATCCACACGCTGTATGCAGATTTTGTCTCAACCTGTCGGAAGCAAGATGCGCTAGCTTAAGTGTAAAGTGTTTGTCGACCCAACAGGTCAAGACGCTGATTCGTCCATGGAATTGTAGCGAAGAATTATGGATATATCGTACTGCCTGCAATAGCGAAAACCGGAAGCAGCAGTTCCGCAGTTAACAACCTTAGGACCACATTAACTTTAACGTACTTTGAGATAATCATGAGCTAGACAGGGAAGTAGTGCCGCGTCCCTGCTAGCGTAGCTGTCAAATATGTCAGGCAACGCGCCCCGTGAAGGGCACTCTATTACTGCCGAAATCCAGTAAATCCCTTTAGAAGATCGTGTTATGGCAAGTCCGGCAAACTGGCAAATATTGAGGTGCTCCATTCTGCTCAACTGCAGCAGAATGCCGTAATTTTAAAGTTCAAATTCGGGATTTTAATCGCAAACAAATGATTACCTTTTGAAGCAGCACCAACAGTTCATTATTTTCCGAAATATCGGGAAAGCCAACTGGCTGGTTCCGATGGCACAGTTTCCAGCCCATAACGGGTTTGGTTCTATATGTGCCGAAAACTACGGCGCCACAGAAGCTCTGTAACAAGAAAGACAGCGTCGATGATTTTTGAAAACATTTTTAACTGTTTCACTCTGTTGTACTCGAGTCCAGCTAAAAGTTGTAGGGAGGTCACTGGACTCGTATGAGAAATGATCCGAATAGATCTTCGAGAGAAGAGAACGACAGGATGCTGTTCGTCGATTATTTGGTTCGTGCAGCTGGATTTGCCACCACGGATCTCGGAGCAGTTGGTATTTAGCCTTAAATTTGTTATATCTACAATAAATCAACTTTTTACATAACAAACATTTCCTTTGCATCACTTACCTTCATTTCTAAGAAATTAAACGACTCTCTTAAAAATCAATTCGGTTTAGGTGCTTCGACAGAACCGTTGCGGCTCCTGTTACCCCAACAACTCCTCTATGCGTAACGGATTGAAATACTAATTTCAAAGGAAAAAATGCTTACGCAATCCATCCTATTATCATTATGCCGACAGCAAGACAGAGACTTGTGGAAATCGCTGTTAGCAAGTAGGCTGAGCGGTTGTCACCTAAATAATTTAACAAGTGCATCAGTCATAATACTAAATTATTTGTTCCGATACTAAATTTCATAAAAGATAAAAACGATTTTTATACACAGTACGTACTTGGTATAAGGCAGGATAGCTTCTGATTCAAATATCCGCAATACGGTTCGTTGGGAGGAGGAAATGAACTGTTGACCCACACTAATAACCGTGTCACTTCTAGTAAGTCTCCTGTTTGGCCAAATTTTCGCAACAACGGCTGTGCAAATACAAAATCAGAGGCTAGTATGTTTCAGAATACGTACTATCCACGGGCTGAGTATCCAGTGTCATCCAAATTACCTCACGACTTCCGTTAGCGTTGAAGAAAGAAACCGTGAAGTCGGTGCGCCGCTGTCCTTCGCTGTCTATATACATGCTGTTGCCAAAGTCATCAGTAAAAGTTCGATTCAGTAGAAGCCTTGCTAGTGCCACACCGCTGCAATTCGCTCTGTCGCCTGAAGTAATTGTATCGTTGATGGCCTGGAATAAAACAATTTTCCGAAAAAAAGTTTTGTTTTGAAACTTTTCGAAAGAAAGATAGCATTCGAATCATAGACCATTCTTTGACCAATGGACCATTCCAGTATTGCCCGAAAGTGGCAAACCTTACCTCCGCTAGTGCAAAGACGGTCATGTAGCTTCCGACAATAAGGGCATATGGCTGGCAAAGGACCGTACAAAAAAATTACAGACCGTATAAATGCAAAAGCATCAGACACCTGGCCCAACCTGGTTTGATATTGGATATGTGAAATTATAATCTTGCTCTGTTCGCCGGAGAAATTCCTTCCCGAGCTGCATTTTTGTGCCAACATTCTCGCTGTTCTCACTTGGATTCACAATTAAGACCGAGTGGAACGCTTGAAGGAGCACCTGGGGAGAATATTTTAGTCCGTATCGAAGTTTATACCAAGAGACGTAATATTTAAGAATCAACTAAACATCTTCTAGGAGCAAATCTGACTTACCGAATCGTTTCTGTCGCTATTCTGCCAGCTTATTGGTCGAAACATGTTATTCTCTACCAGCAGGTATACCTGCAATGGTATTTGCTGATATGTTAGAAACTACAAAAACGAAAATGTTCAGTCTCGTCTAACATCAGAGCTTACATATTCTCCGTTTGTCATGTTCAACATATAAGCGGTCCACTGCAAAAATATTCGTCAAGCAAAAACAATAAAAGTGGCTGACAGAACCAGTTTTACCAAAAAATCCCACAAAGCCGGTTCAGCGCCAAAGTACAGCACCACTACCAATCATGAGAATTAAAACGTTATGAAGTAATTTCCGGAGCAAGAAGGGTCAAACGGCTTACCTCTGCTTATCGTGCGGATGCTTTCAAGAATCGATCGAAATCCAGTGGAACCTGCCTTTGTCTCTATATTCCTCACAATACTAACGATGTGTTTCTGGCTTTTAACAATGTTCAGGAATGTCGTTGCCAATATGAAATAGAATGGAGGAGGGCTGTTGTCGATAATCACGGCTATGGAAGTCCAATTATACTTGTTCAATATCTCAAGAAACAGTTCAGCGCACTCGGACACCAAAAAAAAGTTGGTGGATATCCAGGTGGGGTATAAATCGCGACGGCGGATTTTGGGCCCGGCCGAGACTCTACCGAAGAAGAAAACGGTTTTCCCTTGATGGGCGAATATTTGTTACCCTTTGCTTACGTTGATATCCACAAAGTATCCCACTGTGTATGAAAATAAGGCATCTCCGTATCGTCTGCACATGCTGCAAATCGAATGTACAGGTAGTTTGATAGCGCTAACTATCACTAACCCAAAGCTGAAGATAACCTACATGGCACGATATAAATTGTGAGGTCGCGATCATTTCTTTCACGATAATGCCATTCAGATATCATTGAGATCGCATTGCTACCGACTTCTTTACACCCTCGTTTCCCAATAAAGTGTAAACTGAAATTCATCGCGCCGTTATACTTCGCGCTAACGTGTTCTACGGCCAAGGAAAGTGCCGGTCCCAGAAACGGCAGAGCTTGATAACCTTCCGTGGAGGTATCGCTTATTACCACTAAGCTGATGTTGAGCACGGTACTCTGGAGTCCCGCGTTAGTACAGGACGGCTGCAGCGATTGAGACCCAACGATATCAGTTAGAACACGAATTAAAATTAATAACGGCATGTTTTTCACAAATGATATCGACCTTACACGCATTTTTCTGCAACTAAAGACAAACTCCAGCCACTAGGATAGCTGGAGCTGTTGGATGTTGGTAACCAAGGCGGTTTAGAGTTAGAGATATTAATTTCAAGATTAACCATCCTATCCTTATCTTCAGTTAAGTGAGCCAAATTACAGAGCCGTCTTCTACAGTGCGGTCTAAGTTCCTTTCCTGTTCGTGGTTTGCGTGACGTTGCTGTTGCCATTCAAGGACAGAAAATGAATGGGTGGCTTTGGTGCCTGTTACGGATGGAAGAGTAAAAGACAAACATGTGAGTGGAATATAATATCGGCCGGGAATTGCTACCCCTTGATTGCGGGGAAAACAGTTGTTCGCATTGTACGATCGCTCGGGCAGCTCCACGACATCTTTTGGGCTGTAATACCCAGAGGATTCGCAAAATATTAAATTAGGACTGATTACTGCGTCGTCATGTTTATTGATGCTTTAATTAACCAATCCCGTGGTCATAATAACAGATAATCCTTACGATGCCGTGATTGTCATCAGAACGTAAACTTTGTTACTCAAAAACATTTCGCAGGAATCTAAGCATCCTCTGATTTTGTCATTTGAGTCAACAACCGGCCTACGTGACCTTTGGTTCTGAGTGCGCATTGAGTAGTCCGAAGAATAACATCAAGTACAGTATATTATTTGTAAAGAGTGAATGTCAAATTTTGCCAGTCCTCCTAATTAATAACCAACGGCTCAAGGGTTCTTTTACAAATTTAAGCGATCATGAAATCGTCAGGCTAACTTGTCGGTAGCAAGCGGAAATGAGACTGTATGTGATGAACGACGCTAAAAAGCAATAGCACTGGGACTTAAGTTGCAGTTACTGTATAATTGGAATTTGAAACATTTAAACGGTTGCCGAGTAATTTTGAAACGAATTTGTGGATGCATTCCAAATTACTATGAATTTAGTTATTTTGGTACAAGTAAAGTTAAGTACTGAAGCAATGACGCTGAATAATTTACAATTTCAATCATTTCGAACATTTATTATAAAGTATGAAGTACTGTACCTGCATGTACAATTGTACACATGGGTAGTAAGCCTAAACACTTTTTTTAACATCGCTTTTCATAACATCGCTAATACACGCATCGTGCCCAATCATTCAACTTCACTGTGATAAGGTTATGGCGGAAGAAGCCAGTATGTGGTCATTTCGTGTTTGCCCTTGATAGAAATCACTCCTCGTGGATTGATAGTGTAAAGACTGAAATTTTCCAATAATAACTGGCTATCGGAACTTAGATGAATGTGGTTTGGCAGTCCGTGGCTGCACATTCTGGAAGCCATGTTAACCGTGTCTCCGAACCTGTAAAGAACGTGGACACGCATTACCTACTGACCCATTTCCGATGCAATTAGGGTGGATTTTAATCCTTCCCCATAGGCTGTGGAGGTTGGTTTGTTATTAATTTTGTCTTCTCGAAATTCGATATTCGATTCTTTACAGCTTCGATCTTTACAGCTATTTCCAGTCTTCACATGCGCTTTGGTTCGAATTCTCAGTTGCATTTTTCTAACAACTAACAAGTAAGCTAGTGACGAATTTTTCGCGTACTGAAAGTTACATACAAACAGTAACGTGGCCTTTTTAGTCCCATCAATCCCGCAGCACAAGGACCTACAACCAGTTGCATCATGTAAACACCCTAAACAATCTGCAATTACATTTAAGGCAGTTTTAGAGCTTGCATAGGCAGGGGCACCAGCTCCGTACCGGAATGAAATCCAATTTAAACCGTAAGTCCGCGATAAAGGTCAACTGCGATTGAATTTTGAGTAGGGCTAAAGAAAATTCGGCAACTCTAGTAACATGTTTAGGTCCGACCCTATCTGGCAGTCCACTGGCTATCTGTACACAAATATTATTCATTTCCATTCAGAAAAAGTGTTCTCTTAGAAAATTTAAAACTGCTTACCACAAACGAATCGACAACTGCCTCCACTTTGTAAACATCACACTCCGTTGACAATTTGTCGATAAACGCTTCAGTAGCCGAGATTAGCTCTATTGTAGTCTCAGGTTGATGTGTCTTGATGTAGTCAGCAAAACCATACATATCGCTGAACAATATTGTTACACATTCGAAATATTCCGGTAGAACCGTTGCACCCGCTCGCAGCAGTCTTGCAATAGATCTAATTGCAAACCAAATCCGAATGGCAGTCAGAAACAGCTCGTGCGGGAATAATTTCTCATTACGTAATAAAACATGCATGATGTACCTTGGCAGGATCTGATTGATCATAACATCGCATTTATTCATTTCTTCTTTAAGTTCATTTGTTCTGGTCATGACTTGCTCTTCCAAGTCGTTGGAATAACGCTCCAGTCTCTTGTGTATTTTGTCGATCAGAGTAGATTTCCGTTTGTCCCTAACCAGTAACGGACTCACTTGGGCGAGCGTGTGACGAAGATTGTTTATGTCCGGCCGCTGGAACGGATCATCACTGACGCACGATAGAATTATGTTTTCAAATTCGGGCATACGCGAGTGAAGGAAAAGGTGCGGCCGGCTCCGGAGATGTTGATTTCCTATACAGTTACGGTATAATGCGATTTTTTGCGATTTGAGCTAAGTAGGTCATGTCACGAGTCGACATGATAGTTCTGTTAATCACCTTTTCTAGCAGCCCGAAGTCTGTTGTAAAAATCCCCCGTGCTCAATATATCATAAATTAAACCCGATGAGAGGATATCGATGTCCACTTTTTGCAACAATTTGCTCTCCGCTTTCTCGTTTAGTACGGGTGACGCCCAGTAGGCAGCTTCCCATATAGTATTCTGGCACTCAGTTGGTATAAGATTACTGCAGGCGTTGTTCAGATTCCGTTGCAATCTATCCGACGCTAAATTAGCGAGTTTAAGTGTGAAGTGTTTGTCCACCCAACAAGTCAAAATGCTTATTCGTCCATGGTATTAGAAAGTGGAAAAATGAATGTACCGTACTGCCTGCAATAGTTGAACCTTTGCCGATACCACTGCCACCACATTAAGAAGAGTACGTACTTCTAGGTAATCTAAAACCAGCGAGGCGCGTAACATTGGATCCTTGCTAGCAAAGCTGCCGAATATGTCAGCCAAAGTACCCCTTGAATGACATTCTATTACCGATGTGATCCAGCACATGCCTTTAGAGGACATTTTAATGGTCAATCCAACAAACTGGCATATGTTAACGTGCTCTATCTTTCTCAGCTAAAAAAATAGCAATAAAGCGTCTTGTCGATTTCATACATAGAATTTGCCTCATAACCGGTATAACAAATTTAGGGAGGCAACTTTAATAGCTAATTTTTCTTTAGTTGTCGCTTCCATGCTACTGTAGCAATGGCATAGAACTGTATAAAAGTCATTGATTGCTCAGTGTACATTTTACATTCCGCAGCAGAAGCAGAAATTCTTTGGAAGGGGAAATGTCGGCAAAGTTGATTGGACCCTTTTTACTGCAGATTTTCCAGCCCATCACCGCGCTATTCTTATGTAGCCCCAAAATGACGGCACTGCAAAAAATCTGAAAGGAACAATAACACAAGAATGGTCTGTCATTTTAAACGCTGTATGAACTATTGCTGCGATTACCGATGAGACGTTTGATGCACCGAAGTATATACGGGCTTCCGGAGGCACATACTCGGAGTAAAGTCCCCTTTGTTCGGTCAGTGTCAACGACGTTGAGAGATTTGACGCTGCTCGGCAACACTGTATTTCCTGGAGATGAACTTGCCACCATGGATCATGGATGAATTCATGTTTGGCTCTCAGTTTTATACGCCTGTAAAGGTTATTTTGTTTCGCCACGGTTCCATACTTTGATAACTCGTTAAGATCTTTAATTTGGAAAGGTCATTACTCACACTGCATATCCGATGAAAACTGCAATTAAACAACCAGTTGCTAATGTGAACGACAGGATGTATGTTGAATTGTTTCCTGAAAGATCAAAATTCTCGTTACTTTTCTACAAAGAAAACGTATACAGTGGGTAAAATCTTTGTGTAAAAAAATAAATATTACGAGTAAGTTTGATCACCCATGCAAACGTCTTATACAAGCGACAAGTAACGATAAGCACTTGTGGCTGTAGCTAACGATAAGTACATGTGTGCTACGAAGCGAGCATGCTACCAATTTCCAAAGAGCAACAATTACTTGGCGTGATACAAACCATCCGCTGATTTGAATATCCGCAACGTGGCTCGTTTGGAGGAGGAAAGGAATCGCCAACCCATGTCGTTAAATGCACTAGTTCTATTAGATCTCAAGATGCGCCAAGCTTTCGCAACACGTGCTATGAAATACGAGTAGAAGAGCAAAGCGGTAATATTATTACTGTGCTGCTGGAAATGGGCTACGAAAATGGTACTAAGCGTTACCTTGCGTGTTCCGTTTAGGTCAAAAAAAGACACCGTAAAATCGGTACGACGTTGCCCTTCTGTGTCAATATACATACTGTTATCAAAGTCATCGGTGAAAGTTTGGTTGAGGAAACGCTGAGCCAGAGTCACCCCCCTCCAGTCCCTGTTGGTCGTTATTGTGTTGTTAATTGGTAATGATCTGAAATGTGTAAGTTGGGGTACCGCTGCAAATAGCAAGCACGTGGTATCAGAATTTTCTGATCCACAATGAAATAATTCCGATTCTACCTGTGCGAGTGCAAAGATAGTTGTGTATCCACTAACGATAAGGCTGTATGGCTACACACACAAGTAAAAATTAAAGACTTCGGCTGGCACAAGTTTACCACGGAAGGTTGACAATGCTATAATTTGTAGGCGCATCATTTGATTCGTAATTCCTTTTTAATGCAGTACGCTGTTTGCTATACACTCATACAGATACTTTAATGTAGAACACTCAGTTAAGTGACTGCAGGTGAATAAGGTTTTTGTGATGCTTTATGCGCAATGATTACAAAATGTCGGTTTTATTTTATGCGCTGAAGCTTATACAGTGCGGAGTACGCACGGTTACCTTACGTGATTAGACAGCGGATATGTAGAGTAAAAATCCCTCTCGCTGCGCCGGTAAAATTCTCGGCCAAGCTGTGTTTTGGAAACGTTGTTTTTGGGATTGTCAAGGGGATGCACAACTAGAACTGATTGGGACGCTTGCAGAAGGAACCAAAGAGAACCAGTAATAACTATTGTGCCGGTGACAATTATGTTCCGGTTTATTGAGTATGGCGTTTTCCAAGTTAAGGTATATTAATTGGCGAAACCTCGCCCATATGCGCTGTACTCGAGTAATGAAAGAAACTGCACAAATACATAATTCTCGTAATAAGTACTAATAACGCTTCAACGTCGTTTGCAACGGGGCGAAAGCTCTCAATCGGTACTTAATTTCTTAGACAAAGACTACGTAATTAACAAGCTGCGCTGCCCGTAACAACAAGCTGCGCTGACAGGGACTACGTAATTAAATTGAGCAATTACGTCAATTAGATTTATCGGTTGCAAAAGTTTTATAAAATGTCACTGAAACTAAACAAAAGCTTATGTCTCTAGCGAATGCGGCTTACCAGGTCATCTTTATCACCAGCCTTCCAATGAAATGGGCGAAAAAGGTTATTTTCTGTCAGAATGTAAACCTACAACCATAGCGTCGTATGGGAATGACGAAATATAATGCACACTGCACAGTAAAAGTTCACGACAACATTTTACCCTGCTATTAAACAACATTATGATAGCATAAAAAATGCGACTCGTTTCGTTAAACTCACATATTCTCCATTTGTCATGTTCAGAGACGCTGCTGTAACCTACAGAAAGCTTCTTTAGGTAATCGCACACTTGACTGAAAAATGCAAACAATAGTTTTTTTTACCAGAAATTCCCGCAGAATCTTCCCGATTCCAAAGTAAATTACTACTAAATTACAAAGCCTAGATATACTCAACATCAACTTTACGAACGTGTTTTGCGGCTAATTGCTTACCTCTACTACTTGCACGAATATCATCTAAAATTGATCCAAAACCACCGAACGGACGCCCTAGCTTTGCGTTAATTTCTCGAACAGAATGTGTTATGTGTCTTTGACCTTTTAGATTGACGAGAAATACCGACATCAGGACGGCATAAAAGGGAGGAGAGCTCGGATCGGTGACCACCGTAACAGATGTCCAGTTATATTTATTAAGGATGTCGATAAATAATTCAGCGCACTGGGACACCACGAAATAGTTTGTGTTCAGTCCTGTTGGATATGATACGTGCTGATTTGAAGCAATAGGAGCACCGGCCCTAAAAAATCATGTAGTACTTTTCAACAAATGGGAAGTGCGGTTCTTCAAACTGGGTCTACTAGTTTTATAGCTCTTACATACGTCGAAAGCCATAAAATGTCCCATTGAGTGTAGAGTCGCGCCATCTCCGCATCTCCACATCCTGCACACCCATTAAAAAACATCACAGGAAAATAATTAATTACAACCCAGGTTGTTGTTATTACCTAGTACAATGGACGCGAGAAGGTTGTTCTCGTTCTTCTTCCTGTAATACCATTCAGCGGTCATCGCCACAACGTTGCCCATGAGGTCTGTACACATCCGCTCTTGATTAACGTCCAAACTGAAATTTATGGTAGTGTTATATATCTTCTGAACCCGCTCAACGGCTAAAGAAAACCCCGGTCCTGTATATGGTAGCGCCATAAACCCTTCTTTTGTATCGGTAACGCCTATTATAACCAGGCCAACATTCACAACTCCATTTAATTTCGGGCTTTCGGTGGACGATAGCAATGTACGAACGCACGCAGCGATATCAAGAATGATACATGAACACAACAGAACGGTAGTTCTTTTTGGTATCATGGATAGTCATTAATTATTGCATTTAGGTAATTACAAACTGCACTGCTGTTCTAAGGGAAACGTTTTCTGAACGGCCATAAATTCCACGTGGTTGTGCGGGGGGAACGCATAAGTGCTGGCTTTCAGCGTTTGGTAAAATTCCAACTAACTAAGACACCAAGTGCTGTTCTGTTTAAGTGCAAAATTCTTTACGCAATATTCGGACGACAAAGCAGTAGGAGGGCAAATTAAAATAGGGACCTAGGACTGTCACTGCTTCGTTTGTGAATGTGAATTTTTCGAAAAAAGGCGTCTTCTGTTCTTAAAATTAATATGAGTACTTAATGAAGCTTTCTCTCTTGGATAATGTTGGCCTGTTCACTGCGGGGAGGAAGTCATGAGACGCACGTCAATAACCAAATAGATACAGGAAAAACAAAATTACGCTTTAATGAGCCCGTATGGTTGATTTAATTCTCTTTAATGAATATTAGCTCTTCTTCTAGTGCGTATTCCTTGGGGACAATCCAAAATCTTTGATAGCAACAGCCACTCATTAATTCATATTGCATAACAGCACCTCGTTCTCGTGACAACACCCAGTCATGGCAGAATTAACAGACCTTTGTAAATTGTATACCTGCCAAGGAAACCAAGTTTGACCATTTACTATATAAATGCACTGGCAAAGATCGGGTAAATTATTATGCTTGTGAATAACGTTCTTGAACTACCGTAGCTAACCGCACTTCGAAATGTATCATTTGCAAAAGCATTTGATGTACAATAATTAAAAGTTCGATCGTTTAACAACCACTTTTAATAGCAAAATGCAGTCCAAGAAGTGCGCCCTTGAAACTTTCGCCGCTGCATCGAAAACTTATCACTTGAAAATTATGAAATTATTTGCTTTGTATGTATACATTTATACAGAGTATGATCCGTCGCCACCATACAGATGCGCCCAGCAGCGCCAGCTAAATTGGGCATCCCATTGATCCCCAGCCCCGCATCGAAATCATCCCCGCACCGATCTGAAATGCGGTACGCATGTTAACCAACGACTGACATGGTAAAAACTGCAGTACACACCCTGTTCAATCTGAAAACGTGTCCAATTCGAAAACTTTATTTAAATATTATTAAAAAATATATGCATGTAAAAACGATTACCTTCGTAAACTGTCAAGTAGATTGGTTTGTTGCTTAATTAAGCAAACTACATACGTATATGCATGTGAAAGGTGTTGACACTTGACAGACGATTACCAAACTTTAAAAGGCTACCATAAAGGATCAAGAAACATCATGTTGAGACTGTCCTAGCTTCTGCTGTAATTGTCTAAGCTAACCTTTGCGCGCTCGCAAGAACGGTGTTTATTTTACCGCTTTAATTGACTAACCAGGCAGCATTCACTCACCAAAAAAACGCTTCGAAAAATTTAACCGGTTTTGTGTCTATCGACTATCAATAACAGGACAGGGGATTAATCGCTGTTTACGAGTAGAATATATAAGCTCTAACATGGAGCAGAAGATTGATAAAGCAGAAGAAACGATAAAGCAGCAGATCGTAGGAACTTTTGTGGAAAGTTCCCTCTGCCTTTCGGTGGTCCGATAATATCGCAACCAAATCATCAGAAACTACTCTGTACAGAAAGAATGAATTTTTTTCGTCGCATATCGCAGTCCAGTCATGATGTCTTTTATGTACAGAGTAGTATACCTATATTACAGCAGACGAAGAATTATACTGATGTGAGCGTGCTTAAATTTGTTAGTGACAATATTGTGGAAGAAGCCAGTAAGTTATCATGTCATCTTTTCCTTTTTTCGCTTGCAGTCCTCTTGTCTCGACAGAAAACTGGCGGAAGTTTTCCAAAAGTCGCTGGCTGTCCGGGCTTAAATGAATGTGCCCTGGCAAGCCGTGACTGCACATTCTGGAAGCCATATTGACAGTGTCACCAAACCTGTCACAAAACCAAGCTAAAAACGTCTGGCTACATCATATTGTGCTGCTCTAAATTTTCTTTCGCCGGATGCCGTTATATGTATTCGTATCTGCATATGCTGTACAACGATACGCGTCCAAGAAGTCAAATCGCAATGTGCGAAAAGAGGAAACTAGAAGCAACCCTGTGTTATAGCTGGAAGAGAAGAAGCTTCCTAACTGGTAAAATGAAAAAAAGTAATTCTGATAACCTTTACGTACAGGCAGTAACGCGGTCGTTTTAGTCCCATAAGCCCGGCGGCGCATGCACCTATAAAATTTAATAGGTAAGAGCAATCATGGAAATAAATCTGCCACTGATAACCAGACATAAAGTTTCCGTCTACCGGAAGAAAACCATACACGTATACCGGAGTGTATGCCAATCTTAAATTGTAAGTTCTGTAGAAAGGTCAGCTGAGGTTGAACTTCCATTAGTCTTGTCGCAAATCCCGCGATCCTTCCAATGTGGTCCTTTCCGATTCGCTCTGGCAGTCCACTTGCTACCTGTACACGGAAGTCCGTAAGAGACGTAAAGGTGAACGCTAATGCCACTGCATTTCACCATAAAACATTATTTTTTAGTATTTTTTTGCAGTCCACTACAAATAGCCTAATGACTGTATAGCACCACTAAACAGACATTGACGGTTTTTCTGTTAAAGATAAAACCAGTTGGCTTTTAAACCTGCGATTACCATAAAGGAATCCATTACTGGCTCCACTTTGTAGACATCACAGTCCGTTAACAGTTTATCAATAAAAGCTTCCGTGGATGAGATCAAGCAAATTGTCACCTCAGGCGAACGACTCTTGATAAAGTCAGTGAACCCAAACAAATCAGTGAACAGAATTGTCACACATTCAAAAATTTCGGGTGGAACCTTTTCTCCGGCCCGCAGCTGCTTTGCCACAGATCTGCATTGGAAAATATTTTTAAAAAGCGGAAATGCTATTCAAGAAGACAGCGTATTTGCCACACACTACACAGTACTTTGGAAGAAACTGGGAGATGAGAGCGTCACATTTGTTCATTTCTTCCCTCAGTTCGTAGGTTCTGGTCGCCACTTGCCCTTCTAAGTCGACTGCATGACGCTCCAGTCTGTTGTAAATTTTGTCGAAAAGCGCTTTTCTGTTTTTATTTGGAGCCAGTAAAGGACTAATATTCGCCAGTTCATGACGAAGTCTTTCTAAATTCGGCCGCTGAAGCGGATCGGAGCTGAGACATAATCGAAGTATGTCTGGAAAGTCCGGAACACTCGAGCAAAGGTCGTAAATTATTGGCAGATTTTGATTTTCTGTAAATTCGTACGGGAAAGTTACGGCTATAATTCCTTGGACCCTGCATGAAGTATTTATATGCATTTCGACAGCAGCTTCCTCACCTTCAGTAGCTGTTGAGATTTTGGCGAAAATACTTCCCGCCGTCAGTATATCGTATATGATGAGACCAGATCAATAAATATCCACCATTTGCTGAGATCTATTGTCGGTGTTGACCGTTGTCCCGGGTGGCAACCAGTAGACGGATTCCCAAATATCGTTCTGGCACAAACTTGTGCTTAAATCTCTGCAGGTTTTAAATAGACACTGCCGAATTTTCTCGGATCCCAAATGAGCCACTTTAAAGGTGAAATGTTTATCCACCCAGCAGGTCAAAATGCTGATTCGCCCATGGTATTGTAAGGGTGAAAAATGAATGTAACGAACCGCCTGCAAATAAAAGAGTTGGTTTCGTCATCTCTTGCACGGAGATAAGATTTCGTACTTCAGTATAGTCAAGAATTAAGGAGCTTTTCATGGTCGGATCTCTGCTAACGTAGCTGTCAAATATGTCCGGCAAAGCACCCCGTAATGGGCATTCCATTACGGCGGAGATCCAGTGAATGCCGCTCGTGGATCTTGTTATGGTGAGTCCGAAAAGCTGGCAAATATTATTGCTTTCCATTCTGTTAAGCTATAAAAAGTTAAAAACAAAAATGTTAGTTGTATATAAACGCCAGCGGTGATTCAAACAAGACTGCAGTACCTTGCGTAGCAGAAGGAGGAGCTCTTTGGCGGGAGCAATATTAGAAAAGTTGATTGGGCTATTCCTACTGGCTATTTTCCAGCCCATCACCGACTTGCTCTTGAAAGATCCAAAAATGACGGCTTTGCAAAAGGTCTATAAAAATTAATAACTTACGGACTGAAGATTACTACAAATCAGTGCTAGGAAAATGTTGACTTGCGCGTGATAAGGCAACTGCGCCGTGTAGCGTGTGTGACTCTAGTGAAAAGTCATCGAAACGGGGTTTTTTCCCCTCTGCAGCCGCCAATGAGTGACGGGATATTGCTCGGCGTTCTGATGTATCCTGTAGATGCACTTGCCACCAGGGGTCATGGAGTAATTCATTATTCGCTTTGTATTTAATGCGCCTAAAACGTCACTTACTATTTACGTATGTCAAAGGTTAGAAAGTTGCAAAAGGCATTATTTTTTTCGCGCTAAAAGTGCGCAGCACCGTAAACAATTATCCTGTTGCCCACCGAATTCAGGGTGTTTACTGTTTATTGTACTGTGCTTAATCGGGTGCTGGGCGAACAACTCGGCTGTATTCTATTTTACGAATTCCCTAAACTCATTAATCATATTTTTTTGTTAAAATTATTATTAAACAACGTTACTTACCCTGCACATCCCAAGATAATGATAACTCCGACCAGACTAGTTAAACTAGCCGACAGCACATACGCAGAGCGATTATCGTCTGCAACGTGCATAAAATGTGACCTTTCTTTAGCAAAAAAAACGAAGCAAAAAAGGCTGTACTGTTGTACATTTTACTCACCGGACGTACACGACAG